CCCCCTTCCCGCGATGGATCATGAAACGCGGGTCGAGACCATGGCCGGCCGGATGACGTAGTCGGAATCGTACCGAATGGGGCATACCTACCCATCGGCCCTTGCAAACAACGGCCGTGCTTCGGTGCATAGTAGTGTGTGTTTCACGGGCAAACTACGAAGTTTCGCCTAGCTCGGGAGGGAGGGCTTGCTTTCGTTGGCCATCGTTTTTTTGTTTCTTTTGTGGCCGGCATGCTATGACAAGACGCCGAGCTGGCCGGCTGCTGCTGCATGACGGGATCTTTTCTTTTTTTTTCTTTTCTACATACGTTCTAAAACGTGGCGCTTTTGAAGAAAGTGACGGGCTGTTTCAACAGTTCGGGGGGACCCTCTCTCTCTCTCTCTCTTTGTGCACACGGGGGGACACGCACGTTACGGGTTTAGTGCCGGTGGGCGAGCGAGTATACATGTGAGCACGGCGAAAGGGACGGAGATTGATGGTTCGGTTGGCGTTGCTTAGGCGAGAGAACTGGGACGCGTATATGAAGATCGAATGGTCTTGCGCGTCTCAGCTGGCCTGGAAGGCCTGATTATTTTTGGTTTGTTTGTTTGTTTGCTTGGAGGGGTGGGGTATATCGGCATAAGCATAAGGGAAGGTGGCTTCGCGGTGGCCGTGTGGTGGGGTTAGAGTGGTGTGTTTTTGGTCTCTGGGGGCACGGATAGAAGCTAGAGTTGTAGGTTCGTTGTCCGCTGTCCGATCGCCGCGCGCTAGGTAAGTGTTGTTCTGTTGTGTGTGTGTTTTTCCCTGACTCTTTGGAAGATGCGCAAGGTTGCTTAGCGTTTTTGTGCGCGCGAGTGTGCTGGGACGGTCGGTGCATCCACTTGCGTCATTGGTGACGAGCAGCAGGGGGCGGGAAGGATCGTTTTTCTTTTTTCCCTTTCCTTTTCTTTTTTTCCAACCATCGCGACGCTCGTGTTGTTAGCGTTGGACCGGTGGGCAGGAAGCCGGGATCTACCTTTTGCCCACACGTTTCGAGGATCGTGCCAAAACACGAGGGAAGTCAGCCATAGTCTGCCGCTAGCTACTGTGGCGTGCGTCGTATCGTCGGTGTTGGCGAGATTGCACGTCCCAACGTTTTGCTCTCTCTCTATTCTCTCTCGGTTATCTGTTTTGTTTGGTGTTTCACGCGGCCCCTCGGGAGCGGGTGGGGTTCACCACGGCTGGTTGCATATCCAGCGTGCATCGCGGGTCAGAAGGGGGGGATCGGCCTAAAAGGGTGGGTGGGTCGCAAAAGAACGCGTCATCCGAGAGGTTCACCATAGGGCTGGAATAGGCGAAATGAGGACGCGAGCACATCAGGTTCTAGACCAAGGGGGGCGGGCGGTGGGTTTGAGACAGGGGCCGAGGGTTTGGACGTGGTGGAGAATGGTCCTCGGTGATGAGCAGAGGGTTGGTTGGCATGCGGTAGGTCACGCCGAGAATAGGTCGGATCTGCCTGTTGCAGCTGGTGAACGGATGCGCGCGGATCGAGCACGGTGCGGATGAGTGATGCACGGCACGAACGCATGAGGCAATCCTCGCAGCCTGGTTGTGAGAGAGGCCCAAGCGGAGGGATGGCAGTCAGGGACTTCATGCAGCAGAAGCATACTTCACTATACGTATCGAGTGCGCCCATGGGTTCTCAGTTGATGCAGTCGCGGCCTTCAGACATGTGCAGATCAACTACTTGGTCCTACTATGGCCTATGAGCGAGAATGATGGAGTTCACATGCCATGGCTAGTGGTGCTACTCAGTAGAAAAGGACACGGAATACATCAGCGACTTACGCAGCAGTGCCTCAGTCCATGAGAAGTAGGAAGGTGAAAGGACGCACGGGTACGTAAGGCGTTGTCTAGGGATTTGATTCAAGAGAATCTCGCGTATACTTACAGCTGCACAGATGTTACAGTCCACCAGTAGTTCCGTTCCGTAGCTGTCACAGAATGCGTATCCATTGTAAGCGCCAGTGGCCTTGGAACCGTTTTTCTTGTTCACGATCGCCGGCTCAGACTTCTCCGTTGGTGATCCCTACTGTCGATGTAGCTGTCGCACCAAGAGGCATTTGGTAATCATGATGCACCATAGAACTTGGTAAGCCGGTTTGCTTGATGGGCGAGTCTTGCAGGTATACACAACCGTCCAGATATATGAAGCCGCTCCCCATGTAGATAGAGTGCAGCATCTCTGTAACGTCCATGTAGGTGAGTTTGATCTTTTACGTCCACTGTAACGCCACCACCTTGCAGCATCGGCCTTCTACTTCATCAGGCAAATGTTGTAGACAAACTGCGGGGCTGGGATACAGCGTCACAATGGCCAGCAACCTGAATTTACTTGCTAGAGTCTGTATGGCTTCACACTAGGAAAGCTTGGACTTCGGTTCGTGAGATGGATGGATGAGCATAACACTCGAAGCGTTAGCTGATGATGAGGGGCGCCGGAAGAGGCTGGTGCGCGACGGAATTGGTGATGGCATGATGAAGGTGGTGGTTGAGAGTCGGAGAGTCGGCGGCGATTGGACAAGTGGCGGGGCGGAACAATGGTCTCGCCGGCGAGCGGCCATGGATCGTTCCTGCCCCAAAGTCATCGCGTCAGAGAGCACCCGCCGCATTCGACCGCTCGCCATCCAACCCCTCCCACGCCGCCCTCCTCGCGTCTCAATTGCGTGGGTGGTGAATCGCTGCGGCCGTCCCTGCCTCCGACATCGAGAGCCCCGCCCTGTTCACCTTCCCCGCCGCAACCACCATGACGACCTTGGCCCTGCGGTCAGGCTACCTCGCCCGCTTATCGAGATCCACCATCGCATCCGCCGCCCTAGCCCAATCCCGTGCTCGTTGCGCCCCGTCCCTCTCCAGATCCATCCTCCACCAGCAGCGCGTACGGACATATGCCAGCACCCCGCCGCAAGATCCGAAGGACCCGAAGGATCGCGCCGGTGGCAAGGATGGCGCGAACAAGGCAGAAGATGGCAAGAGGGTAGACTTCAACCAGAGTTCGCCAGGTGGCAATGACAATGGCCCCAAGAAAGGATTCGCGAAGCTCACCTCGCAGGAGGAGGAGCAGATGGACAAGCTTCTGTCGAGGTTAAAGCTGGGCCTCCCAAAGTCTCAGGCCGGTGATCTCGAGCGCGCTTTCCAAAACATCAAGAAGGAAGGAATTCCGCAAGAGTTGCGCGACGTCATGAAGAACCTGCAGGATGGAGCGCCCATGGACCTGGGCACCGCCGCGAAGCTTGTGAGATTGACAACTACCCTGGCTCGGAAACATGCGGAAAAGACGGTTTATGACGACAAGGACGACGTACACAAAACTCAAGATGAAGAACCCCAACAGAAGGCCGGCTCGCACGACCCTGGCCCGCAGAATCAGCAGAAGGACAAGAAGAAGCAGAAGGGCACCGGCTCGCCGTCCATGGCAGACCTCAACGTTGATTTGGGCTCCGTGCTCATGTCTGTGTTTGTCACATACCTTTTGTATCGCCTCGTTGTCCCCGGAGAGAGCTCCAAGGAGATCACATGGCAAGAGTTCCGCAGCACGTTCCTGGACAAGGGCTTGGTCGAAAAGGTCGTCGTTGTGAGCGGTCAGAGGGCGCGCGTATACGTTCACCGGGAAGCCGTTGGATCAGTCTACCCCGATTCTCCGGCCTCTAACGAGAACTTCCACTACTATTTTACCCTTGGCTCTGTCGAGGCCTTCGAGAGAAAGATGGACGAGGCGCAAGATCAACTCGGCATTCCGCCGGGCGAGCGCATTCCCGTCGCATACTCTGACGAAGTACCGTGGATAGCGACCATCCTGTCCTTTGGACCGACACTTTTGGTCATCGGTTCCATATTTTTCCTATCAAGACGCGCTGGACAGGGCGGTGGAGGGTCCAGTGGCATTTTCGGCATGGGAAGGAGCCGCGCCAAGAAGTTCAACCACGAGACAGATATCAAGGTCAAGTTCGCAGACGTAGCCGGAATGGACGAGGCCAAGCAGGAGATCATGGAATTCGTCAGCTTCTTGAAAGAGCCTGGCATCTACCAGAAGCTTGGCGCTAAGATCCCGCGTGGCGCTATCCTTTCTGGTCCTCCCGGTACTGGTAAAACTCTCCTTGCGAAGGCCACTGCCGGTGAATCTGGAGTGCCATTCTTCAGCGTCAGCGGTTCTGAGTTCGTCGAGATGTTTGTCGGTGTTGGTCCCTCAAGAGTGCGCGACCTGTTCGCTACTGCGCGGAAGAGCACGCCTTGCATCATCTTCATCGATGAAATCGACGCCATCGGAAAGTCAAGAGCCAAGCAAAGCTTCGGTGGTGGCAACGATGAGAGAGAAAGCACGCTGAACCAGATTCTGACTGAGATGGATGGTTTCAACACCTCGGAGCAAGTGGTTGTTCTTGCTGGTACTAATAGACCCGATGTTCTCGACAAGGCTCTTATGCGTCCTGGTCGTTTTGACAGACACATTGGCATTGATCGGCCGACCATGGAAGGCCGGAAGCAGATCTTCGGTGTGCATCTCAAGAAGATTGTCACCAAGGAGGACATTGATTTCCTTACGGGCCGTCTCGCAGCACTCACACCTGGCTTCGCAGGTGCGGACATTGCCAACTGTGTGAACGAAGCTGCGCTTATTGGTAAGTACTCCACATTCTTGACTCTACTTCAGCCATCCCCGATAGTAACAGAATTGGTGCAGCTGCTCGTTTCCAAGCCGAAAGTGTCGAGATGAAGCACTTTGAACAAGCCATTGAGCGTGTCATTGGCGGTCTGGAGAAGAAGTCCATGGTGCTCTCGCCTGAAGATAAGAAGACGGTCGCATACCACGAGGCGGGCCACGCCATCTGCGGCTGGTACTTCAAGTATGCGGATCCTCTCCTCAAGGTGTCGATCATTCCCCGTGGCTCGGGTGCGCTTGGATACGCCCAATACCTCCCCACTGGCGACACGTACCTCATGAACGTCAACCAGCTCGTTGACCGCATGGCCATGGCTCTAGGTGGCCGTGTTTCGGAAGAGCTGCACTTCGAGACTGTCACGTCTGGCGCGTCTGACGACTTCAACAAGGTCACTCGCATGGCTACTGCCATGGTGACCAAGTGGGGCATGTCCAGCAAGATTGGCTACCTGTACTTCGAAGACGACACCCAGTCCCAGCTTCACAAGCCCTTCTCCGAGGAAACTGCCAAGAACATCGACTCCGAGGTCCGCCGCATCGTCGACGAGGCCTACAAGCAGTGCAAGGACCTGCTGATCGAGAAGAAGCATGAAGTCGGCCTTGTTGCCGAGGAGCTGCTGAAGAAGGAAATGCTCGGCCGCGACGACCTCGAGCGCGTCCTCGGACCCAGACCATATGGCGACCCCAAAGACTTCACCAAGTACTTCGGCTCGAGGGGCGATCGCGAGGGAGCTGGTCCCGGCAGCGTGCCCGGCTCGAGTTCGATAGGCAAGGAGGATGGGGGTGCTCCGGAGCCCCCAAAGATTCCTCCGGGTGGAATTGCCTTGTAAGATGACGGCGATGATTTTACGTGGATTCCTCACAGGGTTTTGTAATGGCTGGTGAGGATTGAAGAAATCTTTTCCGAATGAATATGGGCTTGGCTGGCTTGAAAGGAAGTTCGCTTTTCCCGTGCAATCGACTTCCTCTGTATCATCTTCTACTTTTAGTTTTCTTCACTTTAGAGCATTTCAGGTGCAAGTCTCCGGTGGACCGCATGGCGGGGTTTTTTCTTTGGTCGTTTCCGCTTTCCCCCACACCCTCTTCCTCCACTCTCCAGATAACAAAGGTCCCTGAACGCAAATTTCAGGGACACACATTCACCGCTCAATAGCACACCCTCCGATCCATGGTCGGAAGAATGATTTGCATGGCGGGGCTGATTGAACAGCAATTGATTGAAAACGTAGATACGTCGACGTTTGACTGTATTGAATAGGAAAAAAATCAAATGCCCCAAGCGGCGGTTCTTGAAGTAAACGTGAGCATAATGTTGCATGCCGCCTCAACCTCAGTGATCATGTGGGACCGATTGGCTTACCATCCACCGCCACATAGGATTTAATTCTTGTCAACGCTGCCTCGTCCATGAAGATACGAATGGGAGGGAGGTACTAGGAGACTTTGTTTTTCGGTAGGATCCGGTCAACATTCCCGGATGATATCAGAGGTGTCGGCTCATCACCCTTGCCCGAGCTACATCTCAGTAAGTTGCGAAACGTTCTCTACTCCTAAGTACGTTCATGCAAGATGATGACGGGAGATATCATTTACGACTCGCACTCAATCAATCAATCAATCAATCAACCGAAACACTGTCCAAAACACACATAGCTTCGAGAACGACCAAGAAGTATATAGGTAACGCCGCCGAAATCCCCCTACTCAAACACAGTCCAACCTCTCCCACCATCCCACGCCCCAGACAGCTCTCTCCACCTCCCCCGTTGCTACCGAACCACCCACTCGCCGACCCACCCACTCACAAGCCAAATCGACGCCCATCAACCCGCGCGACACTTGCCACTCTCCATCCCGTTCCCACACCCACCCATTCACCCTGCACCCAACCCCCTACACCGCCCCAGCTACCTTCCACGCACGCGGCTGCTACTACACCTCACCGACACGCAAACTCGCTCCCGCTCCCGCTCCCGCCCCCCACGAGACACCACCCGCGCCTCCTCCTCCTCCCGATCCCGATCCCGATCCCGATCCCGACCCCCATCCCGGTCCCCCTCCCAGCCGGCCCTGATCCGCCGCTGCTGGTGGTGGTGGTGGTGGCAAGTACAGTCGTAGCGGGCGATGATGCGCTTCGACGGCGGGGGCGGCAGCGGCGGGGGTGGAGGCGGGATCGCGGCGCGGGCGATGATGCTGCTGGTCGTCGTCGTGGCGGGGTTGTGGAAGCGGAGGGTTTTGTTGGTGGTGTTGGGAGGAAAGGGCTTGTGGGGGAGGGGCTTGTGGGGGAAGAGGGGGAGGAGGTTGGATGTGTTGGTTTTGTTGTTGTTGTTGCTTTTGCTCATTGAGGACGGTGCTGCAGGGGGGCTTCTCGGGTGGGGGTTGTGGTGGCTTCTTCTGAGGACTTTGTCGGTTTCGTTGTTTCCGCCGTTTTTCATCGGTGTGGTGGGGGTTGTCGTTTCTTTCGCGGTGGGCGGCGTCTGGCCTTTTGGCGTTCTCCTTTTCGTTCTGGTGACGGTGATGGTGGTGGTGGTGATGCGCATGTTTTTGTTTTTGTTTTTTTTTATTTGGACTCGGTGTCGGGGTCTTCGGGGGAGAAGCTGCACGGGAGGCGGGAGGTGGCGAGAAGGAAGTTGGTGAGAGCCATTCGGTGTCTCCGCTCCCTGTTCTTTTGGAGGGGGGCAAACTCAGTCGTTGGACGGGTGGAGGAAATGGGGCTGCTTTTAGTGCAGCGTGTGATTGGGGGCGTGTGACACACTGTGATACACTGTCTTTACTGATAGGGAATCAAGCGTGATGACTGGTCATTTGATCTTCTCGTGTTGTGACGTGTTTGTGCTCCTATGTATAACTGCTCGATTTAGCCGGGCCACGCGGGGTGAGAAGACTTCGATCCGAGGCAATCACGCACTACCGCGTGAGAGGTTGGTATACCTGAGGAGGCAGCCAGTGTCTGTGTAAGCGCGAAGAACCCTGATTCTTGTGAGACCTACGTAGACGTGTGGTGTAACTCTCCGCAACGCCTCGACAGGAACCTAATCAAAACAGTCCATTCGATATCACATCAAGTCAAAACAAATCCCCAACCGTACCCCCTTTCTACTCCTCCTCCTCCTCCCTCACAACCTTCCCCACGCTCCCACCCCCATCCAGCACAATACACTGCCCCGTGACATGGCTCCCCGCGCGACTCGCCAACCACACGACCGTCGCGGCAAAGTCCTCGCCGCGGCCCAGCCGGCCGTTCGGCCGCGAGCGCGCCAGCGCCGCCGCGCCGCCCATGCGCTCGATCAGCGGGGCCGCGAGGTCCGACGGGAAAAACCCCGGCGCGATGCTGTTGACCAGCACGTTGCGCGGGCCGAGCTCCAGCGCGAGCTGCCGGACGAGGTGGATCGCGCCGGCTTTGGCGGCGGCGTAGGAGAAGCTGTTGTTGTTGGTGTTGTGAGTTTCGTGTGTTGCTGAAGGACTAGATTGCGAAGGGGTGGAGGTGGGTGATGCACGTACGTTGCACCCTCGCCGAGGGTGGTGGGGCCGATGCCAGAGACGGAGGCGGTGACAATAACGCGTGAGGGAGTGGCCATGTTGGCGTACTCCGGCTTCGTTAGGAGAGGGGCGAATCTAGTGGGGGAGAGGAAAGTCGAGACAAGTAAGTATATGGTACACAGGGGGGAAGATATAAAAGGATCAAGTACTTCTGAACAGTGTAGAACACGCTCTTGAGATTGATATCCATGACCTCGGTCCACTTCTTCTCGTCGTGCGCCTCGAACCGCTCGCCATACGCCATGCCGGCGTTGATCAGAAGGAGGTCCACGTGGTCTGACGACTTTGCGACGCCGTTGACAAGCTCCTGGATGCCGTCCACGGTGGACGAATCAGCGGGCACGGCGATGGCTTGGGCGTCGGCGCGCTTGTTCGGCAGGGCGTTCAGCGTCGCGCATGCTTCCTCGCAGGCGTCGGCGCCTCGGGACGTTATGTAGACTTTCGAGGCGCCTGCTTGCAAGATACCCGACGCTGCGGCGAGGCCAAGGCCGCGGGAGCCGCCCGTCACGACGGCAACTTTGCCCTCCAGGGAGAAGATGTTTTGGAAATCGACGAGGTCGGCGGTGGCCATGGTGGAGTGGGCAAGGCTCAATGTAATCCAACCGTTTACTAGAGGAGAGCGCCGGGCTTCTCGCTTTATATCCGTTTTCTCCATCAAAGATCGCAGATTATTCTATTCGTGGTGAGCATACGCGTAGTGCTTACACGGTGCACGTAAATCCGTGCTCCTACTTAACTCCGGGTTAGCAGCATCCTTCGAGCGAGATAACCGGGACAAGGAAACGAAATGGACAGCGGAATTAAAGTCTTCTCCGTGCCCTTTGAGAGTTGAAATTTTGGCCGGGGAATTCATCGGTTTTTATCGGCTGACGAAACGCTTGACATTTCTGATAAATATTTGTCCTGAAATAGAGGGAAAGAAAGTAGAAATAACCTCCAATACAGGCTCTGAACGCCACGACCACCAATACCCAAGAAACGTACCTCATGCCTGTCCCAACGCCTCGAATGCCCTGTGGACTATCCTAACAGAAAGTGGGCGTAGATGAACAAATTTCCAAGGCCCCTGCCTAGATATGCTCGATCGGACCCTCGGGAAGCAGCTCGTCCATACCGGACATCTGCTTCCTCTTCCATTCCAAGTAGGCCTTCATTGGTGGACGGACGATATCATTGAAGAGGAAGGTGCCATAAACGAGCATGGCAAAACCAAGCACTTGCAGCCACTTGAAAGTCTCCCAGCCGAGGCCAAGAGAGACGATCCAGATGAAAAGAGTACGGCAAGTGTCAATCGTTGCACGCGCCGTGGCCGAGACCGAGCGGGTGACGGAAAGACCGAAAAAGTTGAAACCCCTGGCCAGAAAAGGTTAGGCTGTACCAAGGAAAATGCCTGGAAGATGGACTTACCCAATGCTGAACATGATGAGAATGCTGCTGACAGCTATGGCAGGGAAATGGGTGATTTGGTGCAGTCCCTCCCGTGCGTCAAAGTAGCCGTAACGTCCAGCCTTGGTCCTACCGACAGCAAAATGCATGACGATCATGACCAAGACAGTAACAAGGAACCCAAATATGCCCTCCCAGCCGACGACCTTCAGCGGCTCAAGCTCGTAGTTCTCCATGATGCTCTCCTCAAGCACGAACTGAGTGGCCGTGAAGATCTGGGCGCCAGCGATGAGAAGGATACCGATAACGGTGCGCACTGCAACAGGAGTAGCCATGGCCTTGACCTCATTCGCTGCGCTGCGCACGAGGATCGTTCCGGAGAAGGCGTACTTGTCGCCCATGGGCGTCTGGCCTTCAGGCATGATGCTAGTCCCATGGGCCGACTCCTTCGCGATAGCACCGGCCAAACCGACAACAGCGACACCCGTTACGACAATGATCAAAGACGCCCACTTGTACAGAGCAAGGTGGCGCTTCAAGAACAGGACGCTGAAAAGGCCCACAAAAAGAACCAGCGCACCGCGTGTCATCTGGTAGATACTGGCCGCAACGAACAACAGACCGACGTTCATGAGAGTTGTGCCGGCAATATCGCAGATGGCCGGCAGAGCCAGGTATAGCACCTTCCAGCCTGTCAACGGGATGCGCGAATGATCTTTGTGCGCCGGCTTGAGCGGGTTGGCGACAGGGCAATCCGAGCTCGCAGTGTCAGGCGTATCGGCCGTGGCTTCGATGTCGGCAGCCGAGGGAGGCGCAGGCGAATCGGTGGACTCGCGAGGAACGGCTTCGTAGGCACCGGATTCAGCAGACCCCTTGGAGGCAAAGTATTTGAAGAGCGAGAACCCGCCCACCACGAGCCAGCAGCCCATCTCGCCGATGAACATCTGGGCAGTCTGTACGACGGGCTGCTCGAAGTACTGGGGGTGTTTGCCATCACAGTCGCGCACACATTGTTGGTCCTGACAAGGCGGTTAGCTGCCAGACCCAGGGGCTGTGGCGATGCGTGTGTGGTCCCACCTGGTATTTGGTCAGGAGGGTGTTGCAGACGCCGGTCAGCAGCATCATGCCGACCAAGAAAGGTATGATAGCTCCAGAAGCCATGACGGGCAAACTTGGGAGGGTTGTTGCAGCTGGAGATGGGCGTGGATCCCCGTGTAAAGACGAGCAGCCGTGGGGAGCTCAGAGTGGGAGGCAGGGTCGCTTTAGAGGCAGCGTCAGAGGTCAGGTGGTGAAGGGTGGAGCCGGGATGAAGATGGACGAGGAGCTACGGGTGCTCTCTGACGGAGGCGCGGCGCGTGAGGCTGGTGACGGCTTATCGGAGATAAGCCCCCGCCAATCATTTCCCCCGCTCACCCATCCCACCAGGGTCCGGCCTCCTGTTCGTTCGCCCTCATCTCACGGCGCCTTGGACCTTGACGCTGCGAGTGATCTTCCGATCTGTCGCGCGTCTCACCTTTTTCGCAAAGTCGATGGCTAGTTATTGACTTGTTTCTATATGGCTTCGCCTCAACCTCCCGCGCAATGCACGCCCTCGACCGGTCCGGAATAGACACCGAAGCTGTTGGCAGCCAGACGTCGCCTGGAGGATCATGCTGTTGTCGTGCGTTGCCGTGCCTGTGAGTCGTAGATGAGCCGCATGTGAGGTAAGATGGTTGCTCATAAGCCTGTGAACAGCTAACTCCTGCATATTCTAGACGCATGCAACGCCCGTGTCAATCGTTTCAGCATCCCCGGCGTGAGATAACGAGAGCTCATGTTCATTCTGCCGCCACTGCGCACCACTATGCGGCCAGGACCTTCGGCGTGTTGACCGCCTCTTTGTTTACAAGCAGCCTGTTTCAGAGAAGTGTTTACAGTGGAACAACAAATACATTCATTCATTCTAAAGCTTCGAGCGATGAGACAGTGAAGGCCTCCGTGACATCAGAGCCAGCGATGCGTGCGTTCGGAGCCCAGGATTCGCGGATCCTGGACGTTCCCCACAGATAAATGGGGATGTCGCGGCGCGCAACGCGATGTTATGTCGCGCTCGTCTCGTGGTGCGCGCTGGCGGCTAGCCCCAAGCTGCGCTAAGCGCAGGCTGCCCGCCTGTCCAAGACATCCAACTCTTCCCACCGCGTCGCTGCACCAACATCGCGCGCTCTGCTCCCTCCCCAGGAATAAATTCTGCACGCCGTTCTCGAAGCAATCAGGCCTTCTCATTCAATCCGGTCTCTTTGCAGTCCTTCTTGTCGTTTCGTCCCAACTGCATCGTCACTGCGCGTCGTCTCAATCCAGACGCGTACCGCACCATGTCAACACCCACAACAAACAGAAGAGTCCATGTGGACCCCTCAATGCCCGACAGGATTGCCGCGACTCCGTCCAAGGGCTCTGCGCGCCGCGCGCTTGGAGAGCTTACCCCAAACAAGAGGGTTTCGTCGCAGAAGCCCGGTATCATGGCCGATAAGACACAACCGCCTCGGAACTTGAGCCCGCTGAAACAGGCGCGCCCGCCTTCGCTTGCCCAGGATGAGAACGCGTACGGCATTTCAAACAGCAGGAAAAGGTCCATAGATGATGTTGACAGCGCACATGCGCGCGAGGACCTGACTGCCGCACCCACCAAGCGTGTAGATGGACGCGCCGCGACGCAGGCCTCAGTCCATGCCCTGGCGACTAACATGCAAGCTTCCGCACAACTCGTACGCGATCCGTTCGTCCCGAGGCGGACCAATGTCGCATGCTAACCGTCTTGTAGGCCAGCCAAATTATCGACCTCGCCCGCCGAGACCTTACCCCCACCGACGAAGATTATCTGGAGCCAGTGCCTCAGGGAACCCAAGAGACGACTGGAACAAGAGCATCCTTCTCGTCTCTCATCGACTACAACCCCCATGGCTCATCCCAGCAGACCTCATCTTCCCCGCCCTTGCGAGCGACCAAGCCCCCCACCACGACGGTACGCGCAGACTCGATCGAGTTCGCGCATCATGACGTTCGCCATACCGAGTTCGGGGCGCAGCGAGCCGAAGCCCTTCGCCTGCGCCTGCGTGTCGCGCTCTATAAAGTCAAGACCGGCCAGACCCACGTGCCATTGTCGTGCCTAGAGATACCCAGAGAATATCGACGGAAGCCAGCCGAAAAGGCTGACGCTCCAAGCCGACCAACGTACTCATCTGTCGCACCCGCTCTGGAAGCCAAGCAAACCAGCACTGCACCTGCCATCACGGTCACGGGAGAAGACGAAGTAGAAGAAGGCCTGTCCAACACAAGAAGCAGCGAGCAAAGCGCTCCCAAGCTCCTGCCGGCACCGGTCCTAATGCCCACCGCGTACTCGACGCGCTTCATCACCGAGCCTCAAACGACGACGGTGCCCTCTTCGCCACCAAACTTGGCCAATACCACCGCCACAGCCGCCGACCGCGGCAGCAGCACCCCGCGTGGGCGTGGCAGTAGCGGCAGCAGTAGCAGTCTCCAGGAATTCGTGACTCCGGTCGCGAACAGGCACGCGGCCACACAGCTCAGCAGCCCCCCTTACAGCGAGAACCATGTCCGGCACAGGGCCCCCAACGACTCGGACAACCTCACGAGCAGCGGAGTAAAAGACCGAGCGGCGGATGCTTTGCTGAAGCTGACGCGGTCTGTGTGAAGGTGTGGTTTATGGGATCAGTGGTATGGACGGAGCGGTCGAGCAGCTTTGATCTACAGAGACGTGCTTGGTCAGATGTTTACGAACGAACGAACGCATGCCGGTTGGCACATTGTTACTGCAAGCGGGAGGAGGTCGTCGTCATGAACCACGGCGTTTGTTGGCGTATAGGTGAACCTTGGCAGCGACGACTCTTCATGATGCATTGTGTGGCGTTATGTTAGTGCTTTCTGGAGGTGTCGGCGGAGCGGTTGGTAACTCGATAGCATACTTCGTTGACATTCAAAAAATATTAATAAGATGACCGATGTCGTTATTCACGAGTGAGAAAAGGAGGAGAGAGTGTTTGTGCCAAGAGGAAGCAAAGCTTGGGGCCAGAGAAGGCCATCGACCCCATGTCATCACGACGACTCACGACATACAGCACAGCTCTGACCTCACATCGACTCGCTGACACTTTCCGCTCCCCGGCGCGCCCGCTCCTTATTCTGCCGCGTTCAGCCGGCACCCTACTAAGTTTTACAAAAAGTAGCTACAAAAGCTTTCTTGTAATGAGATGGCCTGGCACGTTCCACAGGACGGTCTTCCCGCGCGCGCGGCCGCCGGGAGGGAGGGGTGCTGTTCGAAGAGAAAAAACAACACACACACGCGCGTGCATCATGTACCGCTGCCGCGCACGCGCACACACACACACACACACAGGGCATTCCGCCCCTCCACGCCCGGTACTTCTGACAACAGCGCGAAAATCCGATTCTCCCCAGCGCCGCTATCGCCCCGACTTGCTGCGGCCCGGGCCATCAACAAGGCGCGGCAAGAAGCGGCTCCTCGCCCCCTCGGTGGTATTATTTATGGAATTTTCTGCCCTTTTTTTTTTCTTCGCCTTCCATCTGTTCTAGCGCGATCTTGTGGCTTATCCGCCCCACCTGCTCTTCTTTCCGTTTTTTGCTTCCTACAATATAATATGTATTTGAGCTTGACAATTGTAAGAGGCCGGGCCGGCCACTTGTTTTTTACCAGCAGAGAGAGCATGTTGCTGCGCTGTTCAACGAGCATATCTTTTCCCCTATCGGGCCTTTGTCCATCGCCCGACTAACTGTTTGATTGGCTGACTGACTGACTGACTACCGGCCTGGCCATGTTTTTTCTTGGAGCAGCCACACGCGCATGCGGCAGACCCCCACAGGGCACCCGTGGCCGGTCAGCGTCTTTGTCATTATTGCGTTATTGCATGTCAGGGCAACTTAAGGAACAGAAAAAGGGCGGGATGCGTGTGCCTCCCCCCCGCAGCAGCAAGTAATAAACTTTCGGCGGCAAGCAGCCACACGCGCAAAAGCGCTTTCCCTTGCATGTGTGATGATGAGGTTGGCCGGCGCGGGCGCGCTATTAGGTTATCATTACGGCCGAGCGAACTCAGAAGTTTCTCCTCTATTATCCACCAAAACCCCCAAAGGACTACAGCGCCCTAGACGCCTTGTGCGCGCGCGCGCGCGCGCGCAATCAAGAAGCAACTAAGAGAAATACACAAATTGACAATACGGCCATGGCAGGATGGCGGAATGTGCATCGTTTAGCAAAGCGTTGGCTAATGGTTTCGCCATCTTCGAACGTCTACACCCGCGGGCGTAGGTAATTTTTACGTAGACAAAAAAAGCGCGTTCCTTCGATCCAAGCGCTTGCGAACTTGCCATGTGTGGGCGGGGAAGGGATGGAAGGGGGGTGGGAAAGAGGGGTTTGGGCAAGGGGGTCGCTGCTGCGTGGGAAAAGAGAGGCGCGGTGGGTGCAAGCGGCGGCCGATGCCGTCGCTGCACAACTGCGTAAACGAACTGTGCTCCTGGAGGTTGTGTGAGAGAATTGCGTCGCCGTCGTCGTTGTCGATTGTCTGGTGAGGGGGGTTGTTGCCGGGGGGGGGGGCTTGCTGTCGTGATCGTGGGATGGGGAGCCGCAGCAGCACGTCGGATCGCGAGGCTGTTACGTTTTAGCTCGGTGCTGGTTTGAGATATTGCGGAGACGGGAGGATCGAGGAGCTAGAATGAAGGGGGGGCGGTACACATGACCGCGAACGACGACACCCTTAGTCACGCCTTGCAGGGGCACCCGTTTCCTTCCCAAAGCGGGCAACACATGCACGATGACCAGACGGCAGCAAATGGGAGCATTCTTCCTGCCGGGCGGGAGTGCTTGTTTTTTGCCTATCGCCTGATTTCGCTCTTCTCCAACGGCCGGGCACTTATCAGACATGCTTTTTCAACTGCCGTCAGCCGTCCAGCTGAGAACCCGGTCCCTTTGCTTTCTCCACCAGGCTGTTATCTCTCCATGTCTCGATGGGCCTCCGACTGCCAGTGAATCGCTGCTTGGCCACCACACCGCAAGATAGGGCCACGGCCGCGTGCCTCTATCTGCGGCCGGCGATAGGTTCCAGTTGGTTTCTCCTGTTACCAGAGCGGAAATAAGTGCGGGGCGGCCCGGCGGGCAAGGTCGACGTGACTCGGCATGTATGTACGAAAGGCCACAGGGCCACCCACCAGCATCAGCAGCACCACTCGGCTACTGTGCAAAGCCGTGACGGCGGCAATTGGGGCGGCTGCAGGTGGCTGGGTTGCAGTGATCAACCGACACGACACAGATCGCCCGCGGCTTGTGATGAGAGAGCGACGGGCCCACGGCCGGGCACGCCGCCCGTCGCATCGCTCTTCCGGGTTTGCAGCCGGCGCCTCGTGGAACAACAACATGGCCTCGATTCGGCACGGCGCACATCTGGTTTGATATATGTCACTTTCGTAAATTGCCTTTTCCGCGGCAACCGGGCTGAGGCACGTAATCATGCTGCACAGCACTCGTCAGGCTCGCCGTCTCGTTCTTGCCAGCGAGCCAAGCGGCGCCAAGCTGGATGTCGCGTCACTGGCAGGGCTGTTATCTGTGACCCTTTGCGGACGGCGAGCAGCAAGGGCTGCGCGAGCTGAGCGGGCTGAGCGAGCTGAGTGGTGGAAGTACGGGCGGCGGCAGTGTGTTGCGTGGTGTGCACCTTTATTCTTGTAAGCACTTTCTTTTGGCCAACCCCACGCCAATCACGGCCGGCAAAGCGCGGACCCGAGCCCGAGCGGGCGGATCACCAGGAACACGGCAGATCGAGGGACGTCGACGGGGAGTCGAGGAGCAGCGGGCGGCGATGGCGTGCGAGTGGGAGCAGACGTGCAGCCACAGCAGGGCGCAGGTGCGAGTCATGGCGAGGGCTGCCGTTGCACTAACGTCAGGTTCGCCCGTCGGGGAAGACGCAGGGCAGGAGCGCAGGGCAGGAGCGCAGCGCGCGGCCGTGGGGGCCACAGGGCCGGCTCATGGGCTGCGCACAGGCGGCCGATAAGGACGGTGGACGGCTGCGAGGCTGCATGTGCGCGAATGTGCGGCGCGCGAGGGGCTAGCGGGCGGCAGCAGCGTTGTTTGCACACAAGCCACGGCCCTGCTCTGCTGCCCTGGGCCTGCAGGCTCTGGGCTTGCACGAGGGGTCCCGCGCCGCGGCTATGCGGCGCACCCCACGCGCAGACAGTCCGACAGCGGAGACGGCGGCGAGGCTTGGCCCAGCCCGCACGCCCACGTCCTTATCGCCCACGTCCATCCAGACACCAGCCCCAGCCAATTGCCAAACAGCGCATCGCCTGCCCTGCCTCTGCCCGATACGGCGCCCGGCCCAGCTGCGCACGCCTCCACCCCCGGCGCGGGAGCGGGATGCGCGCGCCCAAGCTGCCAGTCAAGCAACATGTGCCTGGCGCCGTGGCTTTGTCGCAACCGCGCCCGCCCCGGCCCCAGCCCTCATATCCACGCCCGAGCCGTCTGAAGCTGCGCACGCCTGCGTCCTTCTTCACGCTGCCCCGTCCCTCCCAGCTGCGCGCCCGCCAAGGCCTGCGCCAAAGCGGATGCTCCCGCGACCACCACGCTCCCTTCGCCTTATCACCAAGATATACCACCGCCTGCCGACGGTCAGTCTCCCGCCTTGCTTGCGCCGACGCTGCTAACCCTCCCCCAGTAGCATTCCTGCCCGCCCCTCAATGCGCCTGATCTCCACAGAGCCCAAACCCGCTCTCGCCATTTTCTTCTCAGATGTTCCTTAACACCCACCGTCTGGTCCATCTGCCGCGCATCCCGCCGTCGCAGCCCGAGTCGGAGCTTCCGCGCGGGGAATGTCGCTACCGCCACCGCGAAGCTGGTCAGGCTGACCGCCAGACCTGCGTCTGCCAGGGCTTCTCTTTGAACCGCCAGCAGCCCGTCGGGACCACTTGTGAGTGTGGCCATCCGGCATGGGTCCACGTCCAACAGCCCATGGCCGCCGTCACCTACGATGAGCACAGGGCTTTGGTGGGCGAGTTGGCCCGGTTCAAGCAGGAGCAGGACCGTAAGCTCCAGAACTTGCAGACTGAGCTCGCCCAGACCCAGCACGAGCTCATGGCCCAGCGTGCCCAGAACCTTGAGCGGGAACGCCTCTTCAAGCTGCTCGAGGCACGCCTGTACCAGAACATGAAGGCCATGAAAATCGAGCTGGATGACAAGATGGACGGCGTGATTGACCAGCAGCATGCCTTCCAGCGCAAGTTGATCGACGTTGAAGACGCCACGATGGAGCATGAGATCAAAATTGAGAAGTTGGAGTCTGCGCCCAACGCCGTGGTGACACGAGACCTCACCCCGGTTCCCGAGGCCTCGCTGAACGACGATCTTTCCATGGATACCGCCGTCGATACTGCTGTCGAAGAGCCAACTGCCATGCCCGAGAAGCCGGAGCAGCCCTGGAGCGTCAAGGTGATGATCGTGCCGCGTCGGAGCCAGCAGTTTGCTTTTGAAGTCGACAGCACGGCGCACAGGAGATGCCAGTCCCGCAAGCTCTTCCAGGAAATCGAATTCTCAAGCAGAGACAGTGCAAACTTCCACTTCACCGTCGACAAGGCATTTTCTCATGTCCTCAAGGACCGTCCTTGGGTCCCTCTAATCGGCTATCGCGCTCAGAACGACTGCTTCGGTCGCATTGCTCTGCGGCAGATACCCCCAGAGTTTTCGTCCGGCGACCTGTGGGACTACTTCTTCCTCGATCATCACTGCGTTGCGCACGACAAGCTGCAAGGAGACCTGCTCTACATCGCGCTGCGGGATTCCGACCTGAGCTGGGAGGAGATCAAGGAGCTACCACCCATGTTCGGCGCGTCCGAATCCGTGTGGACGCACGAGGTGGATCTGGACGGACCTCTCCCCGGAGCCAAACATTCCAACGCCCCTTTAGGACGGCTGGATCGGGCGGACCTGATGTACGGGTACTCGCCCAGCCCACCCCCTTACACGTCGCAGCGGCACCACCACCAGACCACCACGGTCCAGTCGCAATCGCAGCCGCAGCCGCAGCCGCAGCCTGAGCCCGAGGCCGTCCTCCAGCAGCACGACGCCAACAGCAACAACCGGATGTCGACGCCCCTCGGCGTGCTCGCGACCGCATCCGCGTCCGTCCTCGGCCACGCGCTCAGCCGGCATCCCACGTCGCAGTCGGCCACGGCGCAGTCGCTCCGCAGCCTGGGCAGCACCGAAGACGGCGCCTCGGACGACGAGCACTCGCACAGGGACAAGATCCGCAAGCTGCGCCCGAAGATGTCGGAGCCGTCGATGCCGTCGGCTTCGCTGGCGGGACACGGCGGCGGCAGCGGCAGTTCGTCACATCATCATCACCACCACCATCATCATCATCATCAACAACACCAGCCGCAGCAGCCGGCCGTGTATTATTCTGGACGGAGCAAGCGGAAGATGCCCGTGCGCGAGAAGACGAAGGAGCCGCTGCAGTTCAAGCTTCCGAGCTTGTTGCATCATCGCAATCACAGTAATAAAGAGGAAGCCGCGTGAGTTTCCTTGTTTTTTGTGTGTCGGGAAGTCGGGGGGCGAAAGAGAAGGAAAACGCTTTTGGGAGGGAGGGGGGATCCCCGGTTTTCAGATAAGGGGCTAGCATGTGTGGTGCGGAGTGCTTTATTATTATTGGTGGGGTGCGGGGATGATGAGGATATGCAAATCCCACGAGGAACTTGCGCCTTTTTTTCCTTTCTTCCTTTTCCCACCTCCGAATCACCCGGATATTACGGACGTAGTAGGGTGTGTGGCATGTGTGGCATGTGTGGCATGTGTGGCAGGGAAAACAAGGAAAAAAGCAAAAAGGAGCTTTCATGTATGTACGTAGTCGGTTGGTTGTTTCGGATTGGCGGGATGTGTCGGGATACCCCCTATATTTTTCTTTATTTTCACCTTTTTCTTTTGCATTTTCATTTGCGACTCATCAAAGGGCGTTGTGGGAAAAGACGGGGGTAGAATCATGTCGCTCCATGTATGGCATCGTATGCCTATTTTTCTCTATCGACGGCTTTTTTGCTTTTGAAGTTGGGGATTTCCATTTTTCTTCTGGAAAAGCATCAGAGATGCTTGTCCTCCTACTCCCCGTTTAGGTCGCTCATCATAGCCATACACTTTTTTACTATACGCTCGGTACTTGGCCGAACCAGCGTTGCTCTTCGAACCAATCGCATCTTACAGCATGCGCTTTTGAAGCCAAAAAGGGCATGTGGATGCGTGGAAAGGCACGTGAGCATCTTAAACTTGCAATCACTAATGAGAGAGAGAGAGAGAGAGAGAGAGAGAAGGTTCATTCTCCTCCAACTTCGAACGTCGCAACAGCTATCGCGGTACGTAACTGGCAGCAGTCTCTCCTCGCCGACGCCCGTCAGCAAAAGACGAAACTATGAATAATGACCGGGGCGCGCCGAACAATTCCGTCCGGACCATCAGGGAAAAGAAGCTGGGGGGGAATGGAATGGAAGGCCCATTGAGCATTGTGCATTCGATGATACCACCACACACGCACGCCAACGAATAGTGCCACGTGGGATCGTTAGATGGGGTGGAAGGGGCGCTCTGACGCATGTGTACCTCTCTCTCTTTCTCTCTCTCTATCTTGTTTTTATTTAAAGTTTTTCTTTGTCTAGACCCAGTAGTAGCTGACGAATGGTGGATATGCACAGTAGCTTTGGTGGCTCCAACGCAGATGGGGCCGATTGGGATTGTGCATTGGTGCGGCGACGGCGGCAGCGGCTCGGTTCAGCTCTCGCTCAAGCTCCGTCATCGTTGCCTAGCTATCGTCGTCGTCGTCGTCGAGAACGAGTGACCCTTCTGGGAATGGGGAAAAGAAAAGGGGGAACGGGAGCTGGGGGAGAATTTGTGGCGCATTATTGGTTTCCCTTGGTCGGTTTGGTTGGAAGGGAAGCGCAGGCCGCTGACACGGGCTATGGTTCCTCACTACTGCACGGGTAAGGGAGAGAGATTCTTGTTTGCTGGGCGGGTGGATGACGTGGTAGTTGAGGCGGGCCGTTGAGTTGACGCCATCACCGTCAGCAGCAACCACGCTGGTCGAAGACGAGAGCAAGCCATGGTTTCGGGGGTGGGAAGAGCGTAGATCGGGTGAAGTTGTCTGGCTGGGTCTGGTGCTAGACATGGTAGTGGGAGGCAGCACCAATTGGGGATGGGGGATTTGCGTGTTGAAGCATTGGGAAGAGGCACAGGCGGCGATCAGCCTGCTCCTTCAGGAACGGCGAGTGATGGATGGACGGATGTGGTTGGTGGACGGGCCACTAGAGAGAAGGCGGGCGGGCCGACGGCGGCGGCGGTGGCGGCATGTCCTGGCCGAAAGGGAGCGGTTCGCGTGGGAGGGCGCAGCAAGAAGGTAGGTAATTGTGTTTGGCAACTTGAACGTCGCAGGCCACCCGCGCTAGGAGGAGTCAGGGTCAACGGGCAGCCGGTGAAGGGCTAGAGCCAGCTACGTGTACATGGCAGCGTCTTGCGGCTCCGCGCCTATCTGCTGGCTATCTGTGCGCACGCCTCGGGGGATCGACCGGTTTCGTCACTCGGCCTTGGCCTCTCCACGCTCCAGCTCCAGCGCCAGTGCGCCGGGATGCGGTGGGCCCGCCTGGCGCCGCTCGATGATGTGATGGGGTTGGTCAACATGTACATACATATCTCCGCCCTGTTCCAACGCTCGTACCACAGCACTCTGCGGCTCTCTCCTTGCGCCAACATTTCCGCCGCCGAAACACCCATCGCGAGCGTTGCGACAGCCCGCCCCGAGAACTCCCGCCCGGCGTGCACCCCGGAGCAACGTCCGCGCGAGTGTCGCCGCGCTTGCCGATAGGGTCAGCCCTGCGCCGGCCTTGACGGCGTCCCTGCCGGTGCCTGCTTCGGACGCTCGCCACATCCGAATGAGGGCGCGTCTCGAAATAGCCGACGGGGGCGTCTGGTGGACGGCGGTGAATGGCGGTCGACGACGGCAGTGGCTAGGTTCGAGCGGCGGCAGGCAAAGAAGCAGGCCATGGGCAGCATGGGCGATGGTCGGCGATGGTGGGCGATGGGGGAAGCGGCGGCGGAGTCCCCATTGGCGGGGAGCGGGCGCTCCTGCCCCGCGTGTTGCATTCCATTCATGTAACCCCAACCGCGCATCGTCGGCCAGAGCGCAACGGCAGGGTGGGCAGGAGCCGGCGAGGGGGTGCGACTGCCTATCAATCGCCGCTGCCAAGCGCGATAAGGCTGCCCTCCGTATCACTCAGCCTGAGGCCGCTCGACCCGTGCAACCGTATCAGCGCTCGCGGCTGAGGAAACATCCGGAGACTGCTGCCCAGGTAGCTCTATGTAAACACCGCTGCTCGCTGCCCGCCACTCTCCTGTCTCACCACCCCGACCGTGTCTGCCGCCTGCCGGGTTGATCGCGAGCGTGTCTGTCTGTCCGCGTCCGTCCGACACCTCTCCTCGACGACGACCGTCCGCTTGCCCCGCACAGACTCCGCACTCAGACCATGGCCGTGGCCGACGACACGGGGGCCAAGACAGACCTCAAGGTCTCGTCGCAGCCCTCTTCGCTCAAGGATGTCTCGACCGGCAACGCCGAGTTGGCCGACACTGCTCCCTTGCCAACCTACGAGCACGAGAAGAGGCTCGTCCTGAAGTTTGACCTGCGCATCCTGCCCGTCCTGGCCTTCATGTACCTCTGCAACTCTCTGGACAAGGGTAAGGATCCCCCACCATTCCACCATCCCCCCCGCATCGCGCTAAATCCACCGTAGGCAACCTGGGAAACGCGAAGACGGATGGCATGGAAGATGACCTCCACTTCAAGCCCCACGAGTACAACCTGATCCTCTCCATCTTCTTCATCCCCTATGTCATCTTTGCTCCTCCCATTGCCTTTCTGGGCAAGAAGTTCGGCCCGGGCAAGGTCCTGCCCCTCCTCATGTTCACTTTTGGAAGCATGACCTTGCTCGGCGCTTGTGTTCGCAACTTTGGTGGCATGATGGCCCTCCGCTGGATCCTGGGCATGTCTGAATCAGCCTTCTTCCCGCTTGTCATCTACTACCTGACCACTTTTTACCGTCGTGGCGAGCTTGCCAGACGTCTGGCTCTCTTCTACGCCGCCTCCAACATTGCCAACGCCTTCTCAGGCCTGCTCGCCTTTGGCGTCTTCCGTACGTCAACTGAACAACCGTGCCCCTCTTGAAATACTAACCACTTCTCAAAGAAATCAACTCCCACCTTCATGGCTGGAGGATCCTCTTCCTGGTCGAGGGTGCCATGACTGTCACTTTCTCCGTCTTCGCCTTCTTCTACCTCCCCAAGTCCGGCACCGAAGCCTGGTTCCTCTCAGAAGAAGAGAAGCGCATCGCCTACCAGCGCATGCAGATGGACTCGTCCTCTGTCGTCAACGAGAAGTTCAACCTGAAGGAAGCTCTCAAGATCTTCAGAATGCCCGCCACCTACGCGTGGTTGGGCATCGAAATCTGCCTCGGCGTCCCGCTCCAGTCCGTCTCGCTCTTCATGCCGCAGATCGTCGGCGCGCTGGGCTACGGCAGCGTCAAGACCAACCTCTACACGGTCGCCCCCAACGTCGTCGGCGCCGTCGTCCTGCTCATCCTCGCCTTCGCCTCGGACCACGCGCGCCTGCGCTTCCCCTTCATCGCCCTCGGCTTCCTGCTCACCTTCACCGGCTTCATCATCTACGCCGCCATCCCGGACATCCACGCCCAGATCCACGTCGCGTATTTCGCCTGCTTCATGATGACTTGGGGCACCAGCGCGCCCAGCGTGCTGCTGAGCACGTGGTACAACAACAACGTCGCCCACGAGGGCCGCCGCGTCACCCTGACGTCCGTCGGCGTCCCGCTCGCCAACCTCATGGGCGTCGTCAGCTCCAACATCTTCAGGAGCCAGGACGCCCCCAAGTACAAGCCCGCGCTCGCGACGACGGCGGCGTTCGGCGCCACGGGCGCGCTGCTGACGCTGCTGCTGGGCGCCTATATGATTGTGGATAACAAGAGGAGGGACGTGAAGCAGGGCGTGAAGGTCAGGGCGAGGGATGTGAGTACCGAGAAGTTGAGGGAGGGTCCGAAGAGTCCGGATTTCAGGTGGTTCTTGTAAGGTGAGAGAGAGAGAGAGGTCTTTTGGGTTCGGGGTTGGGGATATATCGAAAAGTCTAATGTTTCTTTTTGGATGTGGGATGAGATTATACCATGAGATACCATTGAAGCATGATCTTACAATCTATATTTATCATTATTATGGCTTCTCTCAGCCTTTCGACGCGAGTTCCTTGGTGTTTGGGCCAGGTAGAAACGCCGTGAGAGTGACAATATAATTTACAAAGCCTGCAGCAACGGTTGGTCAGCGCTTGCTCAGTACGTCGGCTTGTAAAGGGGCCCGACCGATCTGACCAAACTTCTTCTAACTGCAGTACCAGGCGCACGCTGGTTGAGACATCCTCATCTACACCCTCATACTTGCATGTTCTATATGACGTTAATGGACGGGGCTTGAATAGACTCGCCGCAGCACTGAAACCGCATTGTACAGACGGATATCTTCACCAATAGACCAAGACTACACTTTTAGTCAATAGTGCTTTACCGATGAAAAGCAGGAGGCTCAGGCATTCCGCCCGACGTCTCCATCTTCCCCCATTCGTATTGCCAATGCTGAGTGTTGTATAGCAATGCCAAAGCAGGATGAGAGCCCGCGGACTACAGGAACGTCAGTAGAACTTTTGTCGTGCAGTCCAAGGGGATTAGTTGGTCTTACTAGGGGGGCTTCCATGTCAGTAGCAGCTGGTACCTAAAGCCGTGAACGGATCCACCCATTCCGTTTTATGGCTGATTGGCGGCCTCCAGTGGATTCGGCCCGCCGCCAATCCTGGAGCCTACGTCAATTTCAAAAGCACACACGGTGGAAATCGCCTGAGATAGAAAGTCGTGGGAAGTTATTGATAAGTGTTTGACATGCTGCTACCCATAATAAGCCTTTCTTTGGACCCTAAAAAGAGATATATCTTCCTGACAAACAATCAATAAACTCGCTCACTGAAAGTTATGGGGAGGGCTCGGTTATCCCGTGAGAACGGCAAGAAATAAAAAAGAAATAGCAATATCGTACATAGTCGTCCGTTCGAGCCATTACCAATCCGCATGACGACGTCGAAAACCACTCACACAAACTCAAACTACTAGCCTCAGCCAGCCAGCCAGCCCTCCCTATCCCCCTCATCACACTCACTTCTCCGCGACAAGAAACTCTACCCTCCCAACCTTGCTATAGACCAAGACGGCCAAATCCGAGTCTCCGGCCTCCCCTTTGACCGCATGCACCCACCTCCCGACGGGCCCATGCGTCCCCTCGCTCACGACGTCCAAGCCGTGGCCGCCGACCCTCAAGCCGCCGACCTGCGTGTCCACATCCGCCACGCCCGCCCACTCGGGCGGAAAAACCGCTCTGACGGACCCTGCCGACGACGTGAAGGCCGCCGTCAAGTTCGCAAACGGGTTGTTGCTTCGCCCCTTCTCGTCCTCGTCCTCGTCCTCGTCCTCGTCCTCGTCCTCGCCCTCCTCCTTGGCCCGACGATCCGTCGACGTCTCCGGCGCCAAGACCCGCACCACCGACGAGCCCGCCTCGTTCCTCGTCGTCATCAGCGACGAAGAAGACGCTCCACCAGAAGAAGAAGAAGAAGAAGAAGCCGAGCCCGAGCCCGCCGCCCCCACTCAAAACCGGCAACACCACCACCTCGATCCCCCCACTCTCAGACCCAAACTCGCTCTCCTCGACTCAAGCACGTACGCCCCCGTGATGCTCCCCGCCCCCGTCTCAACACCAACCCCATAATCCCGATCCGGCAACAACAACAACCCCCCTCCTCCTCCTTCTTCTCCCCTCCCCCTCCCCTTCCTCCCCTTCCTCCCCTTCCTCCCCTTCCTCCCCCCTCCTGTACCGCCGCCACCCCCACCGCCCCCCCAAAACCTCACCCCCACACCCGCCCCCGCCCCAAACACAGCCGGCACGTCTTCCCTCCCCCTCCCCGCTCCGCCCCATGAACAGGCCGCACGTCGACGTCGACGTCGACATCACCGACAGCACCAGCACCAGCATCGATGTCGAGCAGGTCGAGCACCAGCGCAAAAGGTGCCACCGGCGGCGGTGGTAGTGGTGTGGATGCGCGTGCGGCGGCTGCGGCTGCGGCTGCGGCTGCGGATGGGGTGGCTGGCGAGTGCCGGTGCTGGCGGCGACGAGGGCCGGCGGCGAGGGATCAATCAGACGTCGAGGGAGGAGCGGAGGAGGGTGAGGTTGAGGAGGGGGTGGTGCAGGTGCAGGTCGAGGAGGGAGAGGTGGATGGCGGTGATGGTGAGGGTGTTAAGGGGGGTGGTGGGGGGTGGTGGGGGGAGGGCGAGGGTGATGGCGATGAAGGTGCAGTGGGGGTGGTCGTGGTCGTACAGGCCGTCGTCGTCGTCGTCGTCGTCGTGCGGGCGGGTGGGCTTGGGGCGGCGGCTGTTTTCTGGGGTGTCGATGCTTTGCAGGATGGTTAGGCTCGTGTCTGTGCTGGCGACGGTGACGGAGCGCTGGAGGTCTGGGGAGCTGCTGGAGATTGTCACGGTGGCGCGGATCAGGTTGCTGTTTTGGTGGTCGGCGGCGGGCACGAGTCTGATGAGGCCGTGGATGTCGTGGAAGTCCCCGTGGTGTTGAGGTATCTGCTCGACGATGCGGAGGTCGTCCACGTGCTTGAAGTCGTGGGTCGTAGTCTGAGTGTAGGGCAGGTCATGGCAGTGGTAGAGCGTGGGAAGTTGCTCCCAGTTTGGCAAGTCATGGTGCACGTGGCTCTATACACAGACAGGTTCAGCGGCGGCAGTGCGAGTTTCCAGTGCCGGCGAGCAAGTACCTTTTTGTTCTTGGCTCGGCCGACGGTGACACTCAGGATCAACCAGATGAGGATTGCATGGGCGGCCGCAATGAAGAGCAGTCTGAGGATCTTCCCGCGGGACCAGGGCCTTCGTGGCCTGTGGTGAAGATGCACGGCGGCAGGGTGCACGCCGGCATTCTCGAGGTCCTTTGACGGTCCCGTGTCATACTCGGCCTGGTTCCGGGACGGACCAGCAGCAGCCGTGTCACGAGGCACTATGCTCGGGTAGGCTGGCGGTGGTAGAGGAGAGCCGAGTAGAGGAGTCGACTCCTCCGACTCGTCCGAGACACGCGCCTTCCTCGACGGAGACGGCTGTGGCGAGGGCATACCGAAGACTGCAGTGAGTGCGGAGCGAGAGGTGAAGTCCTGGGCCCGAGGCTGGTTATGACAGCGGCCAAAAACCGCGGCCTGGTGGCACTGTGATTATGCGCATGAGCTGGCCATGGCGTGCTCGCTGGCGGGGGACGTCAGCGATCCGCATAAGTCTGGCGCTTGAGCGGACGGCGACATGCAACCCCGCACCTGGAGGATTTGGCGGGGGCGTCAGTGAGGGCACGAGGGTCCAGTTCCGACGAAAGGGAAGCGAGTGAGGACGAGAGAGCAGCACTCACCGTCACTCACCTCACTCACCGCGACTTACTTCGCTTGCTGCACTGCCCGCCACGTGAGTGCGGACAGCCTCAGTGCTGTCCCATTGGCGCGCGCGCGTCGGAGCCGTGGACGACGCTCGTCCAAACATGCAAGCCATTGCCACTGTCCCATCACGTGTGGCCTGCATCTGCGGCACACTAAGTCGGCCCAGACTCCCGTCCAGCTATATACGTCTCGCCCATCATTGGTACACTATTCGACTAACGTAACAATACCCCCTGGCTCGTCCCACCCGCTAGGGCCATGACACAATCGTGACAGCAAGGATGTATTTACTATCGGCTGTAGGGTATATGGAACCTTTGGTCTTCGGGACGAGCCATTTGCCATAACATTGCAACGAAGCGCGTTCGTGAACATACACAACATGAACAGTAGTAGTTTCAGGTCCCCTACATGGCGCCTCCCAGATGCATTGCCCGCCCAAATCCCCCAAACTCCTGCCAAACCCAGACCCTTAACTCAATGACACTGACACCGACCGGCTCTTGCTCCTGCGCTCAAAGTCCGGCCCTGGCTTGATGCCGAATAACGCCTCCGTCCAGCTCCGCGGCGTTGGTGGTGGCGTGCTCGTCGACGTGACCTTTGCCCTTGCCGTTCGCATTTCCAGCTGGGAGAGATGTTGGAATTTTGTTAGTTTGGTCGCCGACACGAAGTCGTCGTACCGCACCCAGAAAAGCGGCTCCAGCTGCAGGAACTTGGCCTTCTCCGCCTGGATCGTCGTGCTTTGTTGCTCCGGATTGTACCCCGGCCAGTTCTGCCGCTCGAACAGGAAATCCTCCGCAAGCTGCGAAATGTCGTACGTTTCGAGGAATCCGTGGAGCTGCTTGGTCGACACGGGCTTGCACTCCCATGACTCGAACTCCTTTCTGACGTCAAGCTCTGGAAGCCCCAGAATGCCCACGACTTGGAAACTCATCATCCAGAGCTCGTCTCGCCGAGACTCTGGACAACCCGGATCGATGTCCGAGTTCTTGGCAACGTGAACCGGCAGGAAATTGTACTCGATGCCGCCTTCCTTCGTCGCGAAGTTGAAGCGGAGTGGCCGATCTGCTCCTTTTTCACAGGCCCGCCTCAACGCCCGGGGAAGCTTCTCCAGTCGTTCTTGTCGTTCGCGTTCGGCTTGTATCCGTTCCCGCTCGGCTTGCAGTCGCGCACGCTCAGCTTCCTCGGCAGCTAACCGTGCCCTTTCCGCTTCTAGCCGAGCCCGTTCCTCCTCCGCTCGCCTCTCTGCCTCCTTCTCCTCTTCCTCCTTTCGGGCCTTCTCCGCGGCTGCTTTCCGCTCAGCCTCAGCGCGGCGCTCCTGCTTCACGCTTTCAGGCGTGTCTTCCTTGACCGGTTCTGGCTCCACTTCGGGCTCGGCTTCAGGCCTGGCTTCGGCTTTCGCGGCTTTTGCTGGTGCGGGGCGTGCCTCCGATCTCTCTTGTTCCGGTGAAGATGGATGCGGCGAGCTTCTGATGACCTTCGCAGTATGACCCGTCTTTCTGCGCACATTGCGGGTTGGACCGCGAACTTCCTCTTCGTCCTCGTCCGAGTCCTCCGATGTGCTGTCTCGCGATCGCCGGTTGAGTTCTCTGCGTGAAATCAAGCGCTTTTTGGGTTTGGCGTGGTTGTCCAGCGTGATGTGCTTATTTGAGCTCTTGTCCGACGGCCTCCCCCTAGTCTCCCTGTCATGTGTTCGTTTAGAGCTTTCGTGGTCGGTAGCCTTCCTTCGTGGGCTCCTGGGATCCGTTCGCCTCATCTCCGGGCTTCGTAACCGTCTTGACTTGGTTTTCGCTCGCTCATCGTATTTCTCCTTTAGTAAATTGCGGACATCCTTTGCGTTTGGTCCGTCAAAGTCCTCAGCGAACTCCCAGTAGGTCAGCCCATCTCGATTCCGCCTCGTTGGATCAAAATCATCTTGGGCCAACAAGAGACGAATCACGTTGAGATGGCCTTTCTTGATTGCAACCAACATGGGCGTCTCGTTGTGCTTTGCAGGATCGCGATGGTCGGCAGAAAGTCCGGTTGCAAGCAGAAAACTCAAAATCTCGTCGTGGCCACCGCGTGCAGCAGCAACGCCGCAAGCAACATTTGGCATGATCCCAGAAGCAAGCAATTCGTCCACGGCTCGTTTGTCTCCTTGCTCAGACTTGATGCGGAGAACCTCGGTGTTGTACTCGTTCGGTAGTAGCGTGGGTCCTACTGATTCCTCCACGCTCCGAGGTGTTCGACTCTCGGACTCATCTTCCGACTTTTCCTTCTTCCACTCCATCATTGCCTTCTCCAATTCGGCTTTAATCTCGTCGGCCTCATCGATGGTCGAATCCAGAAGTGCCAGTGCCGTTTTGAAGTGTTTGTTCTCGTATGTCGGATCCACACGAGCTTTCCAGAGGAGCAGTTTGATAACTTCAACATGGCCATTCTGCGTTGCGTCGATGAGAGGGGTGTCGTGATCCAACCAGTCATGGCCATCAGTTGCACAGCCTTTGTCAAGGAGGAACTCCACAATGTCTTCGTGCCCGTTTAGTGAAGCTTTTTGCAGCGGAGTGACGCCAGCATAATCAGGTGAGTCCAGTTCGTCTGGCGACGCTTCGTAGGCTTTTTGGACCGCCGCAAAGTCGCCCTTCTCGCAACAGCGTAACAACCGCGTGGCGCCAAACGCATCCTTCTTCTTCGCTGGCGGCAGAGTCCGAACCGGAGACGTCATAGACCGTGTGCCGCCTCGCCTCGGCCGTGAAAGAGGCGGCACATTGGATTGGGGATGGGGTGAGGAGTTATTTGATTCTTCGCTGTCGTCTGAGGCCCAATCCTTGTCCTGGCGAATGTTCTCACGCCGTCTGCGGTTCTGGGCGTTTTGCACAAGAGACTGGGTGGACGCCGACCTCTTGTGGACTTTGATGCCTGCTGCAATGGGTGAGGCTGGATTCCTGGAGTTTTTGCTGAGAGCCTCGGTCTTGTGCCGCTGCCGGGGCGGCTCCAAATCGGCTTGGTTTTCCCGTAATTTCCGTTTCCGCGTATCGGCAACCGATGAGCTTCTTGCACGTGAGTCATGACCGAGAGGGGGCGAGTGAGAGAGGATCCGAGCGGATGAGGCGTTTTTGTGTGGATAGTCATGGTCACTGGAGAAAGCAGACGAAGCCTTGCGACTGGCTGGGCCGTTGTCATGCGATTGGGCGCGTTCACGGCCGTTGGCACCGTTCCGCTTGTTTTCTGGGACGCCATTGGGAGGGGCTAGTGGGCGAGGGCTCTTACGAGCAATGGAATCCTTGGCGGCATCGGACAACAGCTTGGCGGATGGAATGTCGCTTATCTCGTCGTCGTCGTCGTTGCGTTCGTGCTTGATTACCTTCTTCGGCCTCTTCGTCTCGTCATGCTCGGGCCCAGACAACACGACCGTCTCCGCCTCGGATTCATCCTGCTCGGCATGAGCATCACGTCCATGGTTCCCATTGCGGACGGCGGTGGCCTTGCTGTCCTTATCGGTAAGTGGAGGGGACGACGGAGGCGCTGGGGACCGGACTCGATCGAGGGAAGGCTGCACCGACTGCGGCTCTCCGTTGCCAGATGGATTCGGCGGCGGCAAGTGGTCAGCGACAGCAGCGCTACTGCTCATCACGGACTTTTGATCACAGGTGATGCCTGCCTCATGCTGGAGGGGGCCCGGGTGAAGCCTGATGACCGTGGGCGCCAGTTGCTCAGCAGACCGGTGCGCGTCGAGAGCCTGTCGGACGGTGATCTGGGCGTGCACTTCAGCCAGCTTGCTGCGTGGATGCACGTGGAGGAAGTGTGGGGTGGCGGTGCGTCGTGCGGGTGTCGTCGGGGCGGGGGGAGGTGGTGGTGGTGAGGAAAGAGCGGTACGGAGCAGGCGTGGGAGGTGTGGGAAGGCGAAGGCGAGGAAGCGCGACCGCCGGCTGGAGACAGAGAGGAGGCGGCCAGCACGGGCCGGGTGCTGACATAAGGCAGCCTGCTTCACAAAACCGCGGCTGCGACTCGTGATACCGTACCGGGGCCGTCCAGCTCACGGTGCCTGGCGGAGGCGCGACACGCTGGCCGCACCCACCGGCGCGATCACCTTATCGCCACCCTGCCCCTGAGCCCGCGAAGAGGAGCGCAGTCGCGACAGGTGCTGCGCGAGAGGCCGGCGCGAATAGGATGCGTTGAGGCATTAACGCTCTGACAGCCGGCTGAACAGCGTTACGAAACACTGCAGAGCCTTTAGCTTATCACCTCCCCCAGCCCCAGCGCGAGAACGGCATGGCCTCCCCGCTCCTGCACCCGCTCGTCGCCCGCCTCGAGCCCGTCGTCTTTCTGCGGTCCCTTTTCCTCACCGCAGCCTCGATTGTAATCCACCGTGTCCTTTCCGCTTGCGCAGCCCGCCCACCGCTGCAGACCGCTGTTCGCTGACGCAGCCGCAAGGTTCTCGCCGTCGACGCCGTCCCAGCCTTCCGCTCTCGCTTCCTGGCTTACGGTTCGCGCACAGCAAACACGTCCGCAGCCCCAGCCTCGCGCCCACGCAATGCATTTGCCGCCGTGCTCGACCACCTGGCGACGTACCGCGTCCCGCACAGCTGGTTCGCCCACTTCTACGTCCTGTCCGTGCTCGGCTCCGGCTTCTGGGCGGAGCAGTATGCCACCGATGGCGCCCTCCTGAAACTCGTCGCCGGCAAGGCCACCGGCCATCGTACAGCCACCATGTCGGTGGCACGAGTCCGTCTAGCCTGGCTGCTTATGCTCGTACAAGGCTCGCGGCGTCTGTACGAGTCCGCCGTTCTGTCGCGTCCGTCTTCATCCAACATGTGGATCACGCACTGGCTGTTGGGCCTGCTATTCTACGGCGCCATGTCGATTGCCATCTGGGTCGAAGGGACGCCGGCCTTGCAATCGTCGGGTGGCGGGAACGGAAGCACGGCACCGCCGCTGGATCTGCAGCTCGTCACGGGCACCTTGCTTTTTCTCTGGGCTTCCAAGCAGCAGCACGACGCCCACGCACATCTCTTTGGCCTGCGCAAGTACACCCTGCCCACCCGAGGGGCTTTCCGCTACATTGTGTGTCCGCACTACACGTTCGAGTGCGCCATCTACTTGGCCTTGTCAGTTGTAGCTGCGCCGGTGGGACAATTGGTCAACAAAACGGTGCTGTGTGCTCTGATCTTCGTAGGCGTGAATCTGGGCGTGACTGCCGCTGGGACGAAGGAGTGGTATGCGACGAAATTCGGTAGGGAGACGGTGGAGAGACGAGCGAGGATGGTGCCGTTTGTCTGGTGAGCGAGCCTAAACAAAACTCTAGACTTGGTGGTGGCGAATTGCCTCGCGCGTCTGTATCACCAGACAGCACCGCCCCAGTCGCGAAATGTTGATGCAGGGTTGGTTTGTCTGTGCTGCACCGGCAGGTATAAAATCAGGATATTCTCTGCCAATGTGTGTCGAACGCAACGGGACAACCCATACTGCGAAGCAAGGGGGGTAACCAATGTATTGAGCTGCAACGCGAGGCCCCAAGCCTCGCAGGGCGCGGAACGGCTTGTATGAGAGAGCCGTTTGGGCGATGGCGGCGAGGGTGGGCTTGGCCATGGCAGGCATGCTGCTGCAGCCCGTTGGGATCGATTAAGCGCTCGGGGGTCCGTGTGTAGCTTCGCAGGCAACTCAGTCCACTGGCCGTCTGCTGTAGAGAGCGCGGATAACATGTTGTACGGTCGAGTGCAGGCTCTCGGCAACGGCGTGACGGAGAGACTCTCGGCGGAGGCTGCTGCTGCCGTGGGAGCGATTGCATCATGGGCCGGCCCAAGCTTCTGTCGCCCAGAGCTCTCGCGAGCGCAGGTCAGTCAGCGCAGCGCTGCCAGAAAAAAAAAAAAGCAGTCTGGGCAACGGCGCAGACAAGGCCCCGCAATGGACGCCTCGTACGCACGTCGGCGGTCTAATCAGCACGAGCTCGTGGACATGGCGTCGTGTTGAGCAGCCGCGTGATCTCTGCCCCCAGCTTTTCTCCGCTCTCCGCGCCCTGCTTCGGCGCCTCTGCCCTTTCGCACCCAACGCTCGTTGCTGCGGCGGGGAACCATTTACTCACCCTCCAACTCTGCCTGCCTCAGCCCAATCCGCCACACGCACCGCTCTCGCCGACGAACTGTTGCAATGGCACCCCAAGCTGAGGATGCGTACTGCACGGTGAGTCGTCCGCCATGCCACTGTTTCGTCCTGCGCTAACTCGCATGAAGCTCGTCATGAGCGACTCATACCTGCCAGGTGCGCCGCGAAGCTGCCAGACCGGCTCCAAAGCCCAGGAAGCGCGTACTGATCGATCCTACAGGTGCCGCCGTACTTGCGCATTCGCTCCGCGATGGAGGGGCGACGAAGAAGCTTGCCGCTCTCATCACACTGGATACGCTGTCTGCAGATTCGATTTCGGAGCTCAAGGTAGCCATTGGCCTGCCATTGGCCCTTATCACGACATTCGTTGACGGGTGATACAGGAGCTTTATGACTATGTGATTCCGGTACCGCACATCGGCAACCCGAAGCCTGCCAATCTTTACCTCATGGATCGCGGTGACCTCGCCTACACCTTCACTAAGATCGCGCTCTGGCGACAGCTCCAATTCCGCAAGATCGTCTACATCGACGCTGACGTGGTTGCTCTGCGAGCCCCCAACGAGCTCTTCGACCTCGAAGCGTCCTTCGCCGCCGCCCCCGACAGTGGATGGCCCGACTGCTTCAACAGTGGGGTCATGGTCGTGAGCCCCAACATGGGAGACTACTGGGCATTGCAGACGCTAGCTGCAAGTGGAGACAGCTTCGACGGTGCAGACCAGGGGCTGTTCAACCAGTATTATGAGCACAAAAGTTGGCACAGGCTCAGCTTCCTGTACAACTGTACCCCGAACGCCCAGTACCAGTGGGAGCCTGCGTTCCGACACTACAAGAGCAAGATCAGTCTGGTGCATTTCATCGGCAAGAACAAGCCTTGGTCCAAAGACTCTCGATATGGGGGTGGCTCTGGCGTTTATAGCGAGCTCTCTGCCCGATGGTGGGCTGTCTACGACCGACACCTCAGAGAGAAGGTAGGTCGCGTAAACCCCCTGTGTCTCTGAAATGTTAACACCATCCAGGCAGAACATGTCGACGCCGAGACGGTACTCCAGACTGCTCCCAACACGATACAGCAAGCTGGCTGGGCGAATGGTCAATCGACTACACCCGCCTCCCAAGGAGGTGTAGCTTCGCTTACCCAGCCTGCTGTGCAACCAACACACCCCGCACAGCACTCTGAGCACTCTTCCCCTCCTCGGCAGGAGTCGGGAGGGAGGTTTTCGCCGCCCCACATGGAGTGGGATGCTACTCGGTAGGCCCTCTTTTAGCGTAGACACCAGCATTTCTAATTCATTTCAGCACGGCTCCTCCAGTAGAGTCACGGCCCGAGGCCGCAAACTTCCCCACCCAGACTTATACGTTTAGCGAGGACCATCATCTCTTCAAAGCACCAGCTGCATACCCAGAGCCTCCCAAGAACATGTGGTACGAAGTGCCGGAGGCGAAGCCTGCGCCACAAGTAATGCCGAAAGCCATCTTCCCTTGGGAGCAGGAACGTGAAAGGCCGAAGCCTACTCGTGTGTTTGCGGAAGACCTTGCACCGCCTCAGCCAGCACCACAACCTGTCGCTGATCCTACTGCTTCTTCTGCAGGTGTTCCAGCAACGCTCTCGTCTGAAGGCGACGACGCAACTTCAAAGGGTTCTCCACTATCCGCAACGCCAAAGACTCCCGAGGATCCCTGGCAGACCTTCGGACAAACCAGCGCCAACGCTTGGGATAGCGTTCCTGGAATTGAGAAATACGTTCGCGCGGTAATGGGTGCACAGATGAAGAAGTCTAAGCCTGCTGGCATATCGCTCGAAGGCCTGGTCAAGCCCATTGAGCTTTTCTCGCCTACTGGAGAAGGCACCAGTGAGCGTCGTGAAAGCCTAATCTTGACTGACTTCCCCAGCGCCTTTGAGAGGCCGAGTCTTCCGGTGACGCCTGCACCCGTTCGACGACCGACGTTTTGGGGAAACGAACGAGATGAAACGGGCGAGCTACCAGCCGCTGAAGGGGTACCATCGCAAGCTGAATGGGTAAGAGGCTCCTTTACTTGGGGATGCCCCAAATGCGGCTTCCGTTCTCATGATCTTGACTTGTTTCGGCGCTCGCGTTCTCCCCCTCGTCGGCCATTCTCTCGTTCGTTGCATACCTCGCAGCTCTTGGCTGCAACGTCAGTTGCTTTGAGTGCAGCTGCTCATACCACTTCCAACAAACCGGAAATGCCTGCGCATCTTGTACCGGTCAAGTCTGCCAAGGAGGTCAAATACGAACAGAAAGACGACGTAGGCATGAGATATGCCGGTGTGCCTGCTGTTGTTTCTTCAAAAGCCTAATCTTTTCGATATCGTGCGCCTGAACAACTGAAAGCTGACAATCGTTGCGAATAAGAATCCCGAAGAAAGGCTTGAGACGCTACGTCGCTCGTCTCTCCTCGAACTCGAGCATCTCAGGCGGGCTTCCGCCTCGAACGCACCTTCACGAGAGCTGCCGGCACACTCAGTTCCTCGTCCTCACAACGATGCTCAGCACCATAGCCTTTTGGGTCGTGCGAGCCCGCAAGCACAGGACAAGGCCTCGAAAGACAACGGGCAGGGGCAGGCCAGCCAAGCACATGAGACTAAGACGGAGACGGCAACGGCTTTAAAAGCAGAGGATGTAAAGTCTACCGCGGAGACGACGAAGCCGGTTTTCTCGGAGCCGGATTTTGGCAACCCTCCCGCCGTTGAAGATGCAGAGTCGTCTGGGAAGAAGGCGGACGTCAAGGCTGATATTTTGAGTCCGACTGAGCGGTCCTGATCCATCCCTTACGCTCTTGTTACGAAGTGACGATCGTTGGCAGTTTCTCGCCAAGCCCTCCCTCCTAGTGTTTCCCCCAAGCAGCAACCCTAAGTAATTTCTTCACCCTCAACAATGTCCCTATGTTTTCTTAACCGTGGCCTCTGTTGAACATTCTTGGGCAAGACATGGTTTCTCCTTGTTTCGGTGTCTGTTCTGCATGGCTTGCGTAGCATAGCCTTTGTGCATCCAACCCTTTTTCATGGCAAACATCTGGATTTTATGCTCGGCCACCTTTCACTGCTCATATCTTGTCTCTCTGTACTGAATCCTCTTTGGTGGTTACTTGTACTTTTTTTTTCCGATATCCTCTTCTTCCTGGCATGTCTCTACTGAGGCTTCTTTTGTTCGGCATGTCCAGGCGCTGGTGCTGTCGTTTTTTTCTTGTTCCAATTTTCCTGTATGCTAAATGTCAGGACCTCTTTTGAGGGTCTATAAAAATGAGATGCTGTACGGCTCGACTGTTCGTTTCTCGCCCAAAGTTTGATAGAGACCGGCTGAGGGAAGCATTAAGTCATTTTCGTGCTCAGTTGTGTGCAGGATAAACTCGGTGCTGCATTGATAGTCATTGATCGTATTTTAAATAAACTTGGAGGCATTCTATCTTCCTGTACGGACAGGTGTTTAGGCCACGGTGAACTAAGGGAGCATAGCGGTCATCCGAGGGGAGCGAGCGAGCCCCCAGACCACCTTTCACTTTGCCCGCATCAACCTCACTCTACCAAAGATGGCCGAGTGCGTGGCAAAGCCCCTACCGGTAAATCTGCCTCAAGCTGCAGGGGCAGATAGGCTGTCACTCAGACAAAGCGTATATTTGCACACTAAAGAAGATGGGCTCATCCATGACGCCCGATGGTGAACACAAAAAAGAGAAGCCGAGCAGGAAGGGATTTGGCCGGCCAATCAGCCCGTCGAAGCGTATCTCGTGGACGGCTGCCACCGCGTGAGACAGGCAGAGGCGCCGTCCGCTCGATGTTCGGCTCTGACGCAGGCAACACCCAGGGGCTGTGTGCATGCGCCGTTGCTTTGGGCGAGCGTCCGTCCGCTTTGACGGTGCCTGTTGGCCATGTTGGGGCTGACCGGCATGAAGTCAGTGGCACGCCCTGGTGCCGTTTTAAGCACAGACGCGTTATGCAGGCCCTATGGGTAGCACGTTGCGGGAGACATGACTTGTCGAGACACTGGGCGGGCGGATGGCTCGTGGCCCCCTTGAGGCGCGGATGCTTTTAGGCGGCGCTACGTAAGCGTGGCGATCGGCAAGCTGGAGTGCTGGATAGAAGGCGGCGGGTGACCAGCGTGCCAGCGTCCGGCACTGGACTGATGCGTTTGCTGCGAGCGCGCTCTGCTCGGCCGGGGGCATGGGTGACGTCCCTTGGCGGCTAGGCGATGCTGGGGCGGGATCGGGAAGAGAGGGCGATCGGATTCTCAGCTGCTGCGGGTTGAGGCGCTGAGGGACTTTTGCACCGCTCGCACGGCAGCGAAGATCGCGTTTCAAGAGGCACACAGGGAAGGAGGCACAGAGGGAGGGAGGCGTAGGGCGCCGTTTCCCCACACGCGGGAGGGGGGGCCGTGCACGGGCGGGTTGCATCATCGGCTGGGAGCTCCCAGCAACAGAGGTGACAGCTCCCGCCGCGCCTGCTTGCGGCCCTCTCGCCGCGCTGCTGGAGCGAGCTGGGGCGAGCTGGAGCGAGCCTGCCGCCGCTTCCTTCCGCAAATTGGCCCGTACCTACCGCCCGCAGCAGAGCAGAGCTGCTAACGCGCGTGGCCCGGCGCCGCCATGCCGCCATGCCGCCAGGTTAAGAGCGGCGAGATGCCCCCGCCCTTTGCTCGCTGCACTCCGTCCCCCTCTCGCTCCGCCACTACTTCCTGCCTTGTTGCCCTGCGTACTAGCTTTTGCTCGCCGCGGTACTGCCGTAGCGGGAAAGCCTCTTTGCCCGCCGCCGAGCGAAGGAGCTCCTCAGTATTATCCAAGTGTGCCATGTGCCGCCCTCGGCTTTGACTGATTGAGATCCTTCATCACCGCCCTTACTGCCTCCCCCCGCCAGTGATAAAGCGTGCACACACCGCGTAGTCCCTCGGCCGCTTCCTTGCTTCTGCCCATCTATCCATCCGCCCCGCCTCGTCTCTGACCTCCCAGGAACCGCCGGAATGCGAGACCTAAGTCCCACCACCAGGAGGGGGGCTCGTGACCGGACAATGGACCCGAAAGCCTCGAGATCGGGGTCGAAGCTGCCCCGCTTGCTCTGGCGTGGCTTCGTCCTCAGCTACGGTCTGCTGGTCGGCCTCGTCTGGGTGCTCTCGGCCGTCCGCGACGGCCTCTTGTTCCAGCGTCGGAGCAGGAGAGTCAGCGACAAGGAGCTGGCTGGAGGTTCGTCCCGCCCCTGTCACACCTCAATTCATCTCCAGTCCCCTTTCAATCCGCCCAGAAAGGCGTTATCCAGCAGACACGCACGAGCTAGCTAACAGCCCGTCCCATCCGCAGCCCGCGACCGCCTCTGGGACCTCTCGAAAGCCCCCATCCCCAGCTTCACGCACGCCTTCTTCACCACGGTCGACGAGAACCCCGTCACCCTGCACTACGTCGCCTCGGCCTGGGATGCCGGCCCGCGGCCGAACCTGGTCGTCTTCCTGCACGGCTTCCCGGACAGCTGGGCGCTGTGGAGGGACTACCTGTCGCAGAAGCGCAACGTCGACCGGGACACGGTGTACGTGGCGCTCGACCTGCCCGGCTTCGGCGGCAGCGACAGCCTGCCCGAGTACAGCGCGTACAATGTGCTGGAGGCGGTGGCGGGCTTCGTGCTGGGCATGCGGGAGAAGTACGGCGTGGACGGCAGCGGCGAGGAAGGGGGCGCCGTTGGCGGAGCGCTTGATGAGAGGGGCCAGGTTGTGCTTGTGAGCCACGATTGGGGTGGCGCTGTGGCCGGCAGGCTGGCCAGCGAGGCGCCGCAGTTGGCCGATCACTTCGTTATTATGAGTATTGTGTTGGTAAGTAAGCATTTTCTCTTTGTTGCTGCTCACATGCTGCTGAGGTCGTTCGATGTCCTCTTGTCTGCGCAGTGTACATTGCACAGAAATTCCGTTCTGCCACCGTTTAGTTCTGTATTTTGCTCTGTTTTCGTCTCAACTCCGTTACTCTATATCATTCCAATCTCTTCTCATTTCGTCTAATCGCTAATTACCAAATAGCCCAGACTTTGGATGGCCAATGCTCAAGCACACATCTCCTCCGCCCGCCGCATGTGCCACACGTGGTTACAACAGCCGCTGAACTTCCGCCCCCTCCGTAACTCTTGGAGAACGCTTCGACCGTTGCTCACACAGCTCAGCAAATCTCATTACATATTTGCTTTCGTTCTCCCTGACATCTTGGCCAAAGTGCTGGGTTCGTTCACTGGCACCTGGTTCCTCAAAAAGGTTCACCGCGTGGCCATGCCAAAAGCAGCCATCAATGGCAGCGACAGCAACTATAGAAGAGAAGCTGCCGAAGCCCTTGCCAGCTCCCTCGGCCCGAGCATCTCCCAATGCAAGACCAACATAAACCAACAACATCTCCCCGCCCTCCCAGAAAAGCAAGCCGTCAACGACATCTCGACGCCGATGACCTACCCTCCGTCCGTCCACGCCCGCGCCGCGTCCTCCAGCCACGCCTGGTTCCAAAAGACGCGCTACTACCGCGACGGCCTCATCCTGGGCGACTGGTCCAAGAGCCTGCAGACGATCCTCCTGCTCTCCGTCCTCGACAGCTCCAACTCGACCCTCGTCGGCTCCTCGACCGGCAACTCCCCCACCAGCAGCAAATTCGCCTCCTTCTCCAGCCCTCCACCCTCTTCCGACCAACACGGCGACGACAGCGGCCTCAGCGCGCGCCACCGCCGCCGCCGCTCCAGCATCGCCGGCGGCGGCCTCTACGGCACATACGGCCCCGCCACCACCACCAACAACAACAACAACAACAACCACCCCTCCGCCGGCGTCGTCGGCGGCGACCAACAACAGCAACGCCGCCGCTCCAGCCTCAGCGTCGGCGCCTCCCTCTTCGACAGCGCGGGCAGCGGGCCCCGCGGCGCGCTGCGCGCCCCCGCCACCGTCGTCGCGGGCGGCGACGACGTCGCGTTCGACTGGCGGCTCGCGCTCGAGGGCGTCGGCGACCACCTCGGCATCAAGGGCGGCGCCGTCGTCGTGTGCGAGGGCGCGGGCCACTGGCTCGTGCGGGAGCGCGTGGGGATGGAGGTGGTAAGGAGGGTCGTGGGGAGCGTGACGGGGGCGGAGGTGGAGGTGGGGGTGGATGAGGAGGAGGAAGGGGATGAGAAGGAGGGGAGGGGGGGGAGTGTGGTCGTTGTTGATGGGAAGGGGGGTGGTGGTGGTGGTGGAGGTGGTGGTGGGGTGAGGCAGTTGTTGAAGGGGGTGGAGGGCGTCAAGGTGACGGTGGAGCGGTAGCCTACCAGTGGCTTTTGATGGCTGCTGATACACGGCCTTTGCTCTCTCTCTCTCTCTCTCTCTCTCTCTCTTTTTCTTTTCCTGATGGTCGGTCTCCTTTTCTTCTCTTGACCGAGGCGTTTCGCGTTCATGACCTTCTTTTCTTTTTCTTTTCCCACTTGCACGCTATGGGTCCACCCTCGCTTTGTAGCAGTCAGTCGTCAGAGATTTGATGCCCCATCTCGTCCCTTTTCGTCTCTCGCTCTTATCCCTTCTTCTTCTTCTACCTCCTCCTCCTCCTCGTCGTCGTCGTCCTTTCGTCGTTGGACTCGGGTATACTCTACCGTACGGGCTTCTTCTAGGTTGTTGTACTACTCTGTATATTGTATGATATTAAATTACTTTTTTCTTCTTTTTTCTCTTTTCCTTTGCTAAGGGTGGAGGGGTGAGGGGGAGTGGTTTTTTTTCTATATCAAATCGTATATTGGTTGCTCTCTCTGTGCGTGTCTCTCTCTCTTGGGGCATTCCTGTTTTCTTGTCGATTGACTGCGTGAAGAAGGTAGTTGCGTTCGTTTGTTTTTCTTGTGTGTGTGAGGCGGGAAGAAGGATAGGGAAGAGGGAAGGAAAAGGGGAGACTGTTCGTATGCGCGGAGTTGGGGCCGTTGGCAAGAGATAAATAGCCGTTTTACTGCCCTGCTCTGTCCAGCAAGAAGAGAAGCCTACATATGTGTCTAGGTTCGACACTTTCGAGTCGAACCTGCAATTCCATAGTGACCATGGCTACTTAGAAGGAATACGGGGTGAGTGAGGTGGGATGCCTCATTGCCTCGTTTTGCACCCTTCCCCGCGTGAAAAGAACCCAAGTTGAAGACGGTGAGGAGGATACAACTTTTAAGGGGAAGGTCAGGATGTGTGTAGCGGGGCCCAAACTCGCACGGAAGCACAGATACAGTATTTTAAACACGTGGGGTAGTAGTAGCACGAAGACTCCTCTCAGATCATTCAAGGTATCGCCTCGATAGTCGCTGTGGTGCAACTTCTTAACCGGCCGGTGTCCAGCAACAACAAAGACCGGACAACACGGTGCCTTCGTCATTTTCGCACTCAATCCAAACCGGAATAAGAAAAAAAAATCCATGTGCCATTGTCCATACATGCGGTTTCATTCCAATTCAAAGTCCCGCCTACACAATTTTTGAATGACGAGCCAAAAGAGACACACAGCCGCAAGTTCCACTGCCTCTGAGCAAGGCAACGAAGAATAAAAACCAACGTCTGGAAATAGTACACAGAAGGGAAAATGAAAACAGCAAGGTTCGATACACAAGATTTAACGCCAAGACGATGCTGTGCGTGTGCGCCGGCAGCAATGGTGTGTGTATGTGGATGGGGGGAAAAAATTACCGTCTCTATCGTGTTTGTTGGATACGAAAGTTTAAGCAGATTAGAAGGACCAAACAAAAAACAGCAGCAAGCACCGCACGTGGGCTTCAAGGGCCGGGGTATCCGATCGTATCTCTGTTGTCGTCGATGAGGCGGCCGTATCTGTAACACATTATTGTCACAACGTTGATCGACGCAAACGGGGTTGTGAGCGGGAGAGGCGGGGAACAACTCACTCAAGCAGCAGTCTGAAGAACCACGCCTCAAAATCCTCATTTCTCAGCGCCTTTCCCGCCCAGTCGCGCCCTTCGTCCGCCATCTTCTTGGCCATCTTCTTGCCCTCGCTTGTGCCGTCGCCGCTCGAGAAGAAGCGGATCGTCTCGAGCCACTCGTCGCCCCGCAGCGAGAGAGGCACGTAGTGCAGCCACGGCTGCAGCCAGTCGGAATGCCACTCGCGGAACACGGCCATCTTGTACACCATGCTCTTGCTCTGCAGGAAGGCGTAGAACCGGCCGCTAAAAGCATTTCCGTCCATGTCGAGCAAATGCTTGTGCGACCAGGCGTCCTGCTGGTCCGCCGCGGGCGCCAGCTTGAAGAATTCGCGCTGCGCGTCGCAGTCGCCCGGGTCGCATTGGCCGATGTGCGAGAAGTGGACGTCCATGAGCTCCGCATAGTCCTTGCGCGACACGGTCTTGGGGCCCCAGACGGTGGCGCCGCCTTCTTCGTCGCGCTGCCCCATGATGAGGGCTTTGCCGGGCTCGTTCAAGCGGGAAACCACGTGTTGTCGGTGCTGGCGGCGCCAGCCACCGTTGCGGCTGAACCCACCTGTTGTTGAACCTCGCCAGTAAAGGCTGTCTGCCTTGTCCTCCCATGCAAGGTCCCGGTCACTGTCGTACGGTACCTTCCCATACCAGTACCACGGGCTTGGGTACAGGATATCCTGGTAGCTGCTGATCTTGCTCTGAGAGAAGATAGGGAACAGTTCTTGTACAAGATTGAAGGCGTTTGGCCGGTCGAAGAAACCGAAAGTAGAGGATAGCGAAGGTGCGTTGCAGATGTCCGAGAAGGCTGTAGCATTGTAGACGAAGCCAAGGTCACCAGCGGCATACGCAGTCAAGTTGTCCTTTGGGTTTTCTTCGATGCTCCGCGCTTGGCTATCCGGCGAGCAGGAGAGGCGTGAGTGGGTCCAAGTGCCTTGGTGCGCAAACCGGTTGAAGCGGGTGGTCTTGACCTCCTCGACTCGTTTACCGTTGTTCATGTCTTTCGGACGCTTGGAGAACTGGTTCTTCGGTGGCTGGCTGGCCGCAGCTACAGACATGCGGGCGTTCTTGGCACGTTCCACGAGGCGGGACAATTCGTCATTGGGCACGACCACACGTGGTTCATCGTGAATGTTGAAGGCAAGGTCCATGTCCGGGAGGAAAGCGAGGAAGTTCTTGAGCATGCCCAGCGTCGCCTCTCTCTGCCAGTCTTGGCCGCCTTCAACATGCGTGGCTTGCCCGTCCCTGATCAGCAACCCGATAAGAGCATTTTCCCCATGGCCGAGTGCCTCCTTGACGCGGGAGCGGACCGTAGCCGGTTCCAACGCCCAGAACGGGAGCAACGAATGGTAAATGGAGTCGTATCCGTCATCGATGAGCCGGACGCCCTTCCTCTTGGCGAAGTCAAACCATCGGTCGAAGTTGGGAGGCGGAGGAACTCCGTACCGCCGTCGGTATTCGGCCACAGCGTCGCCAAGGTTCTGCGACTGGCGGGACAAAAGTTGCTCCCAGTTCTTCTCGGCGCCCTTGACCAGCTGTTCAATAGGGTGCACGTCAGGTGAAGGTAGCGCAAGTGGGCTGAGAGGATCGGCCGGCGCAAATCCGAGATCGTGGGGAGTGGCGTCGCGCAAGGCGTCGAAAGTCGAGATGGATTGGCGCAGATAGCTTATGCTCAGTATAACGAAGGACACGACCGAGAGCGCGGTCAGAAACTGTCTAGCCAGCATCATGTTGCCGGTTGCGGATTTGCTCAAGGAAACAGCGCCCGCACCGCCGTAGATGAGAGCGAACCAGAAGCTCGTGAAGGACGGGAAAGCATAAGAACGAGCAACGAGGAGCGCTGCCACTGTCGAGCAGGCGGCGGGAAAAGCTCCAGCCTGTCGTATCTAAACAGCCGGCTGGGTTAGCATCTGCAACGAGAGGCGCTTTGTCGGGTGGGGTGGGTGGCGGGTGGGGAGCGCAAGTTATGGCATTCCAGGCGCGACCGAAGGGAGGGATGCATGCAACCGCCTTGTCCGCGTCGCATGGGGGAACTGGCATAACCGACGCGCCATCTGTCAGGTTTGCGGCGGCTGGGCCGAAATGGGCGAGCGGTCGGACGGTTACGATAAGGCGGGAAACCCAGGTATTGGGAGATTGTGCGAGTGCATGCTAGCGGCTGGGATTTGCATGGGACCGGAACTCACCATGGAAAAGAGCGTCAAGTGCTTAATTGCAGCAGTGGAGGCGCCTTGCAACCCCAGCTGCAGCGCCCAGAGCCGGCCCGCGTGCTCCCACACCCCAACTGCGTCGCTATTCACACCGTAGTATATGGTGTCGGTCCTGAAACTGCGCTCGAAGACGAAGGCAAGCACCAAGCAGGCGGGCGCAACCACCGACGCCGTATCCCGCAGCGACACGAGCCAGGCATCCGACCGGGTCACCGTGTTCGAACGCGGCCGCATCGGCATGATGGGCGACGGGCCGTTGCTCATGCTGGGCTTATAGTCCCTGATCGAGGTGATGGCGTGCTCGAGCACCAGCAGCGCAATGCTGGTCAGGAGCGCGCTGCACAGCGACAGGGCCAGCACATGCGGCAGGATGGTCGCGACGCTGAGCCCGCCGGCGCCTGCCACCGTCAGCACGGCGAGCATCCCGTTCGAAACATCGTAGCGACTGGCGTCCGGGTTCTGGTGGAGGTCCTCGAGCGTCATGAAAGGGGAGCTGCGGGCGACAACATCGGCGGAGCGCAGCGCGCACAGCGTCGCCGGAAGGAGGGCCTGTGTGTCCCAGTCAATGCCTCGAGCCTTCTCCATCAGCTGCTCACTCGGCGGGGACAGAACGTACCTTGGTCCACCACACGCCTTCGTGGTCGTGCGCCGTCTGCTCACAGACGGCAGCAAGAGCAAGCAGCGCGCCGGCGACCCAGCTGTACCTCCTGCGGAGCGCATTGTCCCAGCCGGTCCACAGCCCGACGCGCACACTACTGTATGTCCATAGCAGGGCCCACGAGACGGCAGCGACGAGCAGCGAGTGCTCCGGCAACTGGACGAGGGCGGCGAGGGCGGAGGAGACGAGGAAGGCGGCAACCAGTACAGTCGGCGAGCGCGCGGAGAAGGACTGAAGGTGCGCTACGTGCGGCGGCAGCGCCAGTGGCATTGGGTAGTCTTTCGTGTCGAGTGACGGCTTTCTGCACGCCCCGTCATGTCTTGTCGTCGTGTCGTCTGCGCGCTCAGGGCCGCAAGGCTTGAGTCGCCCGGTGATCTGAACCGTGTCCTTGGCATCCCGTCTGCTGCCACCGCCCGCACAGCGCCCAGCCCCCCTCAACCGCCTTCGCCGCCGCCGGCGCTGCGGCGCTGCAGGCCCAGGCCTGGCCCTGGGCCGCGCGTTGCTGAGGCCGCCATTGCACCACGCCCGCCATGCGCTGCTCGCGGCCTGGCGACCGAGTCCCGGAGGAGCCCTCAGCCCTTTGTACGAGACGGATACCCAGCGCCCAGCCTTGAAGGATGCCGTCACTTGCCAAGCAGCCGCGGCATAAGCACTGCTCTGTGCTGCGTGACTCTGGGTCGAAGTGGTAAAACGTGTCGGCGGATGTGGAGCTCTTCGTACTCGCGTGCCGCTCTCCCCAGACCCGGCTGTCCCGGCAGATCACAGCATATTATCCTCCACGGCACGGTTCGTCTCGTGTTGAGATCACAGCTCTCCCGCCCTGCGCTCTAGCCCGCCGCGAGGAAGAGGCACGAGGACCAACCATGCTCCTGCGAAGCGGCCCGCGGCTGTGGCTGCCTGGCCTTGCGAGTTCTTCCGTATTAAACTCCAGTAGCTCCCGGCCCATGCCAGTGCGCTCCCAACCCGCAATCCGCGGCTCAGCCGTCCTCCACTCCCCGCGCACGACCCCGCCATTTCAATGCCCGCCGCGGGACGGGAGTCTGTGGACATGGCGAGCGCGGCTGCTAGCGGCACCTCGATCCGGCCGTGGAGAGGAGCCCAACGCTGTCCCGCCGACTGAGACACCATAGACGGCCGCCCGCTGCTGTTCGATGACGCTATTCTTCATGCACGCCGCTTGAAGAACGAAGGCATTGCATAAAGCTGTTGTGGTCCGACAGCCTGTAGAATCTACTTACTTTTTCTCACGGCAACGGCGTTCCCCGCCCAACGGCTGGTACTTGTCGAATCGAGGCCGGTCGTCTTGGACCTATCCTGCAATTTCCTGCCCGCGTTGCCGTCTGTCAGTTGACAGAGTTCTCGAGGGAGCTGCTCAGACCACCTGCAGTCTGCGACGGTTACCCTTATCCGAGACACTCGTGACTCCTGGAAGTGGCAATCCTTTCGCTCCTCAAAGTGATGGTTGGATATCTCAGCTACGCACTCTGCGGTCCTTGCCCGACATCATGCCATTGGTGTGCATTCAAACAACCACGCGGCTTCGGTGATTCAGTCCGAGACGCCCAGGTGATCTGAGGATCACATCACTTCGCCCGGGGAGACGACGGCGTTCAGCAACCACATGTCTGAGGGCACAGCAGCACGAGACGTCGGTACGCGGCTTGTATAATCCGACGTCTGGTGGGTACGATAGGTAATCAAACATGAGCGAAGGATCAATCTCATTCTACCGACCTAAAGGGAATATCCAGGCAGACGTTGCAGAAAAAAGAAAATCCGAAAACGATGGGCTCGGGGAGCTCAACGACTCGTCGGAGTTGACCCGAACCCTGACCTGTAACTCCTGTTCCCTCCAATTAAGACTCCGCGGGATCCATGGCGCCGTAGGCCTGGACGGCCTGAGCTGGCTCGTCCGGCCTAAGCACGAAGAGGCGGCCGCAGCCTCAGAGCTTGTGACCAACGACAGAGAAGAAGTTGCATTGCGAGACATGACTGGCCTTGCCCGTCGTCTCGTCGAATATCTGACAGCCAAAGTACTCGGCGTTGGGCGGCGTGTAGACTAAGCCGCCCGCGTTAGCCTGATACGGCAAATGTGGGACAGGGTTGCACTTACGGTGAAGCGACACGGCCACGTTTTCGGGATCCGGATTGGAGATCCTGTGGAGCCCCAGCCGATCCGACATGTAAGTGACTCCGTTTTCATGATAGAGCGTTTCCTTCTGGACCTGCGGGGGTGCGGGCTTCCCCTCTTTGGCCAGGTCTGGATCGGGCCATGCGAACAGCGTCTCCTTCAGAGTACCCTTGAGGACCTTCATCACACAGTGGGCATTTGCATGGCTGAGGGCGCTGTCAGTATAGTTCACGTAGCGGTGCAAAGGGTGTAGTGTACTGACTCGTGAATGGGGGAGCCTTTGCCGGGAGTCCAGACCAGTATAAGCCTGCGGGGTCGGTCAGCCTTAGGCCTGGGGGAGTCGGAGTCACCACAGGCGCAGCGGAACGCGTACAGATTTGATTTGCCATTTCCTTTGTCTACTAGGTTTCTAGTGTAGTTTCGGCTGTAGTCGCCCAAGGCATACTTCTGCCACTCTTCTGGGCTGGAAGTGTACCTTTCCATCAAGGCCTGGAGCTCGGCGGGATCGACGTCCTTAGAGTCTATGCCGGACGAGGGTCCGAGGACTCGGCTTAGTTCCTGGACGAGCACGTGGAACGCGTCCAGCTCTTGGTTTTTTGGAAGCCCGGGGCCGGGCGCGGCGGCAACGCTGGTGTCGAGGGCAGTCATGATTGCAGAATGAATGCAGTGTAGCTGGATTCGAAGTGAAGGAAAGGGGCGCCTTTAAAGGCGAGTCGCGCATGCGACAGGAGAAGTCGCCGACCTCCTCTAAGCGTTCCCCGAGGTACGTCACGTCGGCTACTGTCGGTGAAGCGCGATGGGATAGGCTCAAGGAGCACGCCCAGGTACCACCTGCGATCTGTGAGGGTATCAGACGCGTACACTGGCTTCCTAGCACAGCAGGAACGAGGGATTGCGTGATTCACCGGCGGACGGCAGCAGGGAGTGGCGCAGGAGTGCTCGAGTAAAACAGCGAATGGCAACCTGATCAACCCGTATCAGATCAGGCGCAGATTAAAAGCTTCTCCAGGAGACAAGTGCGAAAACGGCCGCAGCCGGCGTCCGCCCGATCTCCGCCGCGTTGACGTCTGGCGTGAGAGGTGCCTTGATGCCTGGCAGGTGTTCGCACCAGCTGGCCAAACCCGCCACTACTATTAAATAACACTTGATCGTAGCAAGTGCCTTCCGTGTTTTTAATTTAATAAGTTTGTTCGCGACAAACGTACACGAGCGTCTTATTCGCGCACAACTATCTCCTTTGCGTACGACCTTCTTCTTCGCGCGAGCGTCTTTCTCATAAACTAGTATTTCTTTTATGAATGTTTTCTTCGCGTGAGCGTTTTTATGTGTTTCTTACGAGTATTTCTTTTTTCGCAAGTAGGTTTCTCCTTCGCCAGCTTTTTTGATAGATAACCTTTTCGTTTCATATCAATAAGTATCCTCTTCGCGAGTATCTTTTTTATACAAATAAAAGCTATAATAAACTTTCGTGGTGGTGGCGGGTTTGGCCAGCTGGCGCGGACCTCTACCGGCAACCGCAAGGTGCGCCGCCCGCCAACCGAAGATCTGCCCCACGTTTTTCTGATTGGCACGTCATAAGAATTTCCACGACTCTCACCCATATCGACAACCCCTCTCCACCAACGTACAGCACGACCCCCACGGCGAGCGAGCCCCCCGCAGCACTTGGATCCGAATCTTCGAGGCTCTAGCATCATTTCGAAACCAGCGTCGAGCACGCAAACACCGGCATCATGGCGACAACAGTGGATAAGGTGTGTGACGGCAGTAAAGCCTTTTCGCTGCAGGAACAGTAGCAGCAGCAGCCGCAGCAGCAGCTAACATGCACCGCAACAGATCAAGGAAATCGAGTCCGAAGTATGTCCCAGCGATCCAAATGATGCTGCGACAGCGCATTGCTTACGCCGCACAGATGGCTCGCACCCAGAAGAACAAGGCAACGTCCTTCCACTTGGGTATGCATCAGCGCACGCGCACGAACAACCCCAGCGGCTTGGCTGACAGGCTTTGTAGGACAATTGAAGGCGAAGCTTGCGAAGTTGAAGAAGGAGCTTATGACCCCGTCGGGGGGTGGTGGCGGCGGCGGTGGTATGTCTTCCTAGATCGACCTGTATCGGAGGCTAGGAGCTCACGCAGGTCACAGCTGGTTTCGACGTCGCGAGAACTGGTGTGGCCAGTGTGTGAGTAGAACCTGATGTGCGCATGTAGTCCAGAAACTGACGCAGTCGCTAGTGGCTTCATCGGCTTCCCTTCAGTCGGCAAATCAACATTGATGAGTAGATTGACTGGGCAGCACTCTGAAGGTTTGCCACTTACGTCTCAAAGCGCCTGGAACTGAGAGCTAACGTTTGGATTAGCTGCTGCATATGAGTTCACTACGGTGAGCGTCGCGCGTACAGTTAGGGTGAGGTTGAGGCTGACTTTATGTGTAGCTCACCACCGTTCCCGGGCAAGTCATTTACAACGGCGCCAAGATCCAGATCCTCGACCTGCCCGGTATCATTCAGGGCGCCAAAGATGGCAAGGGAAGAGGTCGACAGGTCATCGCCGTCGCAAAGACATGCCATCTTATCTTCATCGTCCTGGACGTTAACAAGCCCCTCACCGATAAGCGTGTCATCGAGACGGAACTGGAGGGCTTCGGAATCCGTATCAACAAGAGCCCGCCCAACATCGTATACAAAAAGAAGGATACTGGTGGCATTAACATCACCAACACAGTGCCCCTGAACAACATCGACCATGACGTAAGACGCACCTTCCTGAAGAAGAGCGCACTCCGCTAAATTTCCGCGTTGCAGGAGATCAAAGCCGTTATGAAGGAGTACAAGATTACATCGGCGGATATTGCCATCCGGTGTGACGCCACCATTGACGACCTCATTGATGTGCTGGAAGCCAAGAGCAGGGCGTACATCCCGGTTGTGTACGCGTTGAACAAGATCGATGCTATCACGATCGAGGAGCTCGACCTGCTGTACCGGATTCCAAACGCGTGCCCCATCAGCTCAGAGCATGGGTGGAACGTCGACGAGCTATTGGAGCAGATGTGGGAAAAGCTTAATCTCCGGCGCGTGTACACGAAGCCCAAGGGCAAGATGCCGGATTACAGCGAGCCAGTCGTGCTGAGGGCGTCGGCGTGTACGGTGGAAGATTTCGTAAGTCATCATCGAGGCTGGCGCTTAGCCCGGAGTTCTCCACCATACTGACTCGGGGGGCGGCAAGTGTAACCAAATCCACAAGAGCATCTTGGAGCAGTTCAAGCACGCGATTGTGTACGGCAAGTCGGTCAAGCACCAGCCGCAGCGGGTCGGCCTGAGCCACCAGCTCGAAGACGAAGACATCCGTAAGTACCGACTAGCGCTGGGGCGGCGCGCACAACACGTGGTGCTAACAGCACGATTAGTGACCATCGTCAAGCGGTGATCGTGCGGTCGCCAACAGGCAGCCCGACGGACCCAGGGCAGCGGGTGTGGCGCCGAAAATTTCGGAGCAGATCAAATGCAATTGCTGGTTGCCGCGTGCGGGCCCTGTCGGCCAGGACAGGGCGGCGCTCCGGGCATGGATTGGTGCTTAGGCGTTATGGAAGTGGAGGCCCTTGGTATTTATTGCATTCTGCCAGTTTGCGCGCGGGCATGTCGGGCTTTTTATTGATCGACCAAATCTGAAGGGATTGACAGTTACGCCTGACCAGCGACCCCACGGCGCGGCGGAGGCAGCCATCTTGGCCGTGCTGCAGGCGGACCAGCCAGACGGCGCTATCGACGGTGTCTTACGCATCCCAGGACGGCGGCCGGCATTGGGGCGCGCTGGAGAGAGGAAATAATACGAAGATGATCGGCTTGGTTTTTGCGGCTTTTTCTTTTTCCCCGCTGGTGATTCGTGGACCAGGCCCAATTTGCAGGGGCGCGCTCGGCCACCGCCTTCAAACAGCGACTCAGCAGGCCGCGGGCGTCGCCCCGGGCGCCAAAACTGACGTTGGCTCCGCTGCTGACACCCGGGCCACTGCTGGCGGCCGCCCGAGCGCGGCCGCTATCGTCGCGAGGGCTGGATGCTGGATGTGCGACGGGCAGGCAGCGCAGCCGCCACGGGCGCCGCGGCGGATCTTCGATTCGTGCGGCCGCGCCGGGGGGTGTGCGGTAGGTCTTCGTCAGCGCGTTGGCTGCCCGTCGTGGTGCCGTGCCCGCCGGGAGCCCTGCCCGCGCCTCTGCCCGCGCCTCTGCCCGCGCCTCGTCGGTCTCGCTGCACCGCACGCCGCCACGCAACGCAGGCACGCAACAACGGCGGCGCAACACAGATCTCTCGCAGCCCGCTCGCGTGCCGGCGCGGTCACGCCTCAGGGCGCTGATTAGCCGGGCCGGCAGCTGAGTGCCATGGGGCGATCTCGCTGATTAGCTCTGTCAAGCTCTGGCTGGCAGCATGGAGCGCCGCGCCTTGCCTTCCCACTGGCTCCCGCCGCCCGCCCGCGGCCCCGTCGAGGGCGCGCCTGAGGGCAGCGGCGGCCGATCCTGGGCAGAGCTAGCCGGCTGCTGGCCTGCTGCTGGCCTGCTGCTGGCCTGCTGCTGGCCCGTATCGCTACCGCTGCTGGCCACTGCCCCAGCACGCCGTCTCGCCGTGCCCCAGCGGCCATGCCCGTTTAAACCATGGACGAGCAGCCATTTCCCCATCCTATGCCCAAGCTCGAAACAAAACAGGGGCCTCTGCGCATCTCGTCCCGCTTCTGCACCCGCATCGCACCGCACCGCTGCGCACCGTACCTAGGCTACCAGACGGCCTGGGCAGACCCTACCTCTCTCCACACACCTCCCGCCGCGCCCGCCCTGCAGGACCCGGCCCAGCACCGCCGCATATGTGAGAGCAGAGTGTCAGCGCGGCCCCGTCTTGTTTCACCCAGCGCCCTCTGCTTTTTCCTTGCGCCGTGGTACCAAGTGTTTCGCTTCGTCAGGAACCGTCGTCTTGTCCATGCATGCATGCACACTGCCGATTCTGAACGCCTACTAGCCAGGAACACCACGCCCCGCCCATGTGCCCGCCCTACTTGACCACCCAGACGTCCGCGTAGAGAGCTCTCTTCTCCCGCACCCCACCGCCTCCGCAGTCGCCATGAGCCACCTGGGCATGGAACACGACCAGCAGCAGCAGCACCACCACCACCACCACCAAGACCAAGGATACCACGACGCCACCGGCCAGTGGGTCGACAGCAGCGCTCAGTATCCCCACTCGCAGCACCACTCGCCCGCCCACGACTACAATGGATTCGCCTACAATCCCCTCCCCATGGAGCCCATGTACTCGCAAGGAATGTCCCAGGGCATGCCGCCGCCGCCGCCGCGGACCACCCACCAGCAGCTCCAGCCGCTCATCATGCCCCAATGGCCGAGCATGTTGACCAGCCAGTCCAACTATGCCCCGCCGCCCATGTACTCGGCGCCCGCCCCCGTCCCCGTCTCCGCCACGCCCACGCCCGTCTCCGCCACCTCGACGCGCTCGTCGGGCACTCCCAGGAAGACGCTGACGGACAACGACCGCCGGCGCATGTGTCTCTACCACGAGGAGAACCCCACGGTGAAGCAGACCGAAATAGGCGGTAAGTTTGGTTGCCACGACCCCGCGCTCGCGCGCACGCGCTGACGTCTTGTCTCACCAGCCATGTTCGGTGTGGAACGAAGGTATGGACAGTTGCACTCCTGAGCCGAGTCTCCTCTAACCTCTCCTTTGTAGCACCGTGTCCAAGGTTCTGCGGCAGAAGGAGAAGTATCTGTACCAGGATGACGGAAGCCGCTCCCCGATCAAGAGATCCAAGGGGAAGTTCCCAGACATAGAACGGGCGCTGTCAAACTGGGCGCGCAATCACCAAAGGTCGGGCCTGCCTTTGACGGACGCGATGATCAAGGAAAAGGCGCGATTCTTTGCAACGTCGGTCGGAAGCTCGGAGAACCATCTGAAGGCAAACAGCAACACTTGGCTGGAAAAATTCAAGCAGAAGAACAACCTCATGGGAGCTGGATCCAAGTCGAGGAAGAGCTCGATCGCAGAAGAGTCGGAAGCGTCGAACCCCGCGTCGGCCGCGCACACGCCCAACGGAATCTCGCCGACCTCGCCCAGCGGCGTCGCGTCGCCGTCGTCGATAACGCTGAGCTCGATGAAGAGCGAAGAAAACCTCAAGACGGAGAGCCCGGACAGCTTTGGGGACCTCTCCAATGGCCACCGTCCTTTTCCTCACTCGCAGAGTAACACATCCCTCTCCAGTGTGTTCACTGATGCGGCAGGTTCCACCTTTTCGGCCGGCCCCACGAGTCCAACGTCGCCCTTCTTCACACCCGACTCTGCCTGCGGACCCAGCCCTTTCATGCCGTCGCAGCAGTCGCGCATCCCTCCAGGCAGCCAGGGGCTGCAAAGGTCACGAAGTCAAACCTTCTCGGCTCTTGGTATAGAGGCCTACGGTTCACCACCATCATCCTCAGAGGCTGAGACACCGCGATACGTCACATCAGCTGCGCTCGACTCGCCGATATCGGACCCTCCCCTCAGCGGCGTTGAGGAGACGATGCATTCGGGCAATGCGCTGTTGAGAACCAGCTCGATGCAGCCGCCCCCACTCCCGGCCATCACCCCTGTTACGACGACGCAGCAGGTGTCGCCCATCAGCCCGGGCAGCAGTTCTGCTGCCTCGCCGACGCAGGAAGATGCGAGACGAGCGCTCGAGCTTGTCATGAGCTTCTTCCAGCAGCAGCCGAGCGGCTTCGTCGAGCCGTCGGAATACGTCACGATAGGGAAGCTGATGGAGAAGCTGAAGCTTCAGCGGGGCAACAGCGAGTCGCTTCCAGGCGGCATGCACCGCATACCGGAGCAGGAGTACGGCAGAAAAAGCTAAGAGAGCCGGACGCGAGGCGTCTTTGACCACTTTCCTACGACGTTACATACCGATCAATACGGAACAGCACATACCCCTTTCTGCAAAAATTTCTCGGTCTCTACTGGAATCAATATCCTCGATCGATGTCTTCCACGGCGCAATTTCCCCGGGAAATTGCTGATTTTCACCGGCGTCACCAACGAGCGGACGGTTATACAGGACGGTAAACGGTATGAGGACATACATTATCATCAGAGTACAGCGATAACAGCTTTGCTGGGGAACCGGACCGTGTCTTCCCGCGTATTTATTTTCGGTATCATTTTTAGTTGGATTCGATAGCCACCTTTCTTCATTCACGGGGACGAGGACGGAGTCGGAGACGGATACGATCTCATGTCACTTTGTTCGACCATCTGCCTGGCCCGTTTTCCGGTTTTCATTCTGTAGCTACTTTTTCTTTTTGGTTCTGTCTGGCCTGTGTCGACTAGTTTTCCTTGTTTGTCCAGCAGGCGTTCAGCCGCGCCTTTGCTCTCACGGATGGAGCCTTGTGTTCCCATCTTCTTCTGGAGGACGTGGCGTCAAGCCGGTGTCGCGGAGGGGGAAGCCAACACAAAAAAAGATTTCTGGACAATCCGCTCGCGCGGGCCTTCTTCTCGATGGTGGTTTTCTCTTTGGATCCCCTTGGTTGCGCTAGCTGCTTCAATGCCTTCTCGCTATATCCAAGTCCTGCTATTGCCATGGCGCTGCTGCTTGCACTGCTCGCGAATCCATGCTTCACTCCCGGGTTGCACCAGTCCCCAGCCCGGTTCATGCGCCAGCCAGGCGTGCAAGGCGACGAGCACAAAGCCACTGCACGCATCCGGGGAACATGCGTCGAGTCTCCTTACTTCACGAGGCCGCCGGGGAGCTCTGGGAGCGCACCGGCCACCGTGGGGGGCGTGTCGGCCATGCGGGCGGTCGCAGATCGGGCCTGAACACTCTCACTTCTCTCGAGGGCGGAGGAACGCCTCGCGTCGAGCGGCTGGCTGCATAAACGGTACCGACCAGAAGGCATCTTGCTGGCCCCAGCGCCCAGAGGTTCGACACGGGGGCGTCGCACAAGGCCAGGCTCGCGTGGTGTGGTACGACTTGCGGGAGAATCTGGAGTACCGCAGAGGCAGCGGGCGCGGGAAGCGTGCGAGGAAGATCGGCCGCTATACGTGCGAGGGTAAGGATGGGCTGGGGAGACGCACGCGAGGGGGCTCCACGCTCCGTTGGACAACGGCCGCAACCGTAGGACAAGGACGAGCATGGAGGCGCGGTCGAGAGCCCGATGCCGCTACCGCGTCTCTCTCTCTCTCTCTCTCCCTCTCTCGCGTTGCGAAGCGAAACCCGGCGCGGTGGTTACACACATGAAGGCGCGCTGGCACACTGGCAACAAGGGAACAAGGGCTCCATTCTGCGCAACCGAAGTTGCGCGACAGACGGCCGGCCTGCCCAGCAGGCCCAGCAGGCCCAGCACCACCCTTCCCCTCCAACATCGCACCTTCCCTCCTCCGCTTGCCGGCAGGCCCTGATCCATCGCCTGGCCCATGCCATGCTTGCCACGACATGGCTGCTCTGCCTCGCTTTCGCCCGAGCGCCCGCCCTGCCTTTTTGCTTTCCCCTCTTCCCGCCAGCTAACCTTTTCGCTTGCTTCCTCGATCCTCCCCGTATTCCGATGCCCTCGCCCTTCTCCATATATATTCTCTCGGCTCTCGTCCGCCTTGGCCCTCAACAGTGACAGTGCCCAAGATATGCACGTGTCCCCTGACCCTGGGCTTGGCTTCGTCAACCACCAGGTCTGCCGGCCATCGTCATTATCGACATCATTGGGCGAGATTGGGAGCGCCCGGCTTCAATCGATCCCGGGTCACGGAGCGGAGAGGGGAGGGGAGGGTCGGGTCGGCCGGGGAGCAAATGAACGGGAGAGCTGCAGAACCCTGCCATTACCCGTCGTACCTCGGCGCTTCTCTTTGCCGTTGTCTCTCCTTTCGGCTCCTGTATAACACAGTCCGTATGTGGCAACAAGGGGGGGGGCTTGCGAGGCTTAGATGGCTTTTGATTTTCTCGGGGGAATCGCAGCGGAGCGGCCGCTACCTATGTACGCAGCCGCATCCGCGTCCGGCAGCCACATTTTGCACAGCATCCATCTCACTCACTCACTTACTCTCTCACACACACACAACGACAAATGAACAGAAGGGTTTTTGCAATGAAGAGCAAAAAAAAAAAATAACACGATATCATGCGGGCGCGGGGGACAGCGGGGATGGGGATAGTTGGGCAGGATTAAGGCGACGGACGACTACTCACCGTTTAGCCCCGGACGTGGTCTGCTTTTGGAGTCATCCTCAACGCGCGCAAACAGCCCACATGTGGCCTTTTGGGGTTTCTATTTTTTTTTAATTTTTCTTCTTTTCCATCTCTCTCACACACCGCCCAATCCCCCGCCTCAGCGAGGCAGGCTGGCCATGAGCCAGCTCACGCGTACATACATACACAACTACGTAGACACTGGCGCTCGCCGCAGAAGGCTAGTCTGGTTGCAGCGCCAGCTCCAACCCCCTTCGGTCCCAATTCCCACTCTTCGTTCTCCACAAGAAACAAAGCGGGCAGTCCCAGCTCTTGGCCTCTCATCAGTCCGCTGCTGCTGCAGAGCACGGACGCCCGGGAAAAGCCACGATCGGCATGTGTGTAGAAAAAGCAAAAAAAGAGGGACCAACCATCTCTTTTCCCCCATCCAGTAACCCGTTTCTCATTACCCACGATTTGTCATGCTGCCTTTCTAGCTGGCTACCTAGCCAAAAGGCTAACGGAGGTTGCCCCGGCCGGCGATTGGAGCTCCCACCAAGCATGGCCGTACTCCGTAGCTATGTAAATTGACAGGCGCCCAATCATTTAGGAACCCTTGCGTCTGCCGTCTCTTTCAGCTCACCCACGTCCCCCATGTGGAAGACAAGACGAACAATAAAAGCAGGGGAAATTGGGAAACTATCGCAATTTGCAACCCCCCCGCCGCCCGCCGTTCAGATCCAAAACCCACTCCCCTCCCCTCCCCTCCCCTCTATTATGCAGGGCTTACGCCACATCATCGCGCAAGGATGGGACCGGCAGAAAAAAAAAAGTGAGCAGAGATGATAGGACACCGACCCATGCAAGAAGCAACTCTGATCCCGTCATGATTACTGAAAAGGCGGAGAGAGAGGGAGGAAATAACAACAAAGAAGAAGAAGAGACAGGGGTCGATCGAGTTTATGGTGAGTTGCATACATACGCCGTCCAAGCTTCTTGCTTCTGCTTCGCTGTCAGCCGGTGCTGCAGGGCAGGCCTTTCCAGGTTTTTTTTTTCCCTCTCCCCCTCCCTTCGCTGCGCTGCGCCGCGCTGCGCTGTGCTGCTGCGCGCGCGCCGTGAGCCAACGGACGCTGCTCGAAACTGGAAAAACGCAGCTGCTGTGCGACATCCCACCCGCATGACGCATACGTTAGCCTCCACATACATCCGACCACGGCGGTGGGAGGAGAGAGGAAGAGAGGAGGAGGGAGGGAGGGAAGGGGGGGTAACGACTACCCGCCACTGATGAGGAGGGGAGGGGGGGAGGCACAAAACCCCGCTTTCTCACTGGTCTGGACAGCTTGGGAATTTCCTTCTGTTTGGTTTCGTGCGTGTGTGTGTTTCTTTTTTTTTTAAAAAAAAAATCTTCTTTATTTCCCGCATGCACCGAATCATTATTCGCGGTGATGACGACGGCGACGACGACGACGATGGCTGATGATGGTGATGACGACGATGACGATGCATGCATGCGTTTTCGATCTCGCATCTGATGCTTGATCGCATTTTGCTCCTCTCCTCTCCTTCGTTTCTTCGTTCGCACCATTTTTTTTTCTTCTTTATTTCTCGCATGCGTGGCATTTTTTGCTCGTGTATTGTGTGTACAGTACCTACGCCAACACGCGTTCATGCCCCGGTTGACGGACCGCGTGTATGTATGCGCGCATGCGGCCACGTCCTCTCGTGTCTACATGCGTGGACTGACGTATACGTGCGTAAAGAGTTGTACTCCGGCCTTTTCCGTTGCAGTTCTGGCCCCCCTCCCCCCACCTCTTCGCTGTTTTGCAACGGTTCGTGAAGGTAGGTGATCAGGTACCCTGACTGCCGTCATTTCTCCTCGGCTTGTGGTCCACCGTCCTCGCCCATGATTAAGAGCAGACAGAGCTGCAGCATGTCTGACTAAAGAGTATCGTAAAGTAAGATATTTACAGAAAAAAAGAAAAAAAGGCACCGTGCAGCTGCTACACCGAGAAACCTATACAATCACCTCTCAGCTGCGACAATCGGAGCTTTGCGTCGTATGTAGGGGCGCGTGTGAGAGAGGGAGAGAGAGAGAGCGCGCGCGCGCGAACTGGGAGCAGGGAAGGCCAGCCAGCCATCCAGCCAGCCAGCCAGCCAGCTGGCCATCCATCCACGAGCGCGCGCGCGGGGCACAAACGACCAAAAGAAGAGCCAAAGCACATGCGCGCGCGCAATCCGCCCATCTCTCAGCCCAGCTCAGCCGAGCCCAGCCGAGCCCAGATCACAACCTCCAACGGTCAGGTAACAATAATAATACTCAGCCTCCTCCTCCACCTCCTCTTCTCCAACGTCCCACGTCCCATCTCTACCCGAGAGCGAGAGACCAACAAAAGGCCAAGCCGCCACACGGGGAAAAGGGGAAAAAAAAAAAAGGGCCCTCCTAGCTAGCTCATCGGTTGCGACCATGTGATTCATGCCGCGTTGGTTGATCGGGGGTTTGAAATTATCAAAGAAGCTACACTAAGCGAAAGGACATGGGCGTTAGATTGTTTTGAGGCTTCCCACTCGACACTATAAGATTCCATTGCTATAGGGGAGGGCAGGGCATAAGGGGGCCGGACGTGGAGCCGAGGACGATAATGGCGTCATATTTTGCCAGACGGCATTACCGCCGCCCGCTCCGCCCCGCCTAGGGTACCACAGGAAAGAACGGCCGAAGCCAGAGCGAGGGAAGGAAAAAGTAAATCGTAAAACTGCGGTACGGCTGGCGGGCGGAAGCGCGGGTAGACGGACGGACGGCGGCGGGCGCCGCTACCGGCGGTCAGACCGCGTAGAGGGAAAAAACGATAATTAAACATCGGCAAACTGTTGAAAGGTCATTTCTCTTTGGTGATTGATGAAAGTGAACATTGCGTGGCTTGTGTCAATAACAAAGAAAAAACCCCCCTCCCGACATTTGAGAGTCTCCAAGTATTGATTGATTATCATTGACGTCGACTGTAAACGAGAAAAAAAAAAAACATCAAAGCTCCTACCTAGGCCGACCTCTCGTCCATCAATTCATCCACCCCTAGCTCGCCCATCTCCGGCATCAGCCGTACAACGATCAATTCGATGATCCCAAAGATGAGATGCTTGTTCAGATACGGATCGCCCAGCACGTCCAACAGCCGCTCCACCTCTCTCTGCTGCACCGGATCCACTCCTTCCTCTTCCTCTCCTTCCTCGTCGTCATCTCCCCGCACGCCGCCGTCGGAACCGCCGAGGCCGCGGCTGCCGCTGCCGCTTCCAAACAGTCTCGACCTGACGAAGCTCGGCGTGGCGTCCAGCACCGCTCTAGCCGCGCGGCGCTTGGTGGCCAGCGCCTCGTCCGGCGTGGGCGGGATGCGCGCGGGACCCGGGGCGAAATTGGGGAAGATGGAGGTGCGCAGGGTGCGCAGTATCGGGGGTAGCAAAGCCGGATTGAGCATCCGGCTCTTGATCTCGTGGGATAGGAGCCTGTTCGGTTTCAGAAGACAAAGGGATTTTTGCCATGGTTAGCCACCGCAGTCTGCTGATGCAAGCGTTTGAAGATGGTGATGGGATCGCCAGCCCTGCCAAAAGCAACGAGTGGTGGGAGAGGGGAAGGTGGGTGTGCGAGTGGTAGGGCAGGCAAGGCAAGGCAGGGAGAGCAGCAGGGGGAACAGAAAGCGGACAAATTGTGCGCGCCGATCGAGATGGGGGCTTGGTTTGGGCGATCGGCGAGCAGGCGGGATTGCGATATGGAGAGGCCATTGGCCGGTTGTCTTGGGCGTCGATGCACCAGTGCAATATGGCGTTGATGACGGATATGACGATGGGCTGGCGAGGGTTTCGCGAGCAGCCCTGTCGGCCCCTCTTCCTCCAGGGACCCAGGGACCCAGGGACCCAGGGCCCCAGGGCCCCACGGCGAGAAGCGAGAAGCGAGAAGCGAGAGTAATTGCCGCGCGCGGTGGTGATGGGGCGATGCTGGGCCAGACGTCGGGGCGTGAGACAAGCATCCAGCGGCGGCAGCGAGTCGGTGAGACTTGGGATCGCCTGATGCAACGCTCCGACGGGGGTTGCGAGTGGTTGCTGCCCACAAAAGCTTCGAGTGAGGCGCTCTGGCGAAGGCGTGGTGCAGCCATGCTATTGACGAGGGCGCCCATGCAGCAGCGCGGCCGGTCCCGAGCATGCGAGTGGTAGGCAGGCAGGCAGGCAGATCAGCCGGGCGCGTATACGGGACGGCTGGCCGGCTGGGAAGGGCGCGCGCTGCAGGCCAGACCGCGCGGGAGGCGGGACGTTGTCTTCGTTGCGGCGATTGCTGTGTGAAGGCGCCAAGGCCGGGTCGGCCGGCGTGCGTCGCATTGCCGGGGCGTTGCTGGGGCTTTGCTGGGGGGCCGGGGGCGCATCATGCGCGATAAGGGTATGAAACCGCGGGCCGGGGGGGGTGCAGGTCAAGTGACCAGCAGCGCATGCGGCGCTAGGCAGGGAACGGGGACATGGGGCGAAAAGGTCGAACCAAAGCGAACTCACCTGTCCAATGGCGCGTTTGTGCCACCCACCCGCCCCGGCCCGCTGACGGCACTCCACTGCGCCAGCGACAGTGCGCCCGCGAGCCACGGCATCCGCGCCTTCAATTCGAGCAGCTGTCCCGCGCACGTCCACGCGCTCATCCCCAGCACGGCCGACGGCTCCTCCGCCGCCCACGCCGCCTCGAGCGATTGGCGCCTGCCCTCGACCGGCGACGACGACACGAGCCTGCTGCGCTCCGGCAGCGACGGGGATGCCGCCAGCGCCGCGACAACGGCCCGCACCCACGTCGCCGCCAGAAACGCGAACTGGCACGCCGCCCAGAACAGCAGGCTGAGCTCGCCAATCGCCCTGCCCGCCGCGCCGCCGTCTGACCGCGCCCTGGGCGCCGCCTCGTTGACCAGCCCAAACTGCTCGAGCCGACTCGTCGCTTTCGCCGGGGGAGCCGGGGGTGCCGCCTCCGCCGCGTGCACCACCTCAGCTATCTTCTCCACCGCCTCCCACAGCATCCACGCCTCGCACACCTTGTTGCTCACCGCGCCGCCAATGATCATCTCCGAGATGATCTCCGCCACCAGCGCCCGCAGGCACGCGTTGTCCAGGTCCTCGGTCGGCAGCAACACCGCGAGCACGCCCTGCACCAGCAGCTGCCGCCAGCACGCCTCATTCTCGCCCTGCTCCACCACCGTTGCAGGCTCGGCTTCAGACGGCACCGGCGTCAGCGCAGGGTGCGGGCGCAGCGTGTGGTAGATGTGTCGGTGCCCCGCCGCCAGCGGGCTGTCCTCAGAAGCGCGCTGCGCGGTCCGATATGCTGTGACGAAGTGTGATCAGCCCTGTGTAGCCGCCCGCCATAGTCATGCCTCACTCACCGTCCAGGTGCTGCGTTACAAGCTGCGGGATTTCGTCCAGGATCAGCCCTTCCAGATCGACCTTTCGCAGCCGCTGCTCCAGCCCACGCGTGCAGTGGGCAATGATCCGGATGACCTCATCCACAAAGACATGATCTGGTGTGATTTTGGCGTACCACCCGTACACAAACTCCTTGATGATTACCGCGATGATGGCATAGACCTGCAGGTCCACCTCGTTCGAGCTCGTCAACGGCGGCAGCAGTTCGTCCAGCGGCTTCGGCGATGGCTTGCCCTTCTCGCCACCCGCCAGGATGTTGGATGAGAGCTGGTGGGCGCAGAGGACGCGGCGGACATAGGCGGCCGTGGCCTTGTCAGATGCGGCATCGGCACTGGCGCGCGCGGTGGCTTCGGGGCGGGCGGCGGCTCTGGTTGGGAGCGAGGCGCTGTGCGGATCCGGGCCAGTAGCAAGGCGAGATGGCTTGGATGGCGGGACCTGGGGTGCGCTGGAGACCCTCATGGGAGGCTGCGGCATGGCTTCAACCTCCGCCGAGGCGCATTGCGCGCTGCGAGGGCGGGAGTCGGAAGGCGCTAGGAGCTGTCCGGGCGCTCACGTCGTAGTGTCGGTGCGAGAAATGGTAGCAAATGGATCCAGCGGGCGCAGCAGTTGCGGTGGTGGCAGTTCTCGTCAGCATCATGTTGAGCAGCACCTTGGTCTCGTCACCTCCGTGCTCGCGCGCTCCGCCGTCGGCGTGTGCATCGGCCCGCGAAGGCGGTGAGCCCAGCCCAGCTGTGAGCTCAACACCAGAGCTCTCTCGCAACTCTGCCTCGTTCGCGAACCCCCGCATCCACCATGGCGCCCAACGTGCCTGCGAAGCTCGAGCCTGTCGACAGTACGTGATCCTGCATCCGCAAACAGTGCCTGTTCTGACGTCCACGCGCAGGCCAGATCAAGAAGGTCGTCCAGAACCTCTTCCAGCTCGTCGTCCAGGTCCACGACTACCAGGGCACAAACACCGAAGATGCCATGAAGCGCGAGATGTGTGCCTGATACCACCGTTATGTTTTCCTACTTGCTGACCAGAAACAGCACCAACCTTCTTGCCAACTTGCTCCAACTATCGCGCGAAGCCTCCAGCCTCACCCTTCACATTCCTCCGGACATTATCTCCTACGTAGAGAACGGCCGCAACCCCGACATCTATACTCGCGAGTTCGCCGAGCTTGTACAAAAGAACAACCAGAAACTGAAGGGCAAGAGTGAGGCATTCGCCCAGTTCCGCGACATCCTGGCAAGCAAGATAATTACCGCTTTCCCGGACATGGAGCAGGATGCCAAAAGGATTGTGTCCAACACCGGTGGCAACCCAGCGACCCTGTAAATCATGTCTTTGAGCATCTCTCGCCTCGAATCGAGCGCGCCGTCCTCGTGGTGACATTTATTTTCTCGCAAAGATAGCGGCTTGGAGCCATCATAGCCGCCGATCCACTCCGAACGATATTCCTGAGACAGCATTCACCCTGAAGGTACTGCACTCCTACAGAACTGGTCTAGCAAAGTGTATCCTCTGGCACTCCTAGGCTCTCATGCTGCGTTCACGCCTGCTATCGCCGGAAAGCACCATGCCCCCACGCCTCCAGCGCGTCTCACATGCCTTTCTGTAGCGGCTCCCGCAATAATCTGGCACCCGTCCATCGAATAGCTGGACTCGCCATTGTACCGACTTTCGTGTCTCAGGCCAGCACCCACTATACTACCTGCTTTACAGATGCGGAGACCTATCCGATTTACGTCGCCTCGAAGTCAGGCTCTACGAAGTCGTTCCACGTAGAGCATGCGTATCAATGCCGTGTGACATCTTGATTCAGCTAGCCAAGTTTTTGGCTCAACGGCAAGCGAGGCATTGGCGTAGATATCGGTATTTGCAATAGGACTAACTCACATGATGGATTGTGGTCTTCTTTTCTTTCATGTAATTGAGGCCTGGTATCACTATCTCGAGTTTCACTTGCGGGCTTGAGGCCTGATTAGAACTTTTTGAGGGATTTTGGCTCGTAACAACCTGAAGCACGGTTGCCTGGTAACTTCGTATCGCACTACTATGTTGGTGCGTTCATGTAGACCGGATTCCATATGTTATTTTCATACCCAGCATGGTGGGCCAGGACGCACCCGTTTCACATTCGCACTTGGTGACTGCCGCTTACCGGTGCTAGTAAACATTGGGAGCCACATTTAGATATAGTAGACCTCCCGTAGAATCAAAGACTATTGAGATCTACTAAGATCGTATCATTTTCACAGGAACACTTATATTTGGAATGTCAGGCTTCTCGTAACCTGCCTACTCTTCTATCTAAGTAAGTTACATTATGAGCTCTTTATTGGCCATCTTCCATTACCTCCCTGATTTATTAGGTCATAAATCGACTAAGTCTTTCTCATGCTTCTAGAGTCTCGGTTGGAATGTAACAGTCATTCGTACTCTGCCCGACCCGACCTCGCAACGACATGATAGAGCCTGTCAAGCGTCTGATTAACTGCCTAGGAAAGCATCTCCCCCATTCCTATATTATAGCCATTGAAGACCAAGTGCAGCATAGGAATCGAGGAACAAAGGTGGTTGGTAGTTGGTATTTAAGACTTTCCCCCTCCCCGTAGACCAAAAGTTATCATACAGTCCAAGACCTGTTCGATGGGACTGTTGATGATGATGTGACTGACGCACTTACGACCTCCTCTCCATCTTCAACTCCAGAAGAACGCCGCCCCTTCCTTCCCTCAATCCCAGGCCACAAGAAGAAAACAACAACAACACAACAAGGCCACTGGCCTCCGGACGCGTCGAACCCCTCCCGCCCGCGACAGACAATGCTTGCTCGCTTTCCCAAAGAAAAAATTCCAAAATACTAAAATCCTTATCGCAAACAAAGGTAACCTGTTCGACCGGAACTGCAGAGAAAGACAGAGAGAGAGACAGAGAGAGTGCGTGCGCCGTAATCATACCATCGCCCCAAAATGCTTCAAGCTCCTTTCCATTTTAGCTGCCCCCCACTAGGTAGCCTCCCCGGCCGGCATCACCGGAAGTTCCAAACGGGAAAGTTGCCTCCGCCGACAGGACTGAGCTTGAGGTGCTGGTACGGACTGCTTTGCGGGTCGTAGTAGAGGCCCTCGATCGCGCCGTCGCTGCGCCGCAGGCAAACGTAATAGAACCCGCTGATGGTCAACCCGCACCCGTCCTCTCCCGCATCCTCGTCCTGATCCGTACTCGCCGCCGGGGGGTCTCTCAGCAAAGAGGCGTGTTGGGAAGGGTCGGAATCGCTGGTGTCCGTGGTCATGGGCGAATCGGCGGGGGTGACATGGGTGGCGGCTGCGGCGGCTGCCCGCCTTCGTGCCGAGGATGTGGATTTCACAAAACAGCGCTCCTTCCACCGCATCAGGATCCACTCTTGTGCCAATTCCGTAACATAGTCGTGTGAGACGAGCTTGTGGACGAGATCGTGGTCGCTGAGATGAGCGAATGGGGGCAACTTCCGCCAGTACGTGGCGTCTGTTGCTAGACTACTCTTGAAGGATTCAGTGAGAAGGGTGTGGGTACGTAGATCAAGGATTTCGCCTTCTAGATATGTTGTGATACTCGAGGTGCGGGTTCCAGGTCGGGAAGGCCCGCTTGCTGCCGGATCAAGCGTACTGCCAGGAAACGAGGGAGGGTGTGATGGTACATTGTAAGCTTCCATTGTCGCGGCGAGGGTCATGTTTTCCCAGTCCACGGCGTGGACGGTGACCTTGACAGGCCAGCGGTCCTGTTGTTGTGTTTGTTGGGTCGCGGGATCTTCTACTCTGCGAGCGTGGGGCGGAATTGGATTATTATGGCTCATCCAGGGCCGTGCTACATCGAACCGGGTTGATGTCATGGGGGAGTCATTGTTTCGAAAGCGGTATAGTGTGGTTGAGGTAGCGGTAGGGATATTTGAGGAGGTGGTGACGCTTGAGGTAACGGTAGTGGCGTGTTGTGAACCGGAAAACACGGCACCAGGCGCTAACCATGAGGTTTCTGCAGGTCCAGGGATTGTGTTGACATCGAGGATGAAGTCCTGGTGGTTTTCGCCGAAGAATTCCTTGGTGACGAAGCCCGCATCCGCCGCATGGAAGAGGCTGTCTTCGTAGGAATCCGAGCTCCGGATCTGGGAAAGATAATTGATGGTTTGCTCCAGCCAGGGAGAAGTGGGCGCGGGGCTGCTGGACGGGTTCTCGAGATAGCTCCGCCTGTACGAGTCTAGCCTCGTTCGATCCCGCGCCTCGCTTGATCGGCTGCTCAGGTGCCAGCCGTATCGGCTCGTTTCTATCCGGTTGAGGTCGGACCGGTCCTGTGAAGTTCGCATGGCCGCGTCCCGCTCGGTGATGTAGCGCTGCATTGTCTCCCGCGAGCGCGCCGAGAAGCGCGGGTGCCGTCTCGATTGTGTCGAACGCAGGGACGACTCGGAGGGCTGCGTGGCCCGCTGGCCCATGACGCGGGAGTAGCGCGCCGCGGTATCCTCGGACAGGCCTCCTGGAAAGGGAGTCGATGGTTCTTGCCGCAACGTCCGCAGTATCTCCTGTAGCTCCTCGTGGTCGCGGTCGGCCGAGGCATCGGCGGGCGGGCTCCAATTGTACAGCGAGTTTCTCGAGGGCACGCGGTCACTGTAGGACAGGGAGTCTTCCATGCGACTGAGGCGGCTCAGCACGCGCTGCAGGTGCGTCTGGCGATCACGCTCATCATGCTGCATCTCGGCGGTCCGGGCGCGCAGTCGTTCCCGGGCAACGCGCACTTCCTCGAATAGCTCATCCTCCGCTTGAGCGTTCTGCTGGCGCCACTCCTCCTGGGGATCGACGGGGCGGCGCAGGAAGCTCACGTTGTCGGCGTCGATCTCGTTCTCGGCCTGGGTGGTCAGTGTGGCGGCGAGGTTGATGACCTGGGGCGACACGGGACTCTCGAGCTGACGGAGGGCGGAGAGGTAGGAGGGTGGGGTGTTGGGCCGCGCGGGCTCGTCCTGTGGGCGACATCAGCGGAGACGTCAGCGGGCGGAAGCAGCGAGCAGCGGGCGGCGATGCGCCAAGCGGCCGGTGCACTCTACCTACCGACGGCTGCGGGCTTGCCCTCGACGTGGGCGGCGGCATCGATGTTCCAGCCTGCGCAGGGCGAAGGATGCGGCGGTTCGAGCGACGGCGAGGCGGCAATACTAGGTCGTGCGTGGGGCGTCGTCAGAGGGGCCAGAGGCATCGCGAGACCAGGCGCATTGGTGCTGGCAGTGTCGGCTGGGGTGCAACAAGGGCGCGGGCTGGCAGCGGCGACGGGCGAGGGCGGCGGCAACAAAGATCGCGTTGTCTTTGTGAGATGCAGGCGGCCGGCGCTGAGCCTCCTTTTGCGGCTGAAACGGCGAGCCGCTCGTTTGTCGGTAACGGTTGGCCGCGGGGCGCGTGCTGCAGGGCGAAGTCACAGTAGTGATAATGCGGGGCGCGTGAAGTCTCCAGGCCCCGCAGAGCGCAGCGCCAGTTGTGAGGATGGCCGCCGGCCCACTGACGTTATTGTATTCGACGCCGTCACAAGACCGGAGTAGCGCCCGTTGCCCATGCCACCCCTGTCGCCGGCCAACTTCAATTGATGAGTGTTCTATTACTTTCAACGCTAGTTTGCACTGAGAACTGCTCCTATCTAACCAGCATCCGCTTCCCGCCGCGCCCTGCGCTTTGGTTTTCTCGTGCTCGCCGAGACGGTAGGGGAGATGATCCTACCAGCCCACGCCCAGCGAGGCCCGAAGCCGGGAAGGCAGCCGATCAGGGCGTCGAGAGCGTGCGTGTCCGCAAGCGGAGCGCCGCACCTCTCCGGGCCGTCTGCCACAGGCAGATCGACCTTTGCGCCCATCCGACTTCCTCGCCCCGTCTCCGACCAACGCCAGCGCGTGGGGAGAACACTACACGACATGCCAGACGTCGTATATGTCTCTGCCGCCGCCTTCCACCAAGTCCAGCTGGCAGTCAATGCCAGTGTGTGGGTAGCCAGAGCGCCGCTGCGCCGGGAGATGGGCTGGCCGTCTCGCCCAGCGCAGCAAGGCACCCGTTGACGACATTAGAAAAAAGGAAAGTGGGTGAACCGAGTATACCCGCCCGTTAGCCGTGAGGCATGAACCCTGTCTTTTAAAATGCTTGACATGCGAACCTCCCAGAGATGCAAAATGAAAAAAAGGAAAGAGAACCAGGCTCGGCTGGTGCGTACACGGAAAGACAGAAACACGCTCGCTAAAATGACAGCAATGACGGGAAAAAGGGATATCAAGGGAAAGATTTACCAAGGAAATAAAGAAGGAAATCCGCTGAATCAATCATAACGCCGTCCCATGTGCCCCGAGTGGATTATGACGTGAGGACATCAAGTCATACAGAGTCGCATCTCATCTCGTCGAGTTCATCGCAATGCTGTCCGAGTAAGACTGCGGGAGGGAAATAATACAGGAGAACCTGTGATTGGCCAGATCAACAGCTTCTCGGGCTGTCCTTGTCAGCGTGGACCTTTGTTGTAGCCGCCCTTCACATGGCGGCTGCGAATTGGGGGGTGAACTCGTGATAGCCCATCCCAAATCCGCCGAAGCCCGTGTGAGACGGCGTAGGTCCGCACTGGTTGATCAAGGTGCTCGGAAACGAGATGGCGGGCATCGGAGCCGTCGGCTGAGGCGGGCTGTAGTACTGGTTCGAGGTGCACAACGGCTGGCTGTAGGAAGGCGTCGGCGACGGCAACTGGAGGTCGTTCATGCCCATGGTGGTCCAGAACGTCGAGTTCTCGGCGCCAGTCGTGATTGTCGGGCTCGGCGTGGACGGGATGACCCTCCAGGACTCAACGGGCGCGGGGTGAACCGGCGGTCCCTGCTGAGGAGAGTGCCACCAGTGGCCAGACGGCGAACTCGGCAAGATGGTCGGGGGGCGAACAACGTCGACGATCCTCGGCGGCGGCGGGAGGAGCGGAAGGAACAGTCCCGTAATAGCATGCTTGACATCCTCCGACCTGCCATCCAGCAGCTCTCCGGCTCCATCCTCTTCAAGGCCTTCCAGAGCGCGCACGCCGGTGCGGAAAACGTAGCGGTTGACGGCCTGGACAAATTCTTCCTGCAGCTTCTTCAACTGAACCTCCTTCTCGGCCCACGACCAGGTGTTCGCAGCCACATCGACCGAGTAGATGTCCTTGTGGTACTCGACAAGCGCGTCAATGGTGTCCTGGGTGAGCTTGAAGGCGACCTCGTGTTGTGACACCATGTCGACGTGCACGACGTAGGCCTCGACGTGGATCAGCTGGTAGTTGAACATGGCCTCCACCAGCGGATCGGCGTCCCGGCGCAGCTCGGAATCAGGCGCCTTGGGGAGCATGAGGGAGCACAGCGACCAGATGGCCTGCGGGCCAGACAGCGTCTCGGTGAGACAGCGGAAGTGCTGGGGCACGCTGTTGAGCGGACGCTTGATGCGGTTTATCCGCTTGAGCGTCTGCGTCAACCAGGGCTCGACCTTGGAGTTCAGCACGACGGTGGGCGCGCTGCGCGGCGCGAAGGCGGCGGCAGACGCAGGCAGTAAGGATATGGGCATGGCGACGGAGCGAGATGATGAGTAATACGGGAAAAATGCGACGGATTATGGGACAACGTTAAGTGAAAGCGGAAAACGAAATGGAAAAAGAATAGGTCTCTGGCGGTCCCAGCGAGGGAAGTGGTTAGCACGCCTGATTGTCTTGAGGGAGAGAGACCGACGAATGAGAGGGGGCGAAGAGGGGGTGAGAGGTGAAGGGTAGGGAAGGGCTAGCGGCGGGGTGGCCTTTTCCTTTAAGTCGCGGGTGGATCTGGTGGAGTGGCCGCCGGTAGGTCGGCGGCGTGTGGCCATCGCGCTGGCTGGGGGCTGGGTGCGTGCAGCGCGCTTTCGGCAAGGCTTGCATGCCATCAGACTCTACTCAACCGTGCAGCAGCTCGCGGGCTAGCAGCAGCGCCGTGGACCCAGCTCCAGCTGCTCCGCATGCGCGTTTCTGCGCGAGATGCACGAAATTGCCCGCGCTGCCCCAGCCTCCGTGCCTCCCAGCGTGGCGGCGGCGGCGGCGGCGGCGACGGCGACCAGCGAGAGCCGGCCCACTGCCAGCGCAGCCCTTACGAAAGCCCGGAGCAGCGCGTCTCCACACGCCGCCTGGCGCCGGCAGCCGGGCGTGCTGCGCCTGGAGAGCGCGCGCGCGCCGGCCCTGAAACGGAGCGCGCGCGTCTTACGAGGCCTTCTGCAGCGTCAAGGGATGGCCGGCCTGGAACGAGGACCGGGTTCACGCCGCTGGCGTTCTGCAAAGCTGGAAGGGGGGGACTTGGGGCCTGGGGGCTGTCTTCCAGAATCTTTCCATGTTGCCGGAAGTTGATCCTGCGCAACCTCGCGGCGCTGACTGCTGCTTCGGGGAAGACGATAGCTTAGCTAGGGGTGTGGGCTCGGGGTGTCTCGCTGCTTCTGGCGTCACGGTTGTGTGGAGGCCGTCAGATGCTGGCTGTGCAGCGCGCGATAGGTCGTCGTTCTTCGGTGCGCACCCCGGTCTGCGCGCGCTGATTGGGCCGCCGTCTTTTAGTAGCGGCACTCGACGGCGGCCGGTCTCAGGCAGTGCTGCCATGTGATGCCGGGAAGGGCCTGCCAGCAGGAATACAAGTAGCACGGCGGCTGCTGAGGCATCGCATGACCGCGCTTGTGCAGGCCATGTTCATGCAACGATGTCGGCGCGCGCAGGGTTGCGGGCGGCGGTGCACGCAGGCAGGCTGGCCGGCAGGCAGGCCGGCCGAGGGTGCAGACTCGCGTCGGCCGTTTGCTCGGGCAGCAGCGGGCAAAAGTCGAGGGCAAAAATTAAAATCGAGGGCTGCGCGTGGCCCCATGGCGGCGTGAGGGCTGTGACGGTAGCGCAGTGGACGGGCAGCGTGGCCAAGTGCCAGGTGCCAGGTGCTGGGTGCCAGGTGCCAGCATCGGCGGCGGGCTGATGAGGCTGTGCTCCAGGGCTCATGCGCAGCGTTGCAGTGGCGCGCAGATCTCGGCGTCGCCTTGCGCATCCACCAAGGACATGCTCCCTGTCGGGCGCGGGCGGCGAAGATGGTGAGCGCCGCCTCGCCTGCTAGCGTTTCGCCGGGCTCGAGTGGTGCAGCCCCAGATTTTGCCTATCGCGGCGACCCATAGCAGCGGCGTTATCGATAGCTATCCTCTCCACCCGCCAGGTGTTTCTTCCCGTTGCCGTTTCATGAGCTGCACGTCTCCCCAGCTGCGCCTCGTTGCGCCCGCCTCTTGTCGTCATTCGGCAGCGCGCTGGACGCCGCCTGCAAATCGACGCCGCCGGCACCCAGCGCTTTCCGACAGCGCTCGGTCCTTGCAGCAGCGTGCAGCGCGACTTGCCGCTTCCAGCCTGCCAGCCTGCGCTCAGCTCGGCAAGGATGCGCGCCGAATGAGGTCAACTAGCGCGCCGGAGTCCGACGCGAGCGCTGCACTGCCTTCTTGCTCTCGCCCGCCTGCCACCTGCCATCGTGACCGCGCACCGCGCTGCTCAAGCTTTTGGCAACGGCCGCTCCGAGGGACCGTTTCATGATCGGCGCCGGACTCGCGGATGGCTGTGCATGCCACCCTCACCGCTGCAGCTGTGACTCATCTCGTCGACGGGCACAGATGCATGTTTCAGATCATCAAGCAGCCCAACAACCTCTTTTGCGCTGCTCTTGCCCGTCCCGGCCGTTGTTGACGATGCCATGGTGCACTGCCAGTGGAGCGCTGCGCTGGCCTGCAGAGCGGTGAAATGGAGATCGAGTGCCGTGAGGTCACACGCAGGCAAAAAGCTTCCATATGAGGAGCAACAGCCGTTGGCAAGCGTCATCGCTCGCGAGCCACAGGAATTTTCCGACTGAACACGACAACACACCCGACTTCGAAACAACATCTGAAGCATTATTGCCCCGTCCGACGTGTCGCTGGGCAGCTGCTGTTCTGCCGGCAACTTCCTTGATGACTTGACATCAATCTGCTCCCGGCTCACCGGTGAGCGTCGTCGAGACGCTGCACGGCGCTGGCGTTGAACCGTATTCTTTCGAATACGAGCCAAGAGATGCTCAGTCAAGAGCATGGTTTATTTGTTTCGACCGTCTTCCACTGCTGTCACTCGAATAGTGTCAGACTTGCTGTTCTTGACCCACGAGAACCAATCATTTCCTCCATGTCCTACCATCATCGCTGGTGCTCTCATCGTAGCATTCGCCTAAACAGACGGCGGCGAAATCTGCCACCTGCCGGAGAGACCCAATATCTTCGAGCTTACGCGCTCTTCGTTCACATAGAAATTGTTATCGGCTGGCCTGTGATTCTTGCACAGGCCATGGCAATATAGTGAATATGCTGTGGCACCGGTCTCAACTCAGCTTCTGGATGTTGTTGACACGGCATGGTGCTAGTTGATCCGCCCATGCGGGTTTTGAGGGAAGCAGGTGAATCAATTGTTCTCTGCTCGAGCCTCTCGTCACTGCTGCACCGTCCGTTTCCAAGAACATCCACCTTCCAGAAGCCGTAAGTCAGGCCGTGCCTGCATATTTAGGTGTGCGACCATTCTATGCACTATCCATGTCCCGATGGTGCATCCAGACAAGCACCCATTCGCATCATAGCCACCAGAAACCTCTACGACACACTCTACCTCCGGCCTTCACATCCCGCCACTGACGCAGCTGCAGCGCAAAATTGCTCGTTCTAATTACGATGACAACGCCCGAATACTCCGAAGAGCATGGAAATTCTTGATGTTACGGCCAACTACCTAGTCACCCCACAACCGAGGTGGGTGACACCGGCGGCACGACAACTTGACGTGACGCGCCACAACATGTGAGATCACGATTACTGGACTCACGAAGCCTAGATTCACGCCAAGGAGCTTGGGGCCAGACCGGACTCAAGACCACCCAGATGCACGCCGCAGTGCTTGAGATCACGACTACTAGACTCAAACTTCTCGACCCACGAGCCGACCCCGATGTCTGGACGCGAGTCTCCAGACCAACGGGCTTCGATCTAATACTCGGGATGAGCACTCTTCAGGTTAGTCCAATCTGGGCCGAATCTCTGGTAGCTGTGATGTATAATTTTTGTTTTCGCTGCCCTTTGCAACGGCCGCCATCATTGTTGTGTGTAGCCCTAGGCTCAAGCCGGAAAGCGAGCACGGAACGAGATCAATAGAATCCCTCGTCGGTCCCAGACACCGAAATTGATGTTTTTTTTTCCTGTACCACGCCGGGACAGCCACCCACGCATGTTTATGCTTAACCCGCACCGTACACTCGAAGTTCACAAAATCTCCACCGTGCATGGTGCCGGCGTTGCGCCACACCCGCGCTGAGAGGAAGAGGGGGACCGGTCACCCACCACACGGACGGCCAGCCGGCGCCGCGGCAGAAGAGGCGTATGTTAAACCACGCCTCGCTTGTGGATATACAAAGGGACGCGGTTCCCTGTCGCATCCCCGACGATTGGATCTCGCACCCGGTACCCCGGTCGCGCCAACGGGGAAAGAACCAAAGGGACCCTCACTATTGTACCGCTCTTCCCGAGTTTTTTCTAAGTTTTTTCTTTCTCTGTGCCGTTCCGCTTTTTACCTGTTCCTTGGTCGGGTTGTCGAACGATCTTTGCAGTTTACTACTATAGAGCGCGCTGTATGTCAGCAATGTTGTGTGGTTCTTGGTCGTCCGGGAGCATCTCCTGCCTGCCTCTCGCCAATTTAGGCGCCGCTAGGTTTCCTTTCTTTTCTTCTTTTCTACGCATTGGATGACAGCAGCCTGCAAGGGCAGAGGCTTGTGGTGGGCGTTGTTTTCCGGGGGGAAAGAGGCGCTGCGTAAGCGCGAGCGTTGCTCAGGTAGCCCTGCATCCTTGTGGGAGATAGGTCCGTGATATGCGCGACACACATATCTGCACCTTCCGTAGGATGCGCGTCTCGCCCTCTGCGCATGGCGATCACTCTTCACTCGCATGATGGGAGCGGGAAGAGAGCGGGAATGTCAGCAACGTTCGGGGGATGCATGTTCCATCCCATGCCGGACGATCATTAGCAGCAGCCGCGGAGAGCGTCCGCCGGCGTCGTATGTCGTCGTAGTCGTCGTCGCCGTCGGCAAAGCACGAGCACCATTCGGCGCCGTCTGTGAGGGATGAGATGACGTTTGAGGGGCGTCTTCTGGAGCGGCCCATTGCCCTGCTCTGCGCGCCGTATGGAATTTTTTTGACTTGTATTTTTTTTTCTTCCTTGAAACAACTGCCCTGGCGGAAACCCCGCTCTCTCTCCCGCGCGCGCTTTTGCTTGCTCGGCAATGCGAGACATGTGTAAGATGCATGCATGCATGCATGACGTGAGGCAGGGAAAAGGCTTGGGGGCCACGGCAACTGAAGGAGGAAGATGATGTACATGCATGTAGGCCACTCTTGTTCTTCACACGCATGGGCCGCTCTTCATCTCCCTTCTTTCGTCGTGACGTGAGACGCGTGGCTGCTGCGCGGAACGGCGGAAGCTGCTGCTGCTGCTGCTGCTGCCGGGCTGCGACGACGACGAACAGGAATGAAAGGCATTGTGACTGGATGCGGTAGTGGTGGTGCACACTGTCCGTGCAACGACCCACTAGCCAAATCCTATTTTCGTCAAAAACGCTTCTTCAATTTAATTCTGGCAGGGCAGAAGACAGCGAGCCACGTTGCGGGCATTGAAAGATTCCGGGATGGTGCCTCTACGAGTCTTCACTCTTCGGCGCCGAGACACCAATCCTTCCCGCCGCCGGGCGAGTCAGCGCATCTGGTCGAGGGGAGCAGAGGAAAGCAGAGAGCGAGATGAATGGGAACTGTGATATGGCCGAATCGAGCATGCTGCATATGCTGATTATCGCAACGGCGCCCGCGGGAGATTGAGCCGATCGGGCATCGTCGACGCGAATCCGACGAAGCAAGGAAAATCGGGGAACGGGCAGGCATCGGGGCAGCGGCGGCGCAACACCTCCTCCCACCCACGAGCCTGCGCATCTAGACTCCAGACCCTCGACACGGTCGAGGCGGGCGATGGGTTCTGCCGGCCCCGTCTCCGTACGTCCCTGCCGCGGGAGATGGCGCGGGTTGGCCGTCCCATCTCCGATCATCCGCAAGCGCTTTGCTCCACCCATCGAAGGAAGCGCGGCTAACCAGGGGCGAAGAGGGGGGGGCGGCGGCGGCGGCGGCGGCGCATCATCATCATCATCATCGTCATGGCCACTGCCACTGCCAACATCGGGCCAGGCTTGCCGCCTCGGCAGGCGGCAGCCCCGAGAAAGCCAGAGCACCAAACCGTGTTAGCCCGCAAAACGCGCAATCGGCGGGCCGGCGCCGAGGCGATGCAAAAAATGGATGGACGGGACACGCCCGAGCCTCTGCTGCCCCCATCCGCCCGGCCCCCACTCCGCGCCGCCTATCAATCCACCACCACCTGCTTCCGCCATCACGACTCGCGAAGCCCGTCGACGCTACCCGAGCTGCTGCTAGGCCCAGGGGGAGGGCATCGTGTCGACGGCCTCCAATATGCGTCCGGGGTCCGCAAGAGGGCAAGCCAGGTACACCTTGTCTCGGCCTCGCCTATTCCTGTCTCCTCTTTTTTTTTTTCCCTCTCGCCTGCCTTCAGCTCCCCCGGCCGCTAGTTTAGCCAACGCCCGTCTTCGCTCTCCTGAGAGGACGGCGTGGAATTTCCACCATTTTTCCCGCCAGTTTTTTTGCTGCTAAAGGCTTGGAGACCGGGGCATCCGGTGGATGATGATGATGATTACTTGGAGAGGGGAGGCGAGAGGGACCCTGTCAGGCAGGCCTCGGCTCCACGGCGTCGCCGAGTGGTTGGCGTTGCCCTTTTCTGAGCAGGGTTCCTTTCCCCGGCTGGCTACCTAGTTAGCATGAGCCTCCTCCTCCCGCCCCGGAAGGCAAGAGTAGTGACTGTCCACCTTTGTCTTCAGGCCTCCCCGTCGGCAACGGCCCCCATGTGGGTTTCAACTTTTGTGGGCGGGCTGGGTTCCCTGCCTCTGCTCTGCTGTTTCTTTCCATGCGCCTTGTCTTCACCCCTGCAGCCGATCAAAAGGCTATGCTCTGACCCTGTCTTTCCCTCGTCCTCTCACAAGAGCCACACGGTGCAGCAGCCGAAGCGGCCCTTTGCTGTCAGCACCCTACCGAAGCAGTGATGTGCGAGGAATCATGCCCTGCTTCGCCGGGTATGGTAGGAGCGCGGCGCGACGAGTCACGTCTGTGCCCATTGGATGCTGCTCCACCAAACACGCCCACGACGACGCGGATCAAGATGAAGAAGGGGAGGTCGGAAGCGTAAGCATCCGTGACACCCTCGTCCGGCTCACACAGCTGGCATTCCACGACGGCCAAAAAGAGAAAAACTGGGGACGTCTGTTGTCTCGACCTGGGCGGCTACAGCGGCAGCAGCGCCGCGGTTCCGCCGTCTCGCTCCCTTATTGATGAGGTGGCCTTTCCGACTGGTGCTCTGCGGGCAGCAATGATTTCTGAGGCGTTGCGGCCATGTGGAGCTCCAAGAGGGAGGGGAAAGGGTCTTGCAAGGCTTGCACTGTTCTCCTTAGTGCTCCCGCAGAAGGGTAGGATAGCATTTCGCTCGGAGATGAGGCACCCCGTTTGGCGGGTGTGCCTGGAACCAATCGAGCTTGCGTGAGAGCCTGTATCCATGTGCAGAAAATCTCCGAAGCCCATGACCCTTGTATGTGGGTATGAGGCAGCACGGTATGGCTGTAGCGACCTCTTCCGAAAGTGGTTGGCGCCACGACATGTGGATAGCAATGGGCTGATATCAAAATGAAGGACATCTCCATGCTTCATTGTTTTGCACAGGCAGATGTCTGTCTATGCTCCACCCCTACTGAATGTAACCTCAATCCGCTTGGCATCCCAAATGCTCCACTCCCAGCCCGGTAATGATGGTACGAATGCAATAAAAGCAAAGGTGGCTTGAAGCTGGAATAATTGCAGACCGGCTCCGGCCGCTGGCTCACTACCGTTCGTTGCTTGATCAACGTCAGGTGCAGGAAATCAGAAAAGATAGGAATCAGTTCAACACCAACAATATGCCGCCCGTTCACCCAGTGACCTTCTCGTCGCTCTTCTTGCTGCCCTTGCTTCTGACGCTCGACGTGGTACTCGAGCTCCTTTCCCTACTTATCTCATCGTTAATGGATCGTAATACCTGCTTCCCCTGCTCACTCTTACCCAAGCTTTGGACAAGCTTCGTGTTCTGATGCTGCAGTTCGCCAAGCTGTTCCTTCAGCAATCTGTTCTCGTGCTCTGCCATTTCCGCGCGCGACTTGAACTCGTCACGCTCACGCTGCACCCGAGTGACGACGTTCTTCTCTTCTTCCTTCTTCTTCCGCTGCTCCCGCTTCTGGGCCTCCTTGTCGCGTTTCGCCGCGAGCTTCTCCATCTCTCGCTGGTACTTCTCGACGGCCTTGCGCTTGTCCCGCTCCTCCCGCTCCGTGGCTTGCTGTTCGCGCGCTTGCTCCTTCTCCTTCATCTTCCGCATCTTCTCGTCCAGCGCGGCCCGCTTCGAGTCCAGCTTCTGCATCTCCCTCTCGTAGCGATTCTGAGCCGACTGGCTCCTCGTAAGGTCACTGCCAACGCTCTCGCCCGAAACGCGCCTGGGAGGCAAGGGTGGAGCCTGCTCATCGTCGCCGCCGGGGCCTCCGTTGGCGGTGGCCCATTGCTCGGCGGAAGCGAATGAGTTGAGGCTTTCGGTGTCGCTGACGCTGTCGGATCCTGAAGATGACGATGATGAGTCTTGGGGAGTGGGTTGGAGATACGAGGCCACCGATGTGGGAGCATAGCTTTGAATGCCATTCCCGACGGCATTCGAGAGGGTTGATAGAAAACCGTTGTTGTCCTTACCATTTTTGATGGCAGAGGGCTCGGTGAGCGGCAGGTCTGCAATGCTTGTGCCCACGCCGGCGAGCTGCGCGTTCCGTGATGCGGCAGAAAAGCTTGCTCTTGGTTGCGCCTCGTCTTCCGCTTGCAATGCCTCCTTGTCTACCGTGGGCGGTAGACCCTCCAGCTCAATCTTTTCTGGGTCTGGGAGGTCCTCCTTCGCACAGGCCCAGTCCAAGAACTTGCTCGTGTCTGCGACAATGGAGCCTGGAGTTCCACGGTCGATTAAAAATCTTGGTATTCCACCGCCTGGATCACTCCGTGTAATCATTATCCACTCGACCGGGTTGGTTTCCGGATCATCGGGGCTGGCTTCTTCCTTTCTTGTTATATCTCCATTTGTAGAGTTTGCGGGGGTAAGGGGTATCTCTCGAATCATCTCGATTGATTCATAATTGCCTCGTACGAGGTTGTTTCTAACGGGTGCTTCTGGGTGTTCGCACGGTATGGACACGATCATGTAGTGCCGAGGGATCTGATCCGCAGCGGCGTGATCATCCACATGTGGCTTGGACTTCTCGCTCAATGCATGATCGGACGTCAGGAGCATGGTGATGAATTCTCGCGGCGCCGTTGGTGCCGGGAACTTTGCGGATAGTTGCAGTACTGGCAACCAGAGCGGCTCGTTAGCAGTCGGCCAAAAGCATTGCTTTGCTGAGACGTACCTTCCAATTTCCCAAGGCCCTCGACAACTTGTCGCTCGAGCCGCTTGTCTCCACCAATGCCTCTGATGCTGCCGACTCCAGGCCCGCCTTCGACGGCCAAGCTCTCGGCAAACTCCTGTTGGAGAGCCCGTTTCCATTTGGAAAACCCCAGGCCCTCGTGCACGCTTCTCCTCGCAAACCACGAGCCGTATCTGTCCGCGCCGGCTAATTTGTACACGGAAATTCCTTGCGGATTGTTGCTGGCTTTGATCGGCTTGCCCCAGACCTGCTGGAGAGGCTCGAACGACGGGTCGAGAGGCGGGGAACGGGCGTCTGATACGGTCATCTCGGAGGCATTGTGGGCGCCGTTGACGTCGGATCGTTTGCGCTCGGAAGAGAGGAAGTCGGTGCCGCCGGGGACCTGGGGGACAGAGTTGACGATGGTCTCGCCATTCGCGAGGATGCCACGCATCCATGGCTGCAGGTCATCGAGGGGGACGTCGGAGGCGAAGTCCTTCGGTCTCAGGCAGCTGAGGGCGTCATGTAGCTGTGCGCCCGCCATGATGACGCGACTCTGGTATTGCGGAAGCGGCGGGCACTACGGGAGGCGGAGGGCGAGGCTCTTTGAGCAAGCGCCAGGGCCGGGACAGGTGATGTAATGAGAGACAGATGGACCTAGGCTCGGAAGCTCCAAAGTCCGAGTGGGAGCCAAGATGGCCCGGCGCGGATGAGGAAGGAGTCGGGGTCGGCGGGATCGCGTTTACCGCTCGTGCGAAGGCTGCAGCATGGCGGGGGCGGAGGGCTACTAGGTAAGGTGACCGGATCGTGGGCCGGGCTAAGAGATCGCACTGAGTGCAGCACGTTGCGCAGCAGGAGGAGCTCAGGGTCTTTTGTAAATCAGCCTAAGGCGCACGAAGCTTGCATCATGGGGAATCCATGCTGGCGGGAGGCGCGACGTCACCTCATGCCCCACGGACCAGCGTCAAGCCTCACCGCCGTGCGCTACCGCTCGCCGGCCTATCGCTAATTGTCATCCACGACGGACTCAGTCTTTCGCCAGCACCGCTACTGTTCGAGCGGGGGCATGGCCTACTGCCACACTGCTGCGCAATGTCGACGTCGCCAATCGCCCCTCATCGCCGCCACTTTATTGCCGTGCGAAAACCTGTATCTGCACCCGTGTCCCGGTTCATGACGCTGATCGGCGCGTACAACTACTTCACCTCATCTGAACGCTTTCAGGGACCAGATCTATGCTTGAAACCGCCCCACCTGCTTGCTCTGGATCCGCAGAGACAACGCCCGGAGACCCTTCTCCTGACCCCCGTCGGACCGACACAAATACGGCAATACGTATGCGTATCGATCCATTTGACGGCGCCATTTCCCTACGACCACGAGGATAACGGACGCACTACTCGCTAGAACCGGTATGTAGGCATCAAGCCTACGCATTGACCAAGATGAATGATTTCGTGGACTATAGAGTAAGGAGACGCTGCAAATGTCCAAAGCCAACGAGGGAATGGAGGCAATGTAATGACTGATATTTCAGCCCAGCAGCAGGCCCCAAGGAGTGAATGTGACCCGCACTTGAAGGATCGAAATTAGAGAGGGTGACAACAGGCTGCGGACGACATGAGACCTGAAGTCCGCAGAGGACGCTGCAATCTTTCCGCGTGGGTGGAATTGAATCCACCGCCGTGGGGTGGCCATATGCTTCAGGGTTGCCTGATCTGATTAAAGCTTCGACTTCTGCGCACTTCCACCGCTTCCAGACGGCCCGTTGTCATGGTCGGCGGGCTCGGTGTCCACCGTTTCTGCCTTCAGGCTGACTGGATCTCCGAGCATTGTCCTCTTGGCTGCATCACTCAAAGAGAAGGCAGTCGATCCGCCACGGGCTGAGGGATTTCCTCCGGTGGGCCAAGAGTTTGAGGTTTCGGCTTTGAGGGATATGGGGTCTCCCAGCTGAGACGGATTGCTTCCCTTCCCGTGCAGCTTCTCCGCAGCAAGCTGACGCAGCGGAGGCTGGGTCTGATGTTTCGAGAGGGGGGACGGAGGTGCCATCTTGCTGTCAGAAGGTCGACTTGGGAATGGACAAAACTTCCCTGGTGGCTCGGTAGAGTGAAGATGGTTTATAGATCCAACAGCGAGGATGAAGCAGCTGTCAAATACACCCAGATTTCAGCATTGGCTTTAGAGAAGGGACTGGACCGAGGTTACGCATCTAACTAAGGATCGATGACGTTGTGGATATGCTCAATGCGAATTAGGCACGTGAAAAAGGCTTGACTGCGCTACAAGATTGGGGCATACCAGCGCATTCACGGTCTTCATCCAGTGAGTGCGAGACGCATACGCATGTTTCCATCTCTATGTTTGCCGCTCTGCTTCGAAAGTGAACTATGGAGAGGCTAGCAGGCAACCACGCAAACAATTGCGGATGTCCGGACATTACAAAACGGCATTTCCGTCAGCAAACACGATCCGTACGTCGTACGCAATGCATGTTGTACAGTTGGTGTAGAACGGGCAGTGTGGAGCAACATCTTCTCCCCAAACCCGCACCTGCCCCGCTTGCTAGGTACGCATGGTGGCCCGGGCGTTCTTCACGTGACGAATCATCTAGCGTGTTTACTTCGTGACGCGCGTGTTTTCCGTCGCGATTACTCACAATCTCGTCACCTCCACACCCACAGCGCACCCTACGACGCTTATGCTCGCTGCATGCGTCGCTCAAGCCTCGACACCTGCCTCGTTCGTGGGATTTGAGACATTGGACCCTGCAACCGCGCTGACAACGGCTTCACCCTCGCGCTACTGTGTTACCGGCTGTGGAATGTGTCACCGCTCACGCACGGCCAAGCTCTTCAGCCACTCACCCGCTTCACCTGGATTAGTCACTCCGGAATAAGAAACACCCGCCGACTGCCGGTTGAGTCAACATGACTACCGTGGCGGCTTACGATGAATTGCGCGAAAAAGCGAAGGCGTTCAAGCCAAAAGATCCTCTGAAACCCACCAGGTATTGGGTCGCCGTCTTGCTCGAGGGTATCGAGCCTGCCCAGGTTTCTGAGCAGTCGAGTTTCCTATGGATCAAGGCCAATGGCAAGACCAAACTCGACGCCATCCACAATGAGTATCACAAAAGACACAATGACGCGGGGCCTGGCGACTTCCACCTGCAGCTGGGACCCACAGTGCTGGACAACACAGACAAGATGGCCGAGTTGAACAAATAGTAAGTATTTTGCAAAGCCGAGCTACTTAAGCGACACGAGTTGACCGTGCTTTGTAGCGAGGACAACTTAGTCGTCTTGTTACCGGTACGCACAACGTCTTCCGCTGCTTCACCCACGCATAATGGGATCGCGACGGCTTCGGCCGATTCGTCAGTTGGTCCAGTCGGGAACGAGTCGGTGCAAGCAAGGACTCCAGCTGTTCCACCTGCTTGTATACCCTCACCCACTGTAGCCCAAACACCCGATCGCTTGGTCAACCCTGGACCGGTGCAACACAGCACACCCGTTACTGCAATGGGTTTGGCAAGCGGATCCCAAAGACCAGCAATATCGGCACCACCGTCGGCATGCTTCATATACACGCCGCCGGTTGCTGCAAGCGCTTCAACTACCACTGCGCCGGCTCAACCTCCGCAGGGCGTATCGCAACCCTACAATCATGCCTGGTCTTCGCAACCGCAAGCACACTTCATGTCATCGCCTCTCGGGTCTCCACGCCCTGGTGGATCATGGTCTCCTTCGCCGTTTCTCCAGCACCAGCACCAGCAGCACCAGCATCATCATCATCATCATCATCATCGTCAACCAAGCTTGCCCTCACCATATGCCAATAACACCCCAAGTATCGCGAATGCTTCCCCTACCGCTCAAGGCTACTATAGTCCTTTGTCGAACTATCCATACGGTTCATCTTCAAAAGCCCCCTCTCCTACTGCAAGCTCTGTGAGCATAGGCCACCCACAACTGTCCGCGCAGGATCGTAGTGTGCCACCATCACCTGCAACGAATACGTTCATTCCCAATGAGCACGAGGTTTCCTTGAGTCCAGAGGAGGACACCGAGCCGGCGCCGCAAAATCCATTTCTGCAACAGTTATCATCGGAAACGGACCCTGAAAAGTTGGAGAAAGGTGTTGAGGAAGCTATGAACTTACTCGAAAAGCTCCAAGAATCCCTGGATGAAGGCCGGACTGCGAGTGACGACGCGGCACAGTGGCTACAACAGATCGAGGACCTGAAGAAGGAAGTCATTCGTAGCCGCACGGTCATAGGTGTTGTTGGAAATACTGGTGCCGGCAAGAGCAGCGTGATCAATGCCCTGCTTGATGAGGAGCGCCTCCTTCCTACGAACTGCATGCGTGCTTGCACCGCTGTTGTAACCGAACTGTCGTACAATGAGAGCGATGACGCCGAAGACCGCTACCGGGCAGCCGTGGAATTCATCAAGCCTGAGGAGTGGTACAAGGAATTGGAAATACTCTTTGAAGATCTCTTGACCAGTGAGGGCAACGTATCCAAAGAGGCCACCAGCAATCCCGACAGCGAAGCTGGCGTAGCATTGGCAAAGATACACGCTGTCTATCCGCATAGGACGAAGGAGTCGCTTGCTGCTGGCGGAATCGAGGCTTTAAAGCGCGACTCAAGTGTAAACAACATACTTGGGACGGTAAAACACATTGCCGACAGTGACAACGATAAGTTCTACAAGAAACTGCAGACTTATGTGGACAGTCAAGAGAAGAACACCGGCAAAAAGAAGGACAAGAAGGTCGTCACAAAGCACATGGAATACTGGCCGCTTATCAGGGTTGTCAAGATCTACACTAAGGCGCCTGCCTTGTCAACTGGTGCTGTCCTCGTTGATCTTCCTGGTGTTCACGACTCGAATGCAGCGCGAGCTGCTGTTGCCGATGGATATATGAAGCAGTGCACGGGTCTTTGGATCGTGGCCCCAATCACACGAGCTGTCGATGACAAGGCGGCCAAGTCACTTCTCGGCGATTCATTCAAACGACAGTTGAAACTGGACGGCACTTATGGGAACGTATCGTTCATATGCTCGAAGACGGACGACATATCCAATCAGGAAGCCGTCCAAAGTCTCGACCTGGACGAGACTGCTGAGAAGGCCTGGAAGGAGGCCGATGAGATGAGGAACCAGATCACCGAGCTCAAGACCCAGTTGGACGAGCATGCCGACGCCAAGCAGGCTTTCATTGACGCTATAGACGATTGCGACGACAAGCTCGAGGCCTGGGAGAAGCTTAGAGACCGCCTGCAAGATGGCAATACGGTCTATGCGCCGCGTGAGGCCAAGAAGCGAAAAAGAACGTCGGCCAAGTCCGGTCCAAAGAAAAAACGCCGTACGACCGGTTCAGACGACGATTACGCTGAAGAGGGATCAGATTCCCCAGGAGCGTCCTCCTCTGAGGCAGATTCTGAGGCAGACTCTGAAGAGGAATCAGAGGACCGACGAGCTCTTACCAGTGAAGAGATTGAAGCAAAGATTCAGGAACTTCGATCCCAGAAAAAGAACGCCAAGGCTCAACGTGAATCAATAGACTCGCAGCAGAAGATATTGAGGAAAGAGGTCAGGGCCTTCAACGAGAAGATTGCGGCAATTGACCACGAAATCAATGCGCTGTGCATCAAGGGGAGGAACGAGTACTCAAGGGGGGCTATCCAGCAGGATTTTGCTGCTGGAATCAAAGAGCTCGACCACGAAACCGCCCTGGAAGAAGACGAAGAAAACTTCGACCCTGAACGAGAGATTCGTGACTATGATGAAGTCGCTCGCTCGCTTCCGGTCTTCTGCATAAGCGCAAGGGCTTATCAGAAGCTTAGTGGTCGTCTCAAGAGGGACAAGGATGTGTCCGGATTCAGCGACATTATTGAGACAGAGATGCCACAGCTTCAGGCGCACTGCAAGAAGCTCACCGAAACTGGGCGTGCCGCAGCCGGACGGAGATTTCTCAACCACACTTCACAGCTTCTTAACTCGCTGTTCCTGTGGGCATCTAGTACGAGGAATGGCTCTCAACTCTCAACCCTCCAACGACAGAAGGAGGCTCGATTCCTAGAGTTTAAGCTAGTAGAGTTCCAGAAGGTGCGTCATTCTCCTACGTACAACCAAGCCTGCACGAGCACTAACGAAAATACAACATACAGGATCTCAGCAAAGTTGTTGATGAGACGCTATCCGATATCGCCGAGGCCCTGGCCCAGAACATTTACGACAAGTATGAACGCGCCATTACAAGCGCATCTGAAGCCAGCCTGCCGACAGCCGAAGGATGGGGCGCTCATCGAAGTCAAGGTGGCTTGTACTGGGCAACTTATCGCGCAACAGTCGTCAGGCACGGTGTATTCTCAGGGGCCGCTGGCCCTCGTGATTTCAATGAAGAGCTGTAAGTCCAAGTCGACAAGGTTGAACTACACCCGCTAACTCTCCAATAGAGCCAGACCGATGATAAAGCAGATAGCGACTGGCTGGGAGAGGGCCTTCCAACGTGCCCTTCCTGCGCAACTGGACAAGTTCAAGAAGAAGACACTGGAGGTCTTGACCACGTTCCATAACACGGTCACGAGACGAGCCAGTGAACTGGGTGTTAACGCGGCCACTGTTGCAGCGCTCAGTCGACAGCTCAACAGCTATCAGCCATTCCTCACGGGCCAGATCGAGGCTATCAAGATGATGATCACGACAGTCCAGAGAGAGGTGAACAGAGAATTCACACCAGTCATTGGTGCTGCGATGGAGCATGCGTACAACTCATGCATGGCGGAACGCGGGCCTGGACAATACATGCGCATGAAAGGGCACATGGCCGCACACGTGTCTCATAACCGTATGGCCATGTTCCAGAATGCATGTGATGCTGTCAGAGATCGGTTGAACGATTTGACTTCGAACATCAAGCTGGAGTTGGCAAGACGCGCCGAGGGCGTCCACTTAACCGCTCGAAGGGATTATATTCAGGTTCTTGGCAACCTTGGAACGGTTGCCGCTCCATCGCAGGCTCAGACTGACCTGAAAAACGACGTTGCGCATATTTTGGAGCGCAGTGAGGATTGCTTCCGCCGTCTCGTTGAGGGTGTGGATGAAGCTGGTGACGAAACTAGTCAGGACATGTCTCCGGATGAGCAACCTCATGAACTGAGCAGTACGCCACAAGCTGCACAAAAGGAGGAAGAGATGACATCCCCCACCCAAGCCTCGGAAAACCAAGATCGAGTATACGAGGATCCGGAGCACGGAAGCCCAAGTCTCGGATCGGGTACCCCAACGCAGTGCAAGATGGAAAACACTTTCGGGTCTGAGGATAAGGAGAACCCCGAAAACCAGTTCAACAAAGCTGGCGCCCAGCAGGAAAGCCCCAACACCGTGACCGCAGAGAGCGCTGTGCTCCAGTCTCTCAGCGACAACGTCTGATGGGGGTTTCTCTTGGACTTTACTTTCTTGCACAAAGTTTGGTTTCTGGCGTTGTGGCTTGGCTGGCTCGAACTCGAACTCGAAACTAGCAACACTTCGGGCAAAGCGAACGATACCCTCGGCTGTTTTCAGCTAACGACCATCAGCGTTGGGCCTCACAAAAAGGAGGAGCTCTGGGCGTTCTAACGGATTTTGGGAAGTTGTGACTTCTCATGGTGACAACCGGTGGATAGGTGACGGGGTAAATTTCATGGGCTAGGAACTTGGGGCGGGTCATGTGGATTAATCTCTTCTTTGCTTTCGGTCCTTGTTTTTCGAATTGTCTTCTTTCACTTCGTAGTCTTTCGTTTCAGTCTTGATCTGACATAAAGTTGCTTGAGCGGTTAACGGGAATGAATCCATATGAGATGTTGTTATGCTGTCTCACTTGAATAGTAGTTCATCACTCGCGTCTACGTCGGTATACTTGTTCCAACCGCTCACACAAAGGATTGCCGTAGGTCAAGCTTCTTAGTAACCCACTTGCTATGGCGGAAGCCCACGTGGTCCCTTTGCATGTTGTGCGTGTACGAAATCATGATGCAAACCAGACCACATGTATTACCGGAGAAATGGCCCCGGACGTGACAGGGGCAGGAAGAAGCAGAAGTCGGGTGTTGAATCCGAACGAATAAAATCGGCCACGAGTTTCCTTCCTCACGCCGGGGGACAGCAACTAAAAATGAGCAAGCAAAGCGAAGAAGCCTGCGACAGAATGCATACACAACGGGGAAACCCTCTCCGTCCCCTCAAGCAAGACCTGCCTCATTCGCAGCAAGATGCACCTCACCGTTCTCCCCTTCTTTTTTCGGAAAGCCGTTGTGGGCAAGTAACACGAAACGGTAGCACCGGCGCAGCACTCACCCACCCTCATTCAACGTACGGCTCGCAACTTCGAACGAAGCGGAGTTGCCTTCCGCGCTCGGTGCGACCTATCAGACGATGCCTTTCCCTAGCCCCTCTTCCGTCTCCTCCCCCTTTTTTTACCTACCTTCGTTTTCGCTTCCGTTTCTGTCGTTTGCGCGTCGGCAGAGGTATCCGATTCGCCCGCGGCCGTGGCTTGGCGTTAGTTTAGTAAGTTCGTAACACGACCGGATGGGCCCTTGGCGAGACGGATAGCCTGTTCCGCACGCCCGGCGGCGCCATGCGTGGATGCTGGGCTGCGGTTGTCGTGTTCCGTGCCTCCGTGTTGTCTTACTGGTGGCGGCGGTGGCGGCGGTGGCGTGTGCTGGTCTGCAAGAAGCTCTCGCGACCTGAGACGTCCGTCGTGCATGAGCGCAACCACATACCTACCGGTAGCGAAGTCGCGTCTTGCCTTTGACCAACACTGCAAACGAGGTCGGCTCCATAGGCCATACACAGTAGTAAGAAATGGCCCTCGTTTCTCGCCATCCGTAGCCTATTCTATAGTACATACAGCATTCAATCCTCAACGCCGTTGCCATCCGGGATGAACCATCATCCATCATGTATAACCCAGAGAGCCCGACCCTCTCATGCTATTCGTATCCCACTTCCGTCCACGTTCTCTACACCCCAGCACTCTTCCCCCTCTCCGCCAATCTACTTCCCCGAGCCTCCCACCAACTTCCAAGCCTCCTGATCCGCCTTCTTCAACCCCTCGCCCACGGTGGCAGCGAGGCCCTTGACCGTGCCCCACACGCCGCCTTCCTCCCTCTCCCTCGCCGCCGCGGCCTCCAACGCCGCTCTCTGCGCCGCCGTTCCGTCAGGGTACTGGTTCCTAAGACACAGATAAAAGAACTCGGCGTCAGCACTCCATATGTCTCTCTCTCTCTCCTACTCATGCTCGCGAAAGAAAAAAAGGAGCGGGGTTGGGAGGGGGGGGGGGGGGGGAGAAAAAAAAAGAGAGATCCCACATACTGCACATAACCCGGCGGATGCTCCAAGCTCGCCGTGCTCGACCCCCGCGTCCTCGTCGTCGTCGTCTGCCCGCCATCCCCAACCACCGCCCCGAAATTGATCGTCGTTGGCGCACCACCAGCGCCATTGCCATTGCTACCGTATAATTGCTGCTGCGGCGAGCCGCTCTCCGTCGAATGCGTCGCCGCCGCGTTCGCGCCCGGCGCCGGGATGCTGAATTGCGGCGGCATCATCGTCACCGTCTCCGTCACCGTCTTTGTGACCGAGGGTGGCGACGTCGCGCTGCTGTTGCTGCTGCTACCGGTGGGTGCGGGGACGGGCGCGGCGCCGGGCTGGGGCGGCGGTGGTGGTGCAGCGTCTTGTTGTTGTTGCTGGTGCGCTGTTGCCGCTGCTGCTGAGGGGGGAGGGACTGGCGCGGCGCCGGGTTGAGGGGGTGGAGGCGCTGCTGGGTCGAAGGCGGCGGGGGCGGCGGGGGCGGCGGTGGTCGTGGCGGTGGTGCGGGTCGGGGTGGGCTGCGGCTGTTGGTTGTTGCCGCCTGCTGCGGTTTGCGGTGTTGTGCCGTCTGGCTTTGCGGCGGTCTGGGGGTTGATCGGCGCGTCCGAGAAGATGGGGATTGGAGGCATGGCTGTTGTTGTTGTTGTTGTTGTTGTTGTTGTTGTTGTTGCTGTGCGAATCGGAATGGTGGTGTGATTGATGTTGGGCAGCAGAAAGAAAAGAGGTGCTGAGTGGATTGGTGGGATGGGTGAGGATGTTGTTTGCCTTTATGTATGTGCAGGAGTCGCGGCAAGGATGCAAGGACAGATGTTTGGCGCAGCAGGACCGCAAGCTGGAGCTCGTTGCCTTTGCAAGCCTGATGACGTCACGTGAAGCTTTCCCCAAAGCGGGCCGCCGATCCCAAGACTGCCTTTACCCCAGCGCATCATCACTGAAAGGAGGCGGCTCGGGAGATGCAAGGAGCACACGGTGAAGACGATTCGACAACGGGATTACGCAACTCACCGTGCCTCAACCACCCCGCCGGGCGGGCCTAGGATTTTGATCCATGGTTGAGGCTCGAAACCCTGTTTGTTATTGAAATCTGGCTACTTCAACACCTTCACCAAGCATCGTGATCATCGAGCGTAACGAAAAACACGATCGAATTCTATGCCGATATTTTCTCCCGCTGCCATCCTCTGAACACCTCCTGCCGATGAGAATACACCATCTAACGACGGAAGTGACCAGTGTGCAAATTGGAAATCAAGGAAATCAGAGCAAGTCAAGCCAGCGAGGTGCGCAAGGTACAAAGAAGAAAATTTGCCGGGTAAAGTACAAAATGCTTGGAAAGCAGGGATATCAGAAACCGCTCCCAGCTTTGTTTTCTTTCGTGACCAGAACAAGCTCAGGCTTGATCTTACTCTATCCACTCCATCTCCATCCCCCCTGCGTCGTCCCCTCCCCAGTATTAAGGTATGCCCCTCTCGTTCGCTTTCGAAGGAGAGTGCATTTAGCCGGAACCACCCTTGAACTTCTTGCCGAAGAGGATGAGCTGGACCTGATCGTAGATGGACAGGACACCAGCGCCGGCAACACCACGGAGGATGTTGGCACCGGCACCCTTGAACAGGGACTTGAAGCCCTCGTTGGCAATGATCTGCTTGGCAGCATCCAGGGAAGACTTGTACTTGACGGCCTGCACAATCGGTCAGCACCAGTCTGCTAATCATCAACTCGGGGCATTGCTGATACATACCTCACCAGAAGTCATCATCATACGACGACGGACGGTGTCAAGAGGGTAGGAAGCGATACCGGCACCGGTGGTGACGGTCCAGCCGAGAAGGAAGGAGGCAAGGAAGTTACCCTCAAGAGGACCAACGAGGACGACGGGCTTGATCGAGTCGTACATGCCGAAGTAGAGACCACGGTAGACGATGATACCAGCGACAGAGGGACCGAAACCACGGTAGAGACCGGCAATACCGTCGGTGGCGAGGGTCTTCTTGTAGACGTCGATGAGACCGTTGAACTGGCGGTCACCACCACCGGCCTTGGTAGACTTGGCATCGTTGGCAAGACGGGTACGGGCGTAGTCGAGGGAGTAGACGAAGAGGAGCGAAGTGGCACCGGCAGCACCACCAGAGGCAAGGTTGCCCATCATCCACTTGGCGTAACCATCACGCTCCTTCTTGAAGGCGAACATCGACTTGTAGGTGTCACGGAAGGCGAAGTTCAGGGCCTGGGTGGGGAAGTAACGGATGACGTTGGCGGTGTTACCACGCCACAGGGAGACGACACCCTCCTGGGCGGTGGTACGCTTGAAGCAGTCGGCGATACCGTTGTACTTCCTGTCGAGACGGCCGGCACGGATCATCTCATCCTGTTGGAGACGGTATTAGCGCACGGTCTAGGGGACGTCGGCTCTGCAGAAAGAGCTAAGAGCCGACGATGAAGCAGTCGATACAGGCGATGAGTGTGCCCGACCGACGGGGAAGCCGTACCTGGTTCTGGACAAGGAGCTTGATACGCTCGATGGGAGCGGCGGCGGTCTTCGAGACGGCGGCGGAGACACCACCCACTGTAGATAAGCAGTCAGCGATCGAAGTTCCAACGCAAAATTTGCAGCCTCCATCACAAATTCATCGCCGGTGCCAATGGCATCGATAACGCATCTGTGATGGATGGCCGGGGGGAGAACGTACTCAAGAAGTCGACAACGAATCCCTGTTGTGATTATGTTAGTGAGGTTCATCGAAGAGCCAACTCCGCAACAACTTGGACAGGTTGCAGCATCCACAGCGCCGTCATCGCAGTCGACGCGGCAGGCGTTGCGAGCGATGCGGCAGATGGTGCAAGCGCCGTCCAAGGTGAGCGTCGATGCGAGGAGGTCGTCAGTGATGACTTACGGGCATGCCGAAAGCGCTCTGTTATCTTCTGTTAGCCGCAGCTCCAATTCGGGGGACAAACGCGCATCGTCGCGTTGCGACAGCGGCATCGGGCAGACGTACCTTGTCGGACTGAACAACTTCGCCTTCCTTTGCCATTGTGCCGGTTGATCAATGAAACCAATCGGAAAGGGATGAGGGGAGATGGATGGAGAAGAGAGTGTTCGAAAGGATTGAGAGCATAAATAAGGGCGGCGGTCGACGGCGAAAACTTCGCTTGACCGCGCTACAGCACAAGCGGCTAGCGCGCCAAGCGTCGGGTTTACACGGGTGTGGGTGCCCTCCAGCAACGCCAGCTGCCGGCCGCCCATCCACTACCAGCTCTCCTGCCGCCGACCCGCCAGCCTCAAGGGCTCGCTGTGCTCACGCGCCAGTGCAGCCCGCCCAATGCCGCTGCCAATTGGATTCGTCTGAGCCCGCCCTGCACTCCAGAGCCGCGCAGCAGGGCGAGGCACCGAGGCTGCCCCCACGGCCGCCAGCACGCCAGCACGCTTGCCGACCCTCCAGCCCGCGTGTCCTGATGCGCCCAAGCGTCGTCGGCCCCGGTTTTCTCCCGCACCGCCCGCAATTCTCTGCGCCCGCCCGTCGGACGCCAGACCCTTCCGAGGCACATGCTGACGCCCGCAGAAACCGCCGCCAAATTTTTTTCGAAGCCCTGGAACTCTATCCGCCGTCACTCGCTCACCGCATAGGGGCTCCTAGCGCGAGGCTGACGCCGTCGCGGACCGTGGCGCTGAGGTTGGCCGCGGCGTGCTGCACCATGCGCGTGCACCCAACGCAGGCACGCACGCACCGCTGCAGCCAAAGAGCTGTGCGACCCCGACCCAAACATTGCTCGAGATCTGGAAGCTCCCCAGATCTGCCCAGCCCACCAGAGCCCTTCCCCAGGCACGTCATTTCGAAGCCGGCCTGCCGGTCTCAGGTCAGGAGAGAAACCCATTTTTCCATCACGTGTCCTCCTTCTAGATTCGCCTGGGGCAGGTCGTGGTGCTGTAGTGATCTACGTCTGAGCAGACAAGCTTTTAATCGAGCCGCCTAATGGAAGGCTGTCTGTGCCCCAGGGCCATGCCGCTCTCCCGCCCGTGGTATGACTCCCGCCTTTGCGGAGAAGCTGGAGAGGACCCTGTCCTCCGGGACCGGTTGAAACGGTTCTCACCTGACCCATATCGTCTGACCACACCCCATACTTGAACTTCACTTCGTCCAGGTCGTTGCCGTCTCTTGACGCCAACCGTTGACCTCCAGCTGCCCACAACATGGTGTGGTGTGTCAGGACTGGCTGAACCGTTCGCACATCCTAGTGATGTCTGCTCACACTCGCGCCTGGTTGGCTTTCTCAAGCTACGACAGTGACGAGTATTCCGGTCCCTACGCTCTCTACGCCCGTAGTGTCTCGCCGGGGACAAAAAGGTGTGGAGTAACTTGCAGTCACGCACCTTTCCGAATTGGTACCTGGCACCAACGGGCCAGCAATGACCACGGACTGGCACCACGTCACTTTTCTCTTCACTTCGTCTCCTCCGCTTTTCGGCATGAGACAGCGGCTGCAATTTGGGGCGGTATGGTGGTCAAGAAAGCAAAAGGCAGATCCGCAATGTTACTAATCCCAACAAAATTTCACAACCGAAATATTGACTCAAGAGTTGTACAGGTAAGCCGCAACCACGCCACCCCAGCCGCCTTTGTTCATGCTCTGACCCGCAATGCTCCATCCCCCGCTCCTAACCATATTCGTCACTTTATGCACGTTTGTGCCGTATAGATAGATACCGCTCGAAGCGTTATCTATGTCAATCGCCTCCTGCTGGCAATCGTAGTCGCATTTCTCGCTTTCGTTTCCACCAGTGAAAAAAGTCCAAAGGCAGCCGCCATACAAGAAAAGGCTCTTGCTCTGCGCGATCCTCTCGAACAAGGCCGCTCCACAATACCCTCCACTGGAGGCATCGCAGTGCGAAAAGTCCGGATCGCTGGCCTGCAATGCATCCGTCCACGGATAAGGTGCGACGGTCCCGGAATCCACCCCCTGCCAATACGGCGTCTCCGACTGTTGCATCGCAGCGAAGACGTTCTCGGCGCCGTTGAAGTTGTACTGGTAGAGCGTGTTGTGCTCCATCGACGTGCCGACAAGCCACGTACCTTTGGTTGCCTCGACCAACAACCCCCTGCCCGTAGCAACGTTCTGGGTGTATACTCTGTCCAAGTCGTGGTCCGCCGTCCAGCCCCACATGTTCTCGACGTACGCGCTCGACCACGCCGTTAGGTGGACTAAGCCCCATGCGGCCCGGCACGGCGAATCGTCTTCGCAGTCGTATTCAACGGCCGACCCGGCGGCGCCGCCGACGCGCATGTGCGAGTTGATCAGTGCGACATCACCGAACTGATCGCCCGCCATGTTCACCTCGACGAGCTTGCAGCCTGGCAGCACCTCGGCGACGGAGAACATCATGTCGACAATCTGCGCCACGCCGACTTCGCCCGGTGCCCCGACCTGGACCATCGGTATGGGGATGTTGGGGTTGGAGAAGGTGGCGCCCTTGGCGCTGATGACGGAGGCGTAGGCGTCGCCGTAGATGCGAGTCCCGCCCGGCACAAAGATCGTGTTGCTGACGACGTAAGTGCCTGCGGGAATGTATATGACCTTACATCCGGCATACTGCGTCAGGATTGCATTGATGGAGTCCGTGTCGTCGGTATAGCCGTCGCCGTACACGAGGTATTCCGGGACAGTCTTGATATTGAGGACCTGCGAGCTATCGTACTCGCGGTATGTCGGTGGCCTCATCACAAAGTAGTTGCGACTGCTGGTCAGGGTGGAGGAGCGAGGCGTATAGACCAAGGCACCTTGCTGGTGTGAGGGATAAGGGTTGCCCTGCGTGTACTGCTCACCAGTCAACTGGGTAGGTCTCCGACGAGCAAGAATGAGGCCACTCACAACTTGACCGCGAATCCAGGTAAATGGCACATTTCCCCTTACGGCAACGTCGCCGCTTAAGGTGACAGTGTCGCCGTCGCTTTGGATGTTCTCGAGGACGAGCTGGTTATTGCCATCTACCGACGCGTAGCTGGACACAAACGTGCCTGAGTTGGCAGTATAGCTGTCGATAACCGTGAGGCTCCCTGACGTCTGGCTTCCATCGAGGCAAATGCCGACTCCGATGCACTTAAGAGCAAGTCAGAGAAGTCCATCTGAGTTCAGTGAAGCACATACGTTGATATCAAGGAAAACACAGTCATAACCTAGCATGGCCCCCGTCAGCTCAAATGTTGCTCAGGGCCCCCAGCATCCATAGGTCACTTACAATCCACGATGGCTCCAATCCCACACCCATTGAAAGTCACCGACTTGACCAGCCACTGCTGTCCGCTCAAGTCCATCCCTACGGCACCACCATTGAACGAAAGATCGTTCAAGATGATGTTGCTGTTGTAGTCAAGCTTCGTACTTCATCAAGGAATAAAGTCAGCCTGACCGATGGTCTACCCAGGGACCACATAAAAGGGAAAAGAAGAGTCAAAACACACCTCATCCCAACATGCCTTCCCCCCTTGGGCATCTCAAACCTCACCCCAGCCAACTGCGTCCCCTGACTCACCGTCCACTCCACCAACACCAACTCCTCCACCTCTCCCGCATACCCCCTCGAATCCACAACCACGTCCCTTAACCCCACGAAAAACCCATCCGTCGCCGGCAATCCCGGTTCCTTGCCGCGAATCACGTACAGCGGTCCTCCCTCTCCAATCTCTTCCTCATCCCCGCCGTCCTCATCCCTATCCTTCACGTCCTCGGTGGTGGTCATCCCCGCCGCCTCCGCCGCAGCACCGAAATCCGCCGCCACGACCAGCACCGGCGGCTCCACCGCATCGCCCACCAGCACCGTCCCGACCCACAGCTGCAGCGGCGCGTCGAGCAGGTAGCGCCCGGGCGGGACGTACACGACGGCCGGCGTGAGGGTGCTGCCGAAGGACGGGCCGCGGCCGGTCGTGTTGCGCAGGTTGGGGTAGGGGAACGAGTAGCTGCTACTACCGCTACCGTCGAAGTGGATGGTGCCCCCGTCGTCGAGGGCGGCTTGGATGGCGGACGAGGAAGGGCGGGTGCCGGTGGGGTCGGCGCCGTAGCTGAGGACGACGTTGCGGTGGATGGGGTAGCTGGCGTTGAGGGGGGTGGAGAGGAAGGGGGATGTGCCGCCGCTGCTGCTGTCCGGGGGGGTGGAGAGGTGGTCGGCGTACCACCAGGTGGAGGGGTAGGTCGGGGTGAGTGGGGAGCAGGTGGGGGCGTCGTTGGGGGTGTCCGGGGGGGCTGATGAGGAGGTTGTCGAGGTGGATGGGGAGGGCGGCCAGAGGTCGTCGGCGGCGGCGGCGGAAGAGGGTGGGGACGATGGTTCTGAGGTGGAGGTGGAAGAGGGAAGTTCTTCGGTGGAAGTGGAAGAGAGCGGTTCTTCGGTGTAGGAAGAAGAGGGTAGTTCTTCGGTGGAGGTGGAAGAGATAAGTTCGTCGGTGTAGGGGGAGGATATTTCGTCGGTGGAGGATGAAGACGGCTCTTCGGTGTAGGAGTAAGAGGGCGGTTCATCGGTGTAGGAAGAAGAGGGCGGATCTTCGGCGTAGGAAGAAGAGGTGGACCTGGAGAGGATGAATGTTTGAACATTTTTTTTATCAAGATATGCAGGCGTGAATAAGAACTTTTGCTTTGGAAGTAACTTCCATGGGCTGGGAAGTTGTGCAACGCAAGAGCGATGCGTTTAATGATGATTGATAAGAGATGGTATTTGAGAAAAGCTCTCGTATCTGGACGCAGCAATGGAAAGATGATGACGTGACTTTTGGCGAGGACAGGAATAAAAATCATACATACAACGTATCAAGTACTGAAGAAGAGGCAGGCAAAGCAACAGTAGCATCGCTCTCCCACTGTCGACGGATCAGGTTCCCAGCTGGAACGACGGCGGCGGCAACGGCCGGCGTCACGGAAGCCAACAGCGCTGCAACAAGTCCCCTCATCGCCGGTACGGTCGGAAGATCAAGCAGAGGATGCGCCCGCTGCAGTAATATGAACAGGTATTGTCCGTGCGGAAGAATGCATCGTCACAACATTTAAAGGCTGTCGCAAGGACGTTCCGGTTGCAGACGGCGACGACGACCGCTTTTCCGGCGTGGTTTTATTGTTTTTTTCCTTCTTCTTACCTGGAATTGGCAAGGGACACATGTACCAAATGCGTTTGCGCGCGGGAAGTCCACGTGGATACAAAGAGGTTGGAAGCGGAAGGGTAAAGCAGCGCTTCCCTCTCCGAGCATCCCTTGCCTCGCTTAGTTTGCATGCCTTCATTGGACCGGCTGCTCTTAGCCGCCGTAGTGCGGGAACACGGAAGGGGTTTGTGATCTCCATAGAGCCGCATCCAGGCTGGGAAGTTCTGGCCCATGACGGCCCGGCTTGGTTCTGGCTCTTGGCTTGTGTGGCGCTCGACATCCGAGCGATCCGAAATAGAAAGCCCCGAGACCCTTTCCAGGTGTTTTAGTGAGACAGTCTTCTCTTACTTGGGCCGCTATCGCGCGCAGTGGGTATTCGTTGTTGCGTGATGGTGCACGAGAGAAGGCAGATGGAGTAGTGGTTGGAAAGGAAATGGAGCTCCAGTTGAGCTCAGTCGTTTTTATGGTACGCATTCATGACTGCAGATTTCAGTTTCAGCCATTCTGTATCTTTTCAAAGTATTGGCGTGTTGATAAAATCATCAATGATGAGAGCAGAATATCCGGGTTGCCGCATTGGTTTAATAACTCTTCTCACAACCTTTGGTAGGGTCTAATCTTGCAATATCTTATGAACAGGGGGGGGTTTTTTTTTTTTAAAAAAAAAAAAGGAAAGTAGCGATAGATCGCCAAGATAGAAATAGATTTATAAATAGGCATCGTTGGCGAAAAACCAAGTCCTCTACTGAGCTGAGCATGGACTATCAGTGGTTCGCGATAAGTCATCATTAAAAGTGCTCGTACGTTGGGAAGCTGGGTATTGATCTGTTGCTAGAGAAACATCTGGTAGTTATGGGCCCTGCTAGAAGTAAGAAATATGGTGATATGGACCCCACACTATTCCGCTGAGAGGTCAGTTTCCTGATCGGGTAAGCTCTACAATCCGGCTTGACCAATTCGAGCGAACCCGACATACAGCGGAATCGTGTCGGTAAAAAAACGGCCGACGTCAAACAGCCGGCGAATTGTTGAGTTGGAGGTTTGTTACAAGCTGCCTTTCTGTTGATATCCCACTGAAAGGGGTCCTAGACAGATCTATTAAAGCAATGAGGCGGATTGCAGCCGGCGATTTCCTTATCAGCATCGACTACGGTCTCGAGCCGTTTAAGGCACTCTATTGCTGGGGGTGGGGTTCGATAGTGGGGAATGAACCAAATCGTGGAAGGTTGGGGGCAACCAGGAAGGCAAGGCCAGATTCGCTTAGTGCACTTTTGCCCCGCGGTAATCCCACATCAACACCATCAAGTCACACTTCAGGCGCGCACGTCCAAGATCAAGCGACCATCAACGGCCGTCACATTCCCACAGCCTCCATCGTTAATATTCAGTCAAGTATAAATTCATCAGTCACCTCCAAAGAAGGTCTGACATTTGTTCTTTGCTGCGATCTTGTCCCAAATTTCCTCACTTGGGACGATCTGCTCCACCTCACTTGCCTTTATGATACAGACCTCCAAGAAGTAGTCTCGAAACTCGTCGATCATTGTCTGCATTTTGTGTTTCTCCTCCGGACGTGTTTGCGGGAATACGTCATCCAGGTTCTCGATATCCCGGATGGTTTTCGACTTTTCGTCGACAATCCATTCCAGCCACTACCCTCGATAAACTTCTCCACGCCGTTGGGGCAGTTCATGTTCCGTTCCGCGTACTCATGGATATTCCGAACCAGTTGAGACTCAGTGATAGCGGTATTCAGGATGGCGACGGCCTTCTTGACGTCACCGTGCCATGTTCTCAGGGACGGTGCTTCTTCTTTCTTCAATACTTCTGGAATCTCGATCCACCTTTCGGTCGGATTTCGACACATCCCTAGCGTCTTTCCTGGTCATGAGATGCGAGGTCCTTCTGTCCTAAGAACACTGTCCTTTGGTATTTCCGGGTCGCCGGGCTCGAATTTGAAGAGTTTATCGGCTGATTGGCCGTACTCGTGTTCGTTAATGTCGTCGTAAGACGTGAGGGCCCGATACTCTTTCAACATGACTAGGCGGACACTATCTGAGGTGTCTAGCCATATGACTGGCCATGGGTCGTGGATCGATGTTGTAATATTCTGACATGTCAGGTATTGGAGGCATGTGAAGTCCGAAATGTCGGAAGCAGATGGATTCGACTAGTGTGGTGCTCAACCTTGGCCGGATTTATGGCTGCGCCCCAGAGATTTGGATTGTCAACGGTGATGTGCTTCGAGGACTCTGATCTTGATGGTGTTTCGGTAGTAGGTGCGGCTGCGGAGGGATTCTTGTCCGTTGGTGTGGGCGCTACCGTTGGCGCTTCGAGCGATGCATTTTTGGGGGCAGTGTCATGGTCTTTACGCACCACGATCCATTCGGATTCTCCTGCTGGCTGGTCGTAACGACGTTAAAGTTCTCGGCCAAATAATCACCGAGCTCACCTGCTGGCATACCACAATGGCGCCTGCGAAGTCCACCTCACTTTTCTCACGGCAACCAGCCTAGTCGCCCAACCAGCTAGCTCAGGTATCAACGCCACCAAAGAAGTGACGCGGGGCAGCGGACCACACGGCAGCAGCGGAGCGACGGTTACTCCATCTCATCAACCACTGTCTCGCGACTCCATGTGGGCGCGTATGAAATCAATCCGGGTGTCCTGGCCTTTCTTGCGATGCAAGCATCATCCAGCAAACACCATCAGCTGTTGCGCCGGTCGTCCAATATAGCTTCGCCGCCAGAACCGTCGACGCCGCCCGGTCCATAGCTCGACGTGTACCGGCAATGGTGGTGGTAGCCGCCTGAACGGGAATAAAGGGCTGATAAGGGACTTCCTGTGCTGAGATGATGGCAAGGTGGACGGGGCTGCCGTAGAGGTTTGGGGGTTTGCTGGTCCACCGGTCCGGATCGACCGTACAGCGGGAAGAACTGGATTATGTATATTATTGCCGGAACGGAAACATCAACCAAGGAGGTCGGCTTAGATGGGATGTTGGATGATATGTCCGGCCACAGATCTATTCGGACAGTTGTTGCGCGCTGGTACTCCGCATGATCATGGCTGCGAGATGAGGTGATGGTTTGGTTTAGGGACGAGTATTGAATTGAGGGTAATCATGTTACGACATAGTATATGACTGATTTTGGCCTTGAGAGGGCTCTGATGGGAAGCTATTGACTCTCTTGTTTGGACGGTGTTGTGTGTTGAAATCTCAGCGCCGAGGGATGCCTTGGACGGCTGAACAGCGCGACCGGCGGAGTTCCATCCTTGGCGCTCCGCTTCAACCACTCTCGAGCACTCGCCCGCCGATGTCCCTCTCCTTCAGAACGTGAAGGTCCAAGCTGTGAGGATCGAGTATGCAGGCGCTCCTCCAAGCAACAGGAAGTGGGCATCGCTGGGCCCTCGAACAGCAGCCAGCCAGCCCAGACCCGAGCCCGCCCACGCGGTGATGCTATCACCCCGCCCGCCATGCAGAGCAACGCACGCATTCAACAACCATGCGCTTTACTTTGCAGCGCTGCATCCGTCTCTGAGACTGGTCACACCGGCTTCATGCGCGTCAGACGCGCGGCTGTGCCCAGCGGCAACGGCCGGCGGCAACTGCAGTCGGTACGAGGCAAGAGTCTTACATCGAGACACCGATAGGTGGTCGTGGCAGAAGCCGGTCTCACACGGCGTGGATGAGCGGTTGTTCGGCGTCTCGGGTGAAGCAGAATTACCGGGAATAGGACGGGCGGGAGGCGACAGGTGTCGGTCCACGGCACCTTGGAGCCTAGAACGCGGTTGCTCTTGGTTGTCTTGCAGGGTGGGCCGAGCCGCCTGCGAGCGGCAAAGAAGAGTTGTTGGTGAAGCTTGTCGTAGACAAGCCTGTCATCTGTCATCTGTCATCTGGGGCTTGACAGCAAGATGGTGTCATGGGAAGTTATCTGAGACAACGCTGTGGAAGCGTGAACGAGGCGATTGAGTTCGAAGAAGCATGACATATCGTAGCGGAATGTCGACTTGTTGTTTTGTTGGAGTGGCAAACACATATGCCTGGCCATCGACGAGAATGGCTGAGAAGGCTCCGCACAGAGGAAGACGTCAAACTCACTGCAGCGAAGGCAATAGACCCCGAGAAGACCGCCGCCATACACACTTCTCAATTCGCACTGTGAAGAAGTGGAGAAGTCGCACCAAAAGTCGGCACCTGCCGCGTGTGGGAGTACAAGGGAAGCGACCAGGATCTGGTCAGCCTCCCTTACTCACCTCAACCAGGACCAGGAATCCCGACTTCCAGTCCAATCGTCACGGTTTTCTGCAGCCGGACAAAAATGAGCAACAAGTATCAGACCATCACCAGATTCCTACCAAGGGGCCATACTGCACAGGTCGAGCCAGCCTGTCTCAGCAAGGGCGTTCGGCTTCTTTCAGGTAGCAACCTGAGGTGAGGAAATTAGCAATACGGCAGGAATCGGGGAAAGATGCTCCGCGGGGAAACTGGGCCTTCCTGAGAGACGTGCGCGGAGCGGAAGCAGCGGTGTGGCTGCGAATGCGGAGGCGGGACTACTGGGAGCGCCGGAGCGCGCATTCTCACTTCAGCATAGTAGATGCACCACCGCGCGCGGTCCCTCCAAAATGCCCTGACACCCGGCCAATCGCTAGGTATACGAGCGAGTTGCCCGAAATAAAACAACGGCGCGCTGGTTCTACGCCTCCTCGTTATCTAAAAGTGTATAGATAAGTCTGAGCACGGCACTGTCCACATCCGGCATTGCCACAGCACCGCAACGCGTCGGGCTGCACCACTGGAAGAACAAAGTTTT